CCACTTTTCCATCGGAAAAGCTTATATAGAAATCGAAGCGTAAAAAGAAAATTGGTTTTTCATATGTTTGTATGTGTGTAAATACATATATTTAAGTGGATGTGTAAGTATGTTTGCATGTATGTATTCAGCTTTGGCTTTTGCCGTTCCGCTTTGTGCTGCTTCGCTTTGGTTATATGTGTGGATTATATACATACGTACATTTTTCTTCTTTTTGCGTTGGCTCATAAATAAATATGAAATATTCCACAGAAATACAAACATACATACATATATGCACAATCTATATTTCTTCATCTATATGTGTATGTCTGTATGTCTATCGATGTGTGTGTGCGTGGATAGAGACATTTATAATTTATTTATTTGCACTGCAACAGCGAAGAAAGGCGAAAAAGCAAAATTGCAAATAAAAGACGAAGGTGATGCGAGTGCGAAAGAGACGGCAAGAAGGTGGGCGGAGGTGGACGGGGTGGTGAAAGGAAGGAGGGGGGAAGTTGGAAAAATAGCAGCTAATTTTTCTTTTGTATTATTATTTTTTCCCCATTTATTTTCCCTCTTTCAAGACGAAAGTAAGGGTATATTAGTTATCTACACTTAGTTGGTAGATATGGAATACAAAAATATATTACATTTCTGATTTTAATCTTAACCCTCTTCTAATTTTTTCTTATTATTGATTAAGCTTTATGTTGAAAATATTTCAATATTTTACAGAGTATTCAAAATCCCCGAATCGCAGTCATTTTCAATTTGGTGCACTGCCAAAAGAAAAACTTAAGAAACAAGCATTATGCAAAGTAATATCTAAAAGCCGAAACTTGGATTCTCTATCTGAAAGTACAAAAGGATCCTACAAAAATGCTTTCTTTAAAACCTGAAAATATATTACTTTTTATTTATTTTTTGTAATTTGAAATGAATTGAAATACTCTTGTCAGTTTCAGATTTATACTTTTTTATAGATACTTTTTTCTACAAATTTAATAAAAACTGTAAAAAAGTTTAAAAAATAATCTTTAAATAAGGAATTTAAAGATTTCTTTAAAAAAGGATCGACAGCCTTTACTCGGTTGCCATTCTCCCCGCTTCGCAAAAGTGAGGGTATGCCGAAAAAGACGGAGTCCATTGAACCACAGAGGGGGTTTGGGGTGCTGGGTGGGGGTTTTTCGGGTGAGTTCAAAAGGGGGTCTGTAATGGTGCAAAGGGTTGGATGCGGGGAGGGCTTTCAATGGAGGGATATATATACATATACCCAGATACATGCAGATTTTTGGCTTCCACTTGTTGTGTGTGTTTCCGCCGCCCTCTCGTTTCTCCACAATCGATTCCATTGAAAATTGTTGGGTGCCTAGGAACACAGCGAAAACAATATAGTATATATGTATGTATGTACATTTATCTTCTATGTAGATACACAAGCAAAATTGGGAAAAATTAAAAAAAAAAAAACCGAACAAAATGAAGTCATAAAAGCCGGACAAAAAGGAAATAAATAAAAATACCACCAAAAAAAGGCGAATAACAGAGAATTAATTTTAAGGCAAAAAAAAAAGAACACCGAAAAAAGCCGAGATACAAATCTGTGTATTCGTCAGATACATTTTGTATGCATGTATCTGTGTGTGTATTTAATCTGCAATGATCTCCAGCTCACAGACTTCTTGATGGGAAAAAAAGGTCAAAGTATCTCTCTCTCGAACGAAAAAAAAAACATAAAATAAGCACACACACACACATACACTCGTACAAACAGAGCAAAAGAGACAGGGCAACAACAACAGCAACAAAAACTGTAAAGTTAAAGTCGCAGCTGGTTATGTTAAAGAAGAGAGATGGCGATATCGGTTGGCCAGCGAGTGGGAGGGAGAGCGGTAGATATGATAGAGGTGGTAAACAGTTACAATCGCATAAATCCAGATACATACACAAAAGAGTCTTACTTTATATAAAACGCCCGGCCAAACATACAGATAATTCATACATATTTATGCATTTCATACACACACTTAAAACTTAAATCAAATATGTTTTTGTCATTCCACGCAGTAAAGTTTTCGATTGTTTCATATTAGAATTTACAATTTGCAACTTTGAGATAGCGATGATTTAAAGTAAACATGGGGTAAAAGCGACCGGTGGTAAAAAATAGAAAATTTGTTTTAGATTAAGATCTTTAGAAAGTAATGACTTAAAAAAAAATTTGTAACTAGAAATTTTTATTTTGCATTTAAAGAAATGGGTGTTGTGTTCATATATTAAAACAATTAAATACAGTTAATTAAATATTTCTTTCAGTTTATCTTGATAAATAATAGAACTAAAGCTATCTTTACATCATTTAAATACAATTACTTAAATATTTCTCCCAGTGTATCTTAATAAATAATAGAACTAAAACTGTCTTTAAAAATTCCATAAAAAAACAGAGAGTTATAAAATTTCTAACAAAAATATATAAGCTTATGTCTTGACAAACAAAAAATCTTAAAAATGTTTCTCAGTGCATGTTGTTTATGGGGTGTAAGTGTTTGTGTGTGTTTGTACATGGCCAATATACAATTTTGTGCCATCGGCCACCAAAAACTGAGGGCCGCAACAACAACAAAAGACAAGAACAACCACAACAAAAGCTACAACTACAATTACAACAAGAAGAGCAACAACAAAAACAAAAACAACAACGATTGCAGCAGCGAAGGTCGTCGCCGTCATTTTATATTGCTGCCTCTGCCGCAGTCAGCGTCGCTGCCGGCGTCGCAGTCGACGTCGAGCATCGCAGAATTCCACATAGAAAATTGAGAAAACTGCATTAAATTTTCGTCTCCCCCCACCCCCTCCTCTGCACTTTTCTTTCTCCCTCCCACTTTTTCGCCCACTTTTCCGTTCTGCCCCCTCTCTGTGCTCCTTTTTGGCCCGCTTCTTGTTTTGGCTATGATTTTGTTGCTTTTCCATTCACTATGGCCAAAGTTTCATACATACAGACATGCAGTCATACATACATATGTATGTATGTATAGATATATTCAAGCCAACAATTGCGGTTAACTTGTTAGGTATTTAAATTAAATATTTTATTTTTTTGGTTTTTAGAAAACGATCTCAAATCAATTTGAAATTATTTTTAAACTTAATACCAATTATAAATATATTACTATTATTTATATAGATTCACTATTATTTTGACAGCAGCTGTTCATGTGTATCTATGTATTATGTATCTCAAGCTATTGTAGCTGCACATAGATAATAATTCCATGGTTTAAGATATACAATTCACATTTCTTATTTATATGTACATGTTTTTAAGTATGTGTGCTTCCATGATGAACAAGTAGAAAACGATGATAAAGTGGGAGAATATAGAGTTTCACTCGTCTGCAAAGTAAAACTAGAAAGAGAGAGAGAGAGCTAATTTTTGATCTGATCTACTACAGTAAAGCCCCCAAAGACTCCACTTAATTTTGCCACCCTAATCAACAAAAATCAATCTGGTAACAAAAGTGGAGGCAAGAACAAACAAAAATGGCTGCCAAATTAAAAATAAATTTACCCAGCTTCAAGCCACAAAAAAAAAGAAAAATAAATCAAAGCAAAATAAAAAGAAAAATTTGGAGGGAGAAAAAGGAAAATAATTGCTGCCAAAAGAAAGGGAGAAAATAAAATTATGGGGAGAGGGGGAAAACAAATGATTTAAATTTAGAAGAAGAAAACAAGTTAGAAACTTAAAAATATTTTTTAAAAAATTGCAAATTCAAGGAGAAGAAAGGAAAAAATTAGAGGAAAATCGAAACAGGAATAAAAATAAAAGAGTAAAAGAATTCATAATTATTGGGATATAAATTAGAAAGTAGAAGAATTACGTACAAAAAGAAGAATTTAGAAACCCCCACCCTCACACCGTTTTGAAACTTTCTCTTCTACTTTCTTGTTTATTTTTTCCATTTCTTTCTTCCCTCATTTCTAGTCCCCTCTTCTTTGTTCCTTATTTCTTCTGCTTCCCCTAGCAAAGTCCACCCCGTGAAACAGAGCAACAACAACCCCCGGGAACCCCGCCCACGCCCACTTTTCCCCGCCCTTTTAGCCACCACTCCACACACACACACACACAGATGCGATATTTAATATACATGTATATGTATTGGTTCGTTGCGCGGCATCGTTTCTCCTCCTCCTCCTCCTCCTTTCTTCTCCTCCCCCTTCTCCTCCTCGTTATTGCTGTATCTGTATGTCCACGAAACGGAGCCTCGACAAGAGACTATTCAAGTTGTGTGTTGCACGCTCACTGAATATATAATATATACTTATATATACTCATACAAACATATTTTTTTCGTGTTTTATTTGATTTTCTTTCTACTTGATAATTCGTTGTTGGAGGTTTTTCTTTGTTCAATCGGAACCCAGGTATATTAATATATATGTGGGTTTATCTATGAAAATATAACGGTATATAACGGTAATCCCAAGTCTAAACTTTAATCCACGACAGCAAGTCATAAATTAATGCTAAAACTAATAACAAAATATATATATATAAAACTAATTCAAACTATATTAATACTAATGCAAAATACCAAACAAATAAAAAGCAGTTCAAAAAATAAAATCACTTTAAAGCACTACAGAATTCCGGTTTGCAGGTATTTAAATTTACTGGCTACTGAGTAAAATAATTGAATTTATGTAAAAAGGGCTGATTTACAATAATTGTACAATAATAATTTCTAAAATAAGATTAGAAAGGTTTTACAATCACAAAAAAAAGACTGACATAGTATTACTATACATTATTTTAGCTTTAAAATGACTAAAACCAGTATTCTAATTCATTACTTAAGCCTTAAGCAACCGAAGATTAAATAAAAATTTAAATTTCCCGCCCTTCAAGGGCGCCATCGAAAGTTTTAAATGTGGCGCCAAGCCGATGATTTCAGAGTGTTCTTACTTTGTTATCGCTTACCGGATGTGTTATCGGCCGATGTGATGTCCTCCTATCGCAAGCTCCTTCCTATCGGTTATCGCCGCTATTTTGTTAACAACAAAAGATTTAGCAACATGTGCGAAGTGGTGGCTTCTCCGGCGGATCAGCGCAACGTGGAGGTGAAGGCCCGCATTCCGGGCGGCGTCGAGGGCTTCGGGGAGCGCCTGATCCTGGCCAGAACGCTGGGCGGCGGCCAGGAGGCGGAGTTGATCGAGCAGCGGGACGTGTTCTTTGAATCTCCGCGCGGAGGTCGCCTTAAATTGCGCTACCTAAAGGCTCCGGCGCGCTCCCAACTGGTCTACTACGATCGTCCGGATGTGGCGGGTCCCAAGCTCTCCAAATTCAACAAAACGGAGGTGGATGAGCCGGAGGTGCTCGAGAAGATCCTCCGCCAGTCGAACGGAGTCCTCGGTGTCCTCGCCAAACGGCGGCATCTGTTCCTTGTGGGCCAGACACGCATCCACCTGGACGAGGTGCAGGATCTGGGCCACTTCATGGAGCTGGAGGTGTGCCTGCGACCGGAACAGAGCCTCCAGGAGGGCCAGAGCATCGCCGAGAAGCTGTCCCAGGAGCTGGGCATCCAGGAGCAGGACCTCATGACCGGCTCCTACTTCGATGCCCTGCGAAAGGTCAATCAATAGTCTCTAAAAAGGCTTTGGATAACCTATATAGTAATAGATCCACACCTAAAACAAAGTTACTACATTGTGAAATAGAATTTACAACTAAAATAAAATCTATAAAATTGAAATATCTTTAAAATATCTTTTTCCTAATGTCTCAAACTTCGGAATTCAATAAAAAAGAAGAAACTTCTGATTTTATAAGATCGATAACTTTAGTATCTCACGATAACCTTTGGATAAACTTTATAGTTATAGATCCCTACCAAAAACAAAATTACTACATTGTAAAATAGAATTTCCAACTAAAATAAAATCTATATAATTAAAATCTCTTTAAAATGACTTTTTATAAATGTACTCCGAAGTGAGTACAGTAAAAAAGAAGATTATAAGATCAATAAACCAATAATCTTACGAAAGAGTCGTATAAAAACCGACTGAAAGCATTAACAACCCTAAAGTGAATATACTATATATTAGGTATCTTTTATTTCGTGAGTTGTTGCAAAAACACAAAGTCAAACTCAAGTCTGGCAATGGATATTTACAAAATTCGCTTTCCGCTGTCGACTACGCTAGTTTAGTTGTTGGTGTAAAACAGAACTTAGAGCCGAGTGGTTGTTTTTAAATGCAAAATGGTTAGAACGACGAGAACACAAGGATGAAGCAGGAGCTTGTTAACTGTTGAACTAAACTTATTCTTACGATCTAGGGCTTGAGGATTACGCAGGGCGACGAATTGAGCCTAGGAAATCGAAGACGCAGACGGGAGGCAGCTTCTAGCTTCTCCTCCTGTCTAAATTTTCTTTAGCTTGCCTATCCAATGGAGCGGCAAAATTCGTAAATTAATTTTGGCTTCGTGGTTTATGGTTGGTGTGTGTGTATATATGGCGCTTAAAGCTAGGAGCTGGGTAAGTGGGAAGTGGGATCCTCTAGCAGTAGGAGCCAATAAGGCTGATGGACAGCGATTCCGAGATGGGATCCGGCGCAGAGATCGGTTTCCAGTACAACCAATTGTAGCTGACTGCAAAGAGGCACAGAGAATTAATGGGAATCGTTGAAGAATAAATAAAAAACAAATAATATCAACACAACTGGGTTATCAGCCATCGGGAAACATGGTTGAATCAACAATGATGGCACGAGGAAACAGCTTTTTGTCATTATTAATTATAAACAAGAGAGAACGCTATAGTCCCGACTATCTAATACCTGTTACTCAGCTATACAATTTTGATTGCGCTTAACTTTTAAATTAATGGTTCGATTTGAAAAATTTCTTCTACATTTCGATAGGTATAAATATACACAACAAAATTGCATTTATACTTCTCGGAAATCTTTAAAGGTGTGGGCGCCAGACACGTTTTAAAATTAGTGGGCTACTGTGGGCGTTAGCGGGGGCGTGGCGCTCGGCTGAAATAAACTAGCGCTGCGTAGGAGGCCCAAGAATATGTGTGAAAAATCTCAACCTTCTAGCTTTTGTAGTTTCCAAGATCTCAGCTCTTTTTCGAAGGATACTCACGCACAAAGGACTGGGTGAGTCGCAGGGAGAGGGTGCGACATCGGTGCCGGCACTCGCTGGTGGGCCGGAGGATGATGAAGCGCGTGCCCACCGCCTGGTGGACATACACATTGGGGCACTCCGTCTCGGGGAGCGTGTAGGCCGGCGCCTGGGCAGTATCGATGGCCACATAACGCTCCAGGGCCACGCCCATGCTGGGCAAACGGGTGGGCCGGGCGAAAATGGGACGCAGCAGGCGAGCGGGCAGCATCCGATTGCAGCGCCACAGGCTGTGCGCCTGCTTGGTCCAGCTGCTGCTGCTGTTGAACTGCCCGAAGAGATCCTCCAGATTGTGCACATCCTGGTTGGTCGAGTGCACCCGGTACGCGTCGCGCTGGAAGATCTGATGATTGCTCGCGTAGATCGCATAGAAGTGGCTCAAATCGATGGCCTCCAGCTGGTTGCTGCGAAAGGCAATGGGCGAGCCCTCCGGCCGATGCTGCTCGAGATCCTCGCCCTCCAGCCAGACGCTCTCCACCTCGGCGCATGGGCCGCAGCTAAGATCCTCCAGCTGGTAGAAGGGATTGCCCATCAGGCAGGACTCGTCGTAGAGCTCGGTGAGCTGCGGGAATCGCTGGATCAGCGGCATGGTCATTCGACGCCACATTCGCATCCCGGGATACACCATCGCCTGGTGGCCACCACCGGTGGAGCTCGTCGTCGTCGTCGTCGTCTCGTAGCGATAGGCGGCCACGCAGAGCGAGACGAGGGTCAGGTAGAAGAGCCAGCAGAGGATCTGGCGTCGCCGGTCGAGCAGATGATGCAGCACCTCCAGCTTCAGGTAGGCCATCAAGAAGGGGGCGGGGGGCGTGACGCCCGTCTGCCAGTTGCGCTGCCGGAAGTACTGGAACAGCACATAGTTGTCGAAGCTCAGCGAGCGCACCGCATAATGCCGATCGGCCATGCGGCGCAGCTGATGCACTGCACCCGAATAGCGCTGCAGGACCTGCTGGCGACTCAGCTGCACGAAATTCAGATTCAGCTCGTAGTCCTCCGGCTCGTAGGCCTCCTGGCGCTCCTCCATGCTAGCTGCTAGTCGCGTTTCCCGGAGTCGATTACCACAAAGCACAAAGCATTTTCTATTTTGTGTTTTATTTACTTTTTTTATTTTTGTGATATGATATCGATGTCAAGGGAGGCGTTATTGTTATCGATAACGGAGCTTAGTCGATGGGCGATACCAAGGACGTTGGGAAATACCAAAGAAAAATACCAAGCACAGTAGGCACTTGATACAGGGAAAGAAAGAAAGGACCATAATATTTTTAGACCAAATAACTGAACATTTAGGGCATAAACTATAGATTAGAAATTTAGACAAAAATATATATTTTTTTTGGGTTTTTCGATCATTATTTGGTCAAACAAAGGCGCACAGCCAAAAGACCGACAGTTTTGGGCAGCTTATGACCTATACTAACTATCCCTTTCACTTTCGAGAAAATTTATTTTTTGATCAATTTTCGCATTTTTGATAAGGGGTTACATCATGATTTTTTCGAAAAATGGCAAAAATTAAAAATTTTCAGGTTTAAATGCCAATCGATTTGGAATTTAATACCGAGTTCAACAAGGTATAACATTCCATATTTGGATCATTATTTCCATTTTTATGACCAAAATACTAACAGTAAATACTACTTTTTTTTGGGTGAAAAATCAAGATCTTGATTTTTGGTAAAAATTTGATTTTTTATTATGGATTTTTGGCTGTAACTTGGTCAAAAATGGTCCCAAATCAAAAAGGCGCACTGTTTTGTGCAGCTTACGACCTTATAATTAATATAAGTGCCCTTTCCGACCGATTTGGGAAAATTAATTTTTGACCCAATTTTCGCTTTTTTTGTAAGGGGTACCATCATGATTTTTTGCGAAAAATTGCAAAAAATTTAAATTTCTAGGTTTAAATGCCAATCGATTGGGAATTTAATTACGAGTTCAACGAGGTATGACATTCCATATTTGGTCTAATATTTTCTTTGTTTCAGTTAAAATACGGGGTTGTTGGGAGGAAAATTAGGATCTGGGTTTTCGGTAAATATTTGATTTTTTTTTAGGAAATTTCCGATTTTTCTGAGTGTTAATTTTATATTCGTTGATTATATTTGATCAGCTGACTAACAGCTGATCAAAATTAAATAATTTACAATTTTAGGGAATCCCCTAACTATGATAATAAATTTCAGAAAAAATACTAAATCAAACCTTGATTATCGAAATATACCAGATTGTTATTGTTTTTGTGATAACATTTTGATTAGCAATAAAAAGTTACTGATTAATGAAACAAAGCGTAGATGTGAGATTCTGGAAATCTAGAAAAGATGGGGAGCTACGCGAAAGTGGAGGAGGATTCACCGCAGGAGCGGAGTCATCGATCTTTGATCTGCTGGAGTGCTTTGTTGTTGGTTTCCCTTGCGGTTATCACATTCTGGGGATTCCAGGGATTCCGGGGACTCTGGGGACTCCAGTTGCAAACCAAAAACCAGGAGGAGCAGCGACTGGTGTGCTACTACGCCACCGATGGAGGCCACAATCTCAGTTTGCTCGATGTGCCCGGTGATTTGTGTACCCACATTAATTTGGGACCCGCCATCCTGAGCAATGCCTCCATATTCCTGCCCTCATCCCTCGTCCAGGTGCTGCAGAACGACAGCCGATCCTTTCGCACGGCCCATCCGCAGGTGCACCTGCTCCTTTGGATCGGTGGAGCGGACAGTGGCCGCCAGTTTGCCCACATGGTGGCGAATCATGCGATGCGTAAGGTGTTCCTGCGCTCGCTGCGGGAAATTATGCGCACATATCCCAGTCTGGATGGCATCGACCTGGACTGGGAGTTCCCCAGTGCCTACGATCGCGAGCGCATGCATCTCTCGCAGCTGCTCTACGAGATCAGGACGGAATGGCGTCGCGAGAAGCGTCAGCAGGATATCCTATCCCTTGCGGTTGCTGCTCCCGAGGGAATCGCCTTCTATGCCTACGATATCCGGGAACTCAATCTGTACGCCGACTATGTGAATCTGATGGCCTACGACTTTCACTTCTATCGCGAGGATACACCCTTTACGGGATTGAATGCTCCACTGTATGCTCGTGGTCAGGAGAGATCCCTGATGGCCACTTTTAATATCAACTACACCGTTCAGTGGTGGCTGCAAAGCGGCCTGGAGCCCCAGCGATTGGTGGTGGGTCTGCCCACCTACGGTCACTCCTTCACGTTAGTAGTTCTGAGTTTTCTAAGCGAAATTTTATATTTAAACTTTATTTTCTAATCCCCTGAACAGCCTGGTGAATCCTTTGAACCAGCGAATTGGAGCACCTGCCTCGGGCTACGGCAAATGTGGCCAACTGGGCTTCACCACACTCTCGGAAACCTGCGAATGTGCCGCTAGATACTTCAAGCCCACCTACGCCTATGATGCGGAGAGCTGTTCGCCTTATTTGAGTGCCCTGCAGGAGTGGATATCCTACGAGAACCGAACGAGCATCGCCTGCAAGGCCAACTATGTAAAGTCCCTTAAACTAGGAGGCGTCATGGTCTTCTCTTTGAACTCCGATGACCTCAGGAATGCTTGCAGCTATGTGGAAAAAACGAAAAACCAAGAGAAGCCCGTCTTTCCACTCACCCAGGCCATCAAGGAGATCCTAAGATCCTAAGGGATGAATCGCTGTGATTATAGTTACAATCTCGGTATTAAACATGGGTTTGGAAATTGACACACATGTTAGAAACAGGGATAATTGTATTTTACAGAGTAATTAAAATTGTGAAAAATAATTGTTAACACACAGCTCACTTGTGTTTTTTACACGTGTTATTAACACGACGTGATTTTTACACACTGTGCTTTTTACACACTATGTTTTTAACACAAATGAAATTTACATTTCACTGACATTAACGAGTCGAGGGGAAAATGAAAAACCAATATGGGCCATGATAGTAATAATAATGTTAGTTTTAACCATTTCAAAGCATAAATGAATTCTTATACTCTAGAAACTTTAATGTCAAAAACTCATTGAGTTAAAAACACGCTGTGTAAAAATCTCGTCGTGTAAATAACACATGTAGGATACAATTTTTTACAAATAAGTCAATTACTTTTTTTTAACACTTTGACATTTAACACTTTAAATACCACAAGTTTTTATAGTGTGTGTTATTTTCCAAACCCTGGGTACTAAATGATATTTGATTTGATTTTTATTTGCAAGAGGCAAACTGCTCGGAACAGAAACAGTTTTGTACATAGTCATAGACGATAACTTTATGTATAAGTATAAATTAAATTATCACAATCGATCATAATTCATAATGTAACTAGGAGCGTACGCAAATCATAGTTTTATCGTTATTTCTTGGGAGGATTGCAGTGGCTTCCCCCAGACTATATAGTGTATATATAAAGCATAATACATTTGCAAACTGGGAATGGGAATGGGAGACGGATCAGCGGCGCAGACATGGCAATTCGGGCAGGGAGACGATCCTGCGCTCCGGCAATCATGTCTGCCTCGCCGGCCGCTGGAGATTGGGCGGCGGTGCGGCCAGAAGCTCATCGATCTGCAGCTTGTAGGCCGTCTTCAGCTCGGTGAGGTCCAATTCCAGTTCCTCGGTGCGCTCCACCTTCTCGCCGTACATCTGAAGCAAGGCATCGTAGCGATGCTGCAGATCCTCGTAGCCCTTCTCCATCACCTCGTACACCTGCAGCTTCTCCTTCATCTGGTGGGGATTAAGGAATAGCTTATAAAAAACCTTAAATCTTATATTAATTCCAACTACCGTTTCCAGTTCGATGGTCAGGCTGGATATCTCGCCGTCGAGTACGCTGCGCTCGGCCTGCAGTCGCGATAGTTCCCACTGCAAATGGCTCAGCTCGCCGTCGCGCTGCTTCAGCAGGGCCTGCAGGTGCTCGAAAGTGCTGGTGTTGGCCGCCAGAAAGCTCAGATGGACGCCCTGAACGATGCCCGATGGCTGGCGGCCCGAATTGGAGGCACAATCGAGGTCGTCCTGGGAAAAACAAGGGAATGTTAAAAAGGTTTCTAGGTTACAAGGGTTTACCCACCGCCTGCCAGTCGATGATGCCGCCCAGGTGCTCCTCATTGGAGCCACTCTCATCCGCCAGGCTGAGCGGCGGCGATTTGGGCAGCTGCAACTGCTCGCTGCTGCTGGCCGCCGCCTTCACCGCCTCCACGGTCAGCAGGCTGGGCTGTTTGCCCTGCTCCGCCTCGGCCTTCGCTAGCTGGCACTGCTGCTCCAGCTGGCTTAACTGCTCCCGTTGCTGCTCAAGCTCCTCCTGCAGGCGGCTGAGTTGTCTGTGTGGGGAGAGAAAGGAATCACTATTAGCCAGGGTTCGGAAAATAAGACACTCTTTAAAAAACTTGTGTTATTAACATGTTAAATGACAAAGTGTCAAGTTAAAAAATTATAGCTTACATGTGTTATTTACACCACGAGTTTTTTACACAGCGTGTTTTTAACACAGTGAGTTTTTGACTTTGACAAAGTGTTAAGTTCAAAAAAAGTTATTGACATGTGTGTAAAAAATTGTAACATAATTAAAACACACACAGGTTATTTCTGTTATTTACACGACGTGTTACTAACACAATGTGTTTTTTACACAACGTGTTTTTACCACTATGAGTTTTTGACATTAAAACGTCAGAAATATATGTTGAACTGAAAAATTCACGGTTTTCTGTAGGTAGAAAAAATTAATATATGCTTTGAAACGGTTAAAACTAACAATTAAGCTATCCTGATCCAATATTGATTCTTCATTTTCCCTTCGATTCGTTAATGTCCATAAAATGTAATTTTCATTTGTGTTAAAAATACAGTGTGTAAAAAACACGTCTTGCTAATAACATATTGTGTATAAAACACTTTTGTTTTTGACACATATGTGAAAAACTTTGCTCGGACTGGAAAATACAATTTTACATGGTTTTTTTTAACATGTGTGTTAAATTCCGAACCCTGATATTAGCAAGTAAATAGTAAACAGATAGATAGACGCACCTCTTGTGCTCCAACTCCTTGGTGTCCCGGTCCAAATCATGCTGACGCAGTGCCATCTTGGCGGCCTCCGCCTCCATCAGCGCATTCGATAGCTTCTCCTCCAGCAGGCCGCAGCGGGTGCGCAGCAGCTCCTGCTTCTCGCCCTGCACCGATTCCAGTTGCTGCAGCGAGCGCAGCTGCAGTTGCGAGTCATCCAGCTTCTGTAGCAGCTGCTGCTCCTCGCGATTCCATCCAGCCGTACGCTGATCCAAAGATCGCTGCAGCGATTCAATCTGACGGATGAGCGGCGTGGTGGTGGCGCCCAGCTCCTGCGTGGAGCTCTCCGCTCGCAGCTCGGCCGCCTCCAGGCGATGCAACAGCTGGCGATTCTCCTCGCGCAACTGTTGCTCTTTTCTGGCCAGGCTATGCTCCGCCAGTCGGAGCTTCTCGCGCAGATCGGCGACCTGCTGGACGTACTCCTGCTGCTCGGCGCGCAGGCTGTCCTGTTCGTGACGCGTGCGCTTCTGCAGATCGCCCTTCAGACCATCGAAACTGGCCTGCAGGGCGGCCAAACGGGATTGCAGATCCTCGATGCGACTGCGGCCATCGGCGTTCTCCTCGTCGACGCGCTTTTTGTCCGCCGTCATCCGGCAAACGGCCTCGATTTGCGAGCGCTCCATCTCCTCCTTGGCGGCCAGCGATTTCTTCAAACGCTCCGATTCGCTGGACAGCAGCGAGATCTGCTCGCCGTTCTTTTTGAGCAGCGTATCGGAGGTCTTCTCCTTGGCGCGCAGCTTCTTGATGATGTTCGATTGCTGCAGGATCTCCTTGGAGAGCTTCTCGCCCTCGGACTGCAGCCCGGCGATCATCTCATTGCACTCGGCTAGCTCGTCTTTGGGTATCTTGTTTTGAAGTTCGTCCCGCAGGCTCTTCATTTGAATGCGCAGCGCGTCGCGTTCGCGTATGCTGGCCTGGAATTTCTTCTCCAAGGCAGAAAGACGCTGCACTGCCTCCGCTGCCTCGGGACTGTTGGCATTATTGGCCACCGCTTCGCGCAATTCCTGATTGCGCTCGAGTAGCTCGGCATTCTGGCGCTCCGACTGCAGCAAACGCTGCTCGCGCGCCTCAATCACCTGGTTCAGCTCGCTGATCCGCTGCACCAGCTTGTCCAGCTCCGATTGCGAGTCCTCCGAGAGGAGAGAGATCTCCGAGGGCTCGCGATGATGGCCCTTTGACTTGGGAAGAGTCTTTCCAGGTGCCGCCGATGCCGCCGCCGCCGCTAGATGCTCCTTGAATTTCTGCGGACTGGTGCGCGTGGTGGTGCTATTCGTGCTGGAGTCACCGTTCGGATTCGAGATGATCTCAATGTCCGAGGAGGTGGAGGAGTAGCTCTGATCGGGCTTGGCGGCTGCGGGCGGCTGGCGGCTCATCTGCAGCTGGATGTCCTCGAAGCTCTGCGTGGAATCGGAATCGGCAGTTCCAGTGGCCTGAATGTCACTCAAAACCAAAGCTTTCATGGTTTTAGTGGAATCTAAAGGGTGATTCTAAGGTTAATTATATACTAGAGGGAATAGAGAGCTTCACCCACCGTTTAAGTGATCCTCCAGGTGCCTCTCCTCCTCCTCATCCTCGCCATCGCCCTCTGCATTGTCCGATGTATCGTTGCTGGCGATGATCACAATGCTGTCCGGCAGCGAGGGCTCCGTGTCCGGGGACATCTCCATTTCGCTGGCCGTCGTGGCGGTTATGAGTTCTAGCGAGGATTCGGACATGCATTTGGCCACCACGTCGCCGCTGGGCGAGATTGGCGTCGTGGGCGACGTGGGCGAGGAGGAGAGCAGATCCACCGAGTCCGAGGTGGCCGACTGGCGCTTTCCATAGGCGGATGTAGAAGTGGGCGTGGGCGGAATGGTGACCATCTCGTTGGCATGCGGATTGTCAAAGAAAGTGGGCGTTTCGGAGGGGGGCGTGGTTGGGAGTGGATGTGCCTCCGTGGATGTGGTATTACCAGCTGCAACGCCACCCTCCGCCGCTGCTCCTGGCGACTCCAAGTCCCCCTTTTCCGCCTTGCTGTCGTCATCCTGAATGTCCAGCGCCTCGATCAGCACCGTTTTGGCCTTCTCGAACCAGCTCATTGTGGATGTAAATGTGTGATTGGCTTGGCCCAGAGTGTCCTAGTTCCGTGGCCACGCCTGCTGCTCCGGTTGCGAACGCCTGCTCCTGGGGGGGCACATGCAATTCCCTGGTTTTCTGTGGTGACTCCTTGTTGGATTCCAACTCAACTCGGTCCCGATAAGTGCTATCGGTAATCGATAGGTCAGCGGTGTGACCGTCTGTGCTACAGTGCGTCCTCAGTAGAGGGAACTTGTTTAATTGAACTGGATTTAATTGGAAAAATTAGAAAGTACTACAATTTAGTAAAAGTAAATAATAATTTTTAAATTTCTGATAAAAATATCCGTTATTAAATCTTCAAAATTCACATTTTACACGTTTAAATTATATTAAAAACAAAAAGTGAATTAAATACACAGAAAATTAAAACAGAATGTTATTGAAAAAATGAGAGGTACAACATTTTAGCAATTAAATATTAATTTTTATATTTCTGATAAAAATATCCGTTATTAGATCTTCCAAATTCACAATTTATACGTTAAAAATAGATTAGTTTTAAATAAATTAAAAACACAAAGAATTAGAACGAAGTTAGAACAACAAATTATAAATATAACTACATTTTCTTTAAAAATAAGTGGCCTAATTAAATTTGTAGCCAAATCAACAGCAATTACATATTAATTTTTAAAATTTTATATACAAATAACCGTAATTAGTTTTTAGAATTTCACTTCATTTTCATTTCATATCTAATTAAAACGAAATTGTACATATAATTAACAAATAAAGTTGTCCAATTAAACTTGTACCCTAGTTCTGTACCTAAAAAATACACCTGCCCGGCGCGGTTCGTGTCCCCGCTAGATACACATGCAATACAACTCTGGACGCCTCTGTTGATATCGAGAAACTCTTTTTAATGTAATGTATAAAAAAACTAAAAAAAAGCAAGAAACTATGAAAACGGTCATTTAAATTGAGCGTGTAATCAAGGCAGATTGGGCAGCAGCGTCGTGTCGCGTCACACCTTAATTTTTAGTCGGCGAGCAGCAGCAGAGCGGCAGCAGAGCAGCTTTGGATCGGAATTGGGAATTGGATTGCGAAGGATTTTGGAACAGAACAGAGAGGCTGCGGCAGAAACAGAAACAGGAGCAGCTAGTCAGTGGAGGAATCCGCTGTCCAGAATCCTCCACTCCTCCAAAGGAATCCCCCAAAAAATCAGCAGGCGCATCCAAAATAACGGGGCAGCAACAATAACAATCGCCATTCAACTACGCACCGATTAACGCCCGCCCCCCCCGTCCTTGCCACCCCCAGCCCCTCCCCCCTCGAGCACCCTCACTTTTGGCACAAACACAGAGGCACAACACACACACACACACTTATCAGCCGAACGACAAAAAAGCGACCGCATTTATCATCCGCACATCGCAAATCGCACATCGCATTGTTTGCTTTTGTTGTCTGCTCCGCTTTTGCACGCGAAGGAGCAGACAAAGAGGAGGCGAAGAGGAGGAGGAGCAGCCACCTAGGAGTGAAAACAAAGGATCACCTATGGGTCAAAAGGCGAGCACTCCGGCGACCAGTGGCCAGCAGAGCCCGCGCTCCAGGACTTTCTCGAGCAGCTCGACGGGAGCCGCCGATCCTGCGCTGCAACAGCAGGCGACGCAGCAGGGACAAAATTCCGCCTCCGCCGGCCAGGGATTCAATCTGCTGCGCACTCTGCCCGGTTTGCAGGTCTATCACAACCAGAACTCCACGTCCATCGATCGCCAGCGGGCGAGGAGTCTCAGCTCCGTGCCGGACATCCAGCAGCAGTCGCAGCAGCAGCAGGGATCCATCACCTCCTCCGGCAGCAGTCCGCACTCGCATCCGCATGCCGCCCACGGACATCCCGCCGTCGGGGTCTCCGTCTCCGTCTCCGGGAATCCCAATGCCAACAGCAATAGCAACAGCAACAGCAACAGCGGATTCCCAACCGCCGGCAACAACAATGGATCCGCCACCCAGTCCTACATGCAGCAGAGGCGAACCCTCGGCGATTCCATAAGGGTGAGTGGGGTGCATAGGGGTAGCAAACTATTAGAACTCAATAGGAATACTACAGTTCTCAGTATATTTGGATAATCCAAAGGTCAGAAGGCATTTTTATCGGAAGAAATCATGATTTATGCACATTTCTGTATAATAATATTATAATACAATATTTATATGTAGCTATCTATCCGAACTCAATAGGAATACTATAGTTTATATTTATATTTGGATAATCCAAAGGTCAGAAGAGGTTTTTATCTGAAGTAATCATGATTTATGATCATTTCTGTCTATAGGGAATCACTACCCCTATTATAATATAATATTTATATGTACCCATCAATTGAAACTCAATATAAATATTATAATTCTTCCTATTTTTGGATAATCCAAAGTTCAGAAATGTTTTTTATCTAAAGGAATCATGGTTTATAGCCATATCTGTCTATAGGGAATCACTATCCGTAGGTTAATCTAATATTAATATGTACTCAACTATAGAAACTCATTACGCCATGTAGTAGGTATTATATTTTACTTGATATTTGGATAAACCAAAGGTCAGAAGGGAATTCCAACAGGAGTAAGCATAATTTAATGATTCAATTATATGTCTTAAAGTTCTATAACTTCTCAAAAAATATTTTATTAATCTAAAGATCAAATTCAAGAATAAATTTCGATTTATGATCCAAAATAATAACTGTGAGCAATTTATAAATTTAATTTACAAATATTACGCATACGTAAGAATATTACGTATACGTTTAATGCTATAGTTTCAGGGTGTAAAAAATTATAGATATACTAGAAGTTGTTTTAAAAATACCCAAATTTTAGTTATTCCAAATGTCATTTTTAAAGTAGTTTTAATTATTATGTATATCATTACATTAATATTTTAAAATAACCTTAATAATAGTTAGATAGTTCCCAGTTTTATTTTAATCGATTCAAGAAATGGAAATACATATTTTACTGCAACTCTCTTTAGTTACATATAAGAAAAAGATCCTTACTATTTATTAGATAATATTCTCCTACCTAATATAAATTACACATTTCACCCAACCCTTTCCCTGCACTTTCCACTTTTCAGGACATGACAATGACCGGCGGCAACATCGCCGAGAGCATCGCCCTGGCCGCTTCCGCCACATCCGCCAATGGGATCGGTCGTGTCTACACGGCCACCTCGCTTCCATCGCACATTTGGTCCTTCAATGGTGAGCTCCCCTACCAAGATCTCCTATTCTTATTATTGGAAAATCACCACCGAATCTCTCGTATTCCTACAGGTATCAAGTGCCCCGTGTGCAATAAGTTTGTGTTGCCGGACGACATTGAATGCCATTTAGTCATGTGCCTAACGAAACCACGACTCTCATATAACGGTAAGCTCTGTTTACATAATCGATTTCCCAGAATATCTATATTTATATTTATATTTACTGCATTCCAGAGGATGTTTTGTCGGACGCCAAGGGCGAGTGCGTCATCTGCCTTGAAGACCTGAGTCCGGGGGACACCATCGCCCGGCTGCCATGTCTCTGCATATATCACAAAGGGTGAGTTTCAAACTGGGCAAAATGGGAGGTTTTCAAGATCGTTATCCTATCGGAAACTGAAAAAAGGGGTTTAAACTAGGGAATTATTTAAATAAATGGTGTTTCTAACTTTAAAATGGAACATATCTATATAATAAATAATATATCTGTCTATAATAATATAAATAATATATCTATCTATAATAATAAAAAAAGGTGGTAAAAATCTAAAAAATCCTAAAGCGTCCCAAAATGCGAATAGCTTATAATTTTATTTAAATATATAATTTCATTTTAATGATCATTTAAAATAATTTATAATTTAATTTTAATAATCATTTATTATAAAGAAATTATAAATTTAAATATTAAAGAGAGCGATTTCTGATCTTAATTGATATACAAAATCGTAATAATGAAAAAGAAAAAATAAATACAATTTAACAAATAAAATGTCTAAAATTGATTTTTTTTATTTATTTTAATTTATTTACAAAATACCAACGTTTTATGGATAAAGTTTGTTGATTATATTCTCCAACTACAAACTACAAAACTAGTTTATTACATAGTAGCTAAATCTACATAGTAGCGACTTGGGTATCTTATCTTTAAAGTAATCACGAAAGTGACCATTAAGGGGGGTATAGAGAACTACCACAAAACCCTGTGAGAGACCGCGAAATAAAAACCGCAGAGAACAAAGAGTCAATAACGAAGAATTGAGGAGTGTCTCAGTTTGAATTTTACACTCTAGCTCTCACCCCTTTTGGGGTAATAAATTTAAAAATAAGTATGCTCACATAATGGGCGGTTGGGTGGGTGTTGCACTCTCCACTTGTTCTCCACTAATTACAATTCGTTTGCCTTTTACCTTTTTGTTCCCCCGAATAGATGCATCGACCGTTGGTTTGAGGTGAATCGCTCCTGTCCCGAGCATCCTGGAGATTAGTAATCCTCACCAGGTAAGACCTTTAATTGGGTGGAGTTAATATAGTGAGACTCTGATTTCCTGTTTTTCTTTTTCAGAGCTCGCCGAGTTGTTTGTGTGGTGCGTTATGCAAGCGAGGAGGGGTAAAGGAGCAGGTATAGAACTAGAAATGGAACTGGCCAGCTGGACGCGGTGCGCGGGAAGCTCTAGTCTCTGGGTTGGGACAGAGATCCCAGGCCCAGTGACCAAAAACAAAGCACGTAAGTTATGAAATATTCCTTTAAAGTTAATAATTTCATAAAAAAAAGAAAAAAGTTGACAAAAGATCAGATTTACATGTGCTGGTATCATTTTAATATGAATATTTGTTTATTTATTCAAAAAATACTAAATTTGGTATTTTATATGATCAAGTTGATATGTTTGGATCATATTAATATTAAATGAGGTAGAATTGACAATATTTTATATCGAATTTATATTCTGTGTAGTAAGTAAACCCATTTTGCACTACTTTTCAGCTGTTCCACCACCGCGACGAGCTGGAGCTTGGAAATCAAGAGCGTAGAGTAGAATATATAGGGATAAAGGACGTGGGAGAGGCTATGCCACAAAATGCTGATCTAAAGAATGGGATCGAGCCATCGATCATTTGACCTACCGACCGACCGACCGATCGACTGCTGATGGAACCCAAATCTAAACCCAAACAAACACACACAAATCAATTGAAACAAATTAATTTACAATGCTAAACTGGCAAACATAATAAGAGTAATAATAATATTAATAAACGATATAAATGATCTAAGTGACGAGAAATCAACCAACCCACAAAAACGAAAACTACAACAAGAAGAAGCAACAACAACCAGAAGATTTTGAAAAACGACGGGAGGAGTGTAAAGCGAAGCAACCAACCAACCAACAAAAGAATGTCAACCAATGTGATGTTAAATTTTATATTTTGTACTATGGATAATGATGTAATTGTAATTGTAATGTATATGTATGTATTTATTATTTTAAAACAGGACTAAAATAGGATAAACACAAGCGTAAGGAGAACACACACACACACAAGAAAATAACAATAACAAATACTATTAATAATTATGCTAAATTAGAGGAGAAACAAATGAAAACGAAAGCAAAATGCAAAAAGCAAAGCAACCAAAAAGAAATATACAAAAATCCAGAATTAAGATTGAAATGTAACGAAGATAGAAAACAATTTTCCCCATTTTCGGTGTATTTTAAGATTTGTTTAACAATTCGCTATCAATTCTCTTTGTGTTTATCCATTAGTTATGGCTAGTTAGTTTTTTATATCCATGTTTGTTATCAACATTTTGTTTGTGTTTTTGTTTAAACAAAAAAAAAATTATTTTTTTAATTGACATAAATCGAATGAGAAATATTTTAAATATTCGCCACTATTTGTAATTTGTCAATGTGAAGTTCTGGTCAAACGAAAGCTGAGGACAAATCCGATTGTATTTTTTTTTTTTAATTATTTGTCGAAAGCTTCAAACCGGCCATATATCCGATATCTGATATCCCCGCAGACATTGTAAGCCGGCTGTAAACGATGCAGCGTCCGAATATCAAAATTGAGTGCAGCTGCTGCATCGTTTACACTCGGCCTTAGTCACGCGAAGCTGTGCGTTTATTATCTGTATGTAAATTACTACCCACTATGTTTACTATCCTTGCTCATCGATGATATATACATATATCCGGATCGAAGATTGCGTCGATGATCCGCCAAAGTTTCCTTAGCAACCGAAGCGAAGCCACGAGCAGCGACGGCGGCAGCACGTAATAACTATTTTGTAAATGATATACTTTAATGTACTGTACAGAAGATATACACCCCCCCCAATCCCCCAACCCCCCACATACACCATGCATATATAGAACGTTGTATATGTATATTATATATATATATATAAATTGTAACTGTATAACTATAGCGTTGCATTGAGCGATTGAGGATACAACTGATTTCACTCCCAAAATAAAAGCGATAAATGATAAACGTAACATTTGATTATGTATTTGAGAAATGGTTTTTTGTATCCCCATCCCGATGGCAAAAATTGGTAACTAATCGAAGAAATCGAAAATAAAAATATTTGAACTTTTATAACCAACCAAAGCGAATAGAGCAAATAAAACGATTTAGGATAACAATTGTTAAGTAAAAACGGAGGCGAAACGAGAAGAACTTTAGAGAATAAATGAGTGATTATACCACAAAAACTCTCTTTTGTAATTGAAAAGTCCATAAATTTTGTATTCAGCATTGCGTTTATTTGAAATAACTAAAAACGAAGGGGAAATATCGGCTATAAACGGGCATCTCGGTTATATAGGGTCGTGTGTATATATAGTTTTAATGTATGGCTACGGGTAATTTGATAATTTGGTAACACAAATCAATCGGCTTGGCTTACACTTAACAATTTTGCACATTTGTGTTGCGGGGGCGAAACTAAGGTTGGCTTAACATATATAATTGATGAAAAAAAAACAGATCCAGCACGGCGTAAATGAATATATAGTATATGTATAATCGAATCGAATATATAATAATCGCACAATAATATTCCCAAAAAGGCGGAGACCGGTAGAACGTAAATTGCAAATGTGAAACCTTGAAAATAGATCGCACTCGGCAATCAGAGTCACTTGGCTATGTGATCTGCTGCTGCTGCCGCTGCTACTGGAGGTCCTGATCCGGCTGATCCGGCATATTCGGCCAGGATAAGAGCACGGGGTCCGATTCCCGATTCCCGCCTCTGATTCATCATTTCCTACATTCCTTTTTTCTTTTTAAGCACACTACTACACTTGGTTGAGATGTGGTGGCCTTTGGGGAGTCGGTCTGCCGTCAGGCTGCGACTGCTTACAGTCCGGAGGAGGTCGTCCCGAGATCCTGTCCAGAAACACCGAGATCCTGTCCACAAAACGTTGAATGTAGTCTCTCTCCGCTCCGAGTTTATGATGCATGTTGGATGTCAAAAGCCCAAAAATGCGGCCGACCAGTGTGGACGAATTAGACCCACGGCGTCCAGCCCTCGTAGAGCACGGCCAGGTTGTCCGGATTGGTGGCCTCGCGTATGGCATAGTCCACCTGCTCGGCGACGGAGCTGCGCTGATTGCCATCCGGGTCGCGGCCCTCCAGCTTCATGCGTATCTTCTTCCAAACGGAGACGCCGTAGGCATTGCGCTTCTGCTCGTGAAGATTACTGGTACCTATAATATAGATATATAGATAGATTAGCTCTTCTATTACGAATTTCTGTATGATTTTCCCTTACCCTTCGTATGCGTAAAGGTCTCGTACGAGTCCGTTTCGCCGGCATGCTGCAGAAAGTCGTCCATGCTCTTGAAGAACTCGTTGACCTCCTGGTTGGCCATCGCCAGGATGAGCTGCAGCTGCTGCTGCCAGCCTAGCAGGACGGCCGGCTGCAGGACACGCCGCTCGGAGCAGAGATCCTTGCGCAGCTCCTGCAGCCGCAGGAAGAGCGACTGCACGAGGCGCTGGCAGTCGCGCAGATGGCCGCACAGCAACTGCACATCCGTGGGCACCAGTTTGCCCTGTCCCTGCGCCTGGGCCTCCGAGCACAGGCTGCGCACATGGAAGCGCGGCATGTTCTCCTGCAGGCGCTGTGGGAAATTACAGGTTATTAAATGTAAACTAGAGCCTTTAGTTGCAATCATTACCAGTGTCTCCTTCAACAAAGTGCAAATGAAGCGATGCTTGCTCTGCTGCTCGCCCTCCAGCGCCGCAATCTCGCGCTGCACCTTGCAGGTGTGCTCCTCCAGCAGCCCCTGCACATTCTCCAGCCAATACAGATCGATGGCGCCCTCGGGATCCAGCAGCTCCACCACGGCCTGCTCCACGGCGCTAATCCGCGAGCTGCTCGCCTGCCACTGGCCATGCGCCGCCAGCCATTGCTCCAAATGCTCGACGAGCGCCTGTCCCTCTTCGCCGAGAGCTCCACCATGCTGTTCCAGTCGGGACACGGCTCCCGCTTCATCCGCCAGCTGTTGCACCACCGAAACATGAGCCATTAGCTGCTGATTGTGAGACTGCTGAGTGCGCAGCAGATTGTCGATATGATTGCGATTCCAGTTACTTCGCTGCGCCTGCAACTGACTGAGTTGCGACTCCAGCTGACCTTGTAGCTGCTGCAGCGAGGATAGATTCTGGTCCAGCTCCTGCCAGCCCTCGCCAATGATGGCGGCCAGCTTGGGCCGGCTGACGATGTGTCGGCCGCAGCGCAACTGGGCGCCCAGTGCCTCCGAATAGGCCCAGTATTGAGCCGAAGCGGCCAGCGTGTGCAGCTCCAGTTGCTGATTGAGCAGCGCCATTTCCGCCTGCTGCTGCTGGAGGCCTCCATCGGATTGCAGGGATATAAACAGTCCCTCGCACAGGTGATCCGCCTGAGCGGGATCTCCCATTACCGCAGCATTGTTCGCATTGGGTCGACACTGCGGACCGACGGCCGTGTAGAAATTGCGCGCCAGCAGGGGCAGCAAACCGGCCAGACTCTCCGCTTGGAGGCGCTGGACGAGATCCACCACCGGCCGAGCCATTTCGCGCACATCGCAGGTGCGACTGGACTCCAAAGCATCGCTGATCAGGCCAAAGAAGCACTCGTCGTCCAGTTGCAAGTGGCAGGACTTGAGGAGATCCAGTTCCTGTTGGTATAATATATAATATAATATAATAAATTCCTGATGTTGATTCAATTTTTGTATTATCATAGTATGCCATGAAATTTCTGATTGGTTCAATTCAATTCTATGTGAAATAAATTGAATGTTTTTCTAATTTATTTCGAATTGAATGAATGAATGCATAATTTGTATGAATTTCAGGGAACGAAAATAACTGTTATTGTAAATTTTTTATACAAAAAAATCACGCACTTAGAAGGGTCCTAAAAATTTTTTAAATACACCACAATTTTTATTAGCCATTGTAGTTTACAAATCCGTAATGATTTTTATTTTTTGATTTTTATAATAAAACTCAAAAAATAACTGTTATTTTTTGATTTTTATGAATAACAGTTATTCCCTTGACATTTTTGAAAAAATGAAATAATTAAAAAAAACATAATACCCGTGCTTTTTATAACTTACTAAAAATTTGTTAAAAAAAGCAACCGCGCATATTTTATACCTATATTTTTTTAAAATTTTGTTTACCCACAAAATCGCCATAAATCAAGTTTGAGTTTTATTTTGATCACGACGAATAACTGTTATTTGTCAACTTTTATTATAAAACTCAAAAAATAACAGTTATTCTTTGAGTTTTACTTTACAAATCAGAAAATAACTGTTAAAGTGTGATTTTTAAAATAAAACTTATAACAGTTACGTTCCCTGATGAATTTGTCAGATTTATTTTGTGCTTTCTTTAAAGAACAAAAAGTGAAAAATGTTTAACAAATCAATGTTGCCTGCTTAGTAAATAAAATTCAGGCAGATTTAATCACAAAATTATGGCTCTTTCTTCTTCAAAAGAAATTGTTTAAATTATTTCGGAAATCATGCCATTCATTCACTCAATTCTATTAAACTCAAAATCCTAATTCATTCAATTCTATTAAACTCAAAATTCTAATTCCAATACCCACCATTAACTGCTGGGCCTGCGGATCGTGTACATCCTCGAGCATCATCTTCACTCCAGCCACCAGCGAAGCCATCGCACTGGAGGCCAACTGGAACTGCTCGTAGGCGGGCTGCAGTGTTAAAAGGAATCGCCGCTCCGCTGGGAACTCCTCCGCCGGCTGCTCCTCCTTCTCCAGCGTGGCCTCTAGATACAGCTGCCCCAAACTTACGGCACTCAGATGGCACATCGCGCTCAGCTGGCCGAGATTGGGCTGCAGCAGCAGGAGGCGATATATGCTGGCCGGCAGATCATACTCAAAGATCTGCTTGAGATTTGAGAGGGCCGCGAGTAGCGTTTCGATTTGTCCCAGATGCAGATCCTCCTGCTCGGAGGCCATGGAAAGAACACCCTGGCACATGGAGCGCACCAAATGGATAAAGTGCAGCTGATGCTGCAGCAGGCCCTCATCCTGACTGGCTAAAGCCACCTGTTCGTAGGCGGCAAAGGCTGCGCCCGCTCGATCCAAAGTGCGCACCAGGCTGGCCTTCAAAAGCAGCAGACTGCAGCCGCTTTGGCCAATCATGGCCAGCAGAGATGGAGTCTGCGACTGCTTCACTGGACAGTGCTGCGTTGCCTCGTGCAGCTGGCAACTGATGCGCAACCAGGCCGCCTCCAAAGCCTCCGCTACGCCCAGGACATCCGCAGTGCAGATAATCGAACTGGATGGTGAGTTCGCATTGCTGTTGTTCTGAGTGGAACCACTCTTATGCTGTATGTACGCTCCAAAGGCGTCGTGGAAGCGAACGAATAGATTCTGCCGGTGACTCTGCTCCGGGAAGAAGTTCATCACAGCCGCATATTGCTGCAGGTGCTCCGAACTCTGGAGGGCCGTTGCATTCAGCCGACCGAGCAGCTCATCTAATTGGCTGCGGAGGCCATCGAATCCCGCCAACTTCCTGGCATTCTCCTGCTCCGTCTCCGTGCGACTCGACTCCATTTGCAGCTGAACCAGCTGCGAGTGCAGCTCGGCCAGGTGATATGGCTGCAGGCACTGGCCGTAGGTGCCCAGGAGGCACTGCACCCGGCCAAAGTCCGCCATTCGCTGGGCCGAGAGGGCGGAAAGGGCCTCCGAGTGACCACGACGCACCGCATGGCGCAGCGAGGCCGTATTGAAGCTATGGCTCTCCATCGCCGTGCCCAGCGACTTGATCTCCGCCATGAGGGCGCTGCGCTGATTGAGCTCCAGCAGCTCCTGCTCGGCCACCAGCTGCTTGGCCTGCGCCTCCTGCAGGTGGCCCACCTCTTGCTGCATCTCCTCCAGCTGCAGCAGCATGTCCGTTCTGGGGAGGGGTAGAGAAAGATTTGGAATTTTAGAAAAATGTTGGGTATTCAAGTGATCTTAACTAAATTAGTATTATATCTTTATAATATCTCTATTATATCTTTATAATATCTCTACTTTATCTCTACTATATTATATGTCTATTAAATATGAGGAATTTTAGACTGATTTACAATTTTTTTTGTTATTTTTTAGCCGTAATTTTGACAAATCAAGGCCGATATCTAAAAGAATGACTGTTTTGAGCAGCTAACAACCTAAGCTAACGATCCCCATCACTTTCGGGGAAATTTATTTTTTGATCAATTTTCGCTTTTTTGATAAGGGGTAACATCACAATTTTTTGTGAAAAACGACAAAATTTGAAAATTTCTAGGTTTGAATGTCAATCGACTGGGAATTAAATAACGAGTTCAACGAGGTACGACATTCCATATTTGGATCCTTATTTCCATTGTTATGGCTAAAAAACTGATATTTTAGGGTGGAAAATGTGGATTTGAATTTTCGACGAAATCAACCTTTTTTATATGGTTTTTTAGTCGTAGCTTGGACAATTCAAGTCCTACAGCCAAAAGAACGACTGTTTTGAACAGCTAACGACCTATACTAACGAATCCCACCACTTTCAGGGAAATTTATTTTTTGATAAATTTTCACATTTTTTATAAGGGGTAACATCACAATTTTTTGCGAAAAATTACAAATTTTAAAAATTTCTAGGTTTGAATGGCAACCGATTGGGAATTTAATTACGAGTTCAACGAGGTATGACACTCCATATTTGGATCATTATTTCCATTGTTATGGCAAAAATACTGATATTTTAGGGTGGAAAATATGAATTCTAATTTTCAACGAAAATAACCTTTTTTTGTGGTTTTTCGGTCGTAATTTGGACAAATCAAGGCCCATAGCTAAAAGAATGACGGTTTTGAGCTGCTAACAACCCAAACTATCAATCCCCATCAATTTTAGGAAAACATGGATTCGAACCTTAGAGAAAAATAAACTTTACATCGGGTTTTCTCTATTATATCTACAGTATATCTCTATTTTATTTTCATTAAATCTCTATTATATCTCTATAAAATGCTGTTTATATCACTATTTTATCTTTATAAAATCTCTATTATATCCTTCGTATATCTATACCATATCTCCATGAAATCTCTATTATATCAGCATTATACCTCTATTATATCTCCATTCTACAAAGAAGTTTAAAGATATTGCGGAGCTACTTACTTATTGGTGACCCAGTACTTTTGCAGCACACCCAGTTTGCCCAAGAAGTGCTGTCGCTTGGCATCCCAATCGTGCGGCTTTCCCTTGCCCTTGTCCTTCTTGTGGCACTTGAGTTCTCCCGGACCGCCTGGCCCTCCACCAGCTGCTCCTGCTCCTCCTTGCTTGGCATTCAGGGATCGCCGCAGGGCCTGAGCATCGTCGTTTATGGTCCAGTCCACCAGGGGATCGTAGACAAAGGCCTCCAGCAGGGTGAGCAGAGTCTCACGCTCCTTGCGCATCACCTTCAGAACGTATTCACAGCCCAAACGGAAGGAGCCCTGCAAGAGAAGACGGGGTTTATTGGTTAATGGGGGTTCGATATATGTTCGAGATATGGATATACATGTATATCACACCCATAAATTGGGACATTGGGCTCCATAAATGCGGAACGGCGGAACCGTTTCCATCTGTCGTACGGCGCACAGATATACGATTCGATATATTAGCAATGCTGATTTTATGGTCAACCAAAAACAAACCTAAAACAAACCAATGCCCAAACCAGAAACAGAATCGAGAGCCCCAACCATAACCATGTTCCACATATCGAAGCTAATCGCTCTTTACAATTGTAGATTGGCACGTAATTTATGTGATAAGGCCTATACATATATATCCCTATATATCCATAAGGGTTCACAGATTTACCCCCATTTATCCACTTGGCCATGCCAACCTCAGATGTTTCTGGCTCGTTTCGAACCACAAGTCCAAAATCAAACAGGCCAAAAGTGCATGGCTTATACATATGTCATCTGTTACCAGATAAGAGATACGAAGCTATTATCACGGTGGGGTCTTGAAACTTATATGATATATTGTATCTGCTATTAAGATTATTTTCAAATTTCGGTTATTTTTTTTAGATTTTTATATCTAGCCATTTTGGCTGCAGAAGCTACTTGCCTTTTTTTTACACCCCTTTTATATTGTATTTATCACATACATATAAATTCTGTTTTTTTCTTCTTGTAGAAAACAAACGCAAATTGTAAATAGTAGAACCCCTTATCAGATTTTAAAAACACATTCAATACCTATCCATTTCTGCCTCTGATAATACTTTATGGTACTTATATGACATCTACTAGTTTAATGATATCACATTGGTAACATTATAATGTATACGAATGTGTCATTCCTGGGTCTTTGGTTATTCATTCCTTATATTATAAATTCTAATATTTTCGTTTCTAACTCCTCACATTCAAGAGATCCCTATCCCATTGGATACTACGTAGCCGGGTGTTTTTTCTTTTTTATCGTTCTATTTTAGTCCGTGGAGCTGGGCTAATCTGCTAAAACCCCCAGCGATCCGTTTGGCCATTCATTGGGCCCGGGAGTCCGGGCACTCGAAATGCTCTGTTTGGTTTTTCGGGTAACGATGGCTGTTTTTTGAGTGCTTCGATGGGGTGGTTAGGTGGGTGGTTCGTGGTTATCAACGGATTGCGGTTCTCACGCTGGATCAGTTATCAGTTAACTGGCGGTGACAATGTCGTAGAGCCAGCAGCGAAACGTAAACAAACGACGCCCACGGTGGAACCGAATCCAAAAACCGAGTCGAACCGAAGTCCTGGCCAAAAAGCTGGCTGAGCTGCCAGATAGTTCCTCACTGGCGTCGCGTGCGCTTCGTTTTGTTTTGTATCTTTGTGTGTCAGCATGTCATTTTCCAGCAGCTCATCGCCGCCCGCCTGGGATTATCGGAGTTCCACGGATCACTCGATCCTGTGGAGCAGGCAGAATGCCACGGAAACTCCCACGGAATTGAGTCTTCAGGCGAGCAGCTTGGGCGCCGGCCATTTCCTCTGGCTGGCCATCAATGCGCTCCTGTTCGCCCTCATCCTCGGCGGCAATATCCTGACCATTGTGGCGGTTCGCACCTGTCGCCACCTCCGATCGGTTATCTCCAATCTCTTCATCCTCTCGCTGGCCGTCTCCGATTTCTGCGTGGGTCTGGCGCTGCCCTACCATTTGGTATTCTACATGGGCTCCGATATTGGCGAAATGAGGGCTCCCTGCCTGCTGCGCTTCTTCCTGCTCATCTGCGCCTGCTGCGTCTCCATGCTCACGCTGATCTCCATCGCGGTGGATCGGTACATAGCCGTGGTCTATGCCCTGCACTACAGAAGGTGAGATCCCATTTATGTAGGTATTCCTTGAGTATCTGGTATTAGCAATCCATAGGTTTCAATTAGTCCAGTGATTTAATGATTATAACAATTATTTAAAGATGTAATACGTATTTCGTGATCATTGATTCATTAAAGGTTATCCTGGGTTTCATAGGATCCTCAATGTTTCAAGTTGGATTGAATGAGTCTATGAGTTTTAGGTTCCAAAGTATCTTGGGATAATTAACCCTTCAGTAGTAAAAACAAATATCTGCATATTGAATTTAAAGAATTCTACTACATATTTGAATTAAATAAATATTAATTTGAACAAAGATAAAATATATTAGATATTATTTCCTAACTTGTGATTTTTTTTTAGATTTTTATGTCAATCCGTTATGGGTGATTTTGGCTACTGATCGATTTTTATAGGCTCCTTTTATATTGGTTTTAGATTGGTTTTACATCAACAAAAAAAAAGATTTTTATATTAAAATCATAGTTTAAAATGTTCAAAATTTACTACAATTTTTAATATTTTCATATTAAAAATGTAAAATTTTTTAAATTAAATATGAAATCATTGGGTTTACTACGTTTTCTCTATCAGTGTAGACATGTATACAGTGTATACATCCATTCTACAATCCACAACTTTTCTGACCATTGCTATTTCTAATCCCTGGACTAATCCCCTACAGATACATGACCCGTCGCGTGGCCTACAGCATCATCGTGTCGAACTGGTGCCTGGGCGCCGTGGTGGCCCTGCTGCCGGTCTTCTGGAACCGATGGCCCGAGGCGCAGGCCTGCGAATTCGACGAGGTCCTGGCGCCCGGCTACATAGCTGGCGTAATAACTCCCGGCTTCGTGATCATCTGGATCTGCATGCTCCTCGTCTACTGGCGCATCATGCGCGAGGCCTCCAAGCAGGCGCAGCGCCTCCGCCAGTCGGTGGTCTACAATGCGGATGAGGCCACCACCATGCGGAGTCTGCTGCTCCATCCGGACTGGAAGAGCGTCCAGATTGTGGTCTTCATCATGGGCTGCTTCACGCTCTGCTGGCTTCCCTACTTCTGCGTGGCCATTGCCCAGCTGTTCAGCATCTGCCGGAGCAGCTCGCTGATCTACAAGACCACCTTCTCGCTGGCCATCTGCAATTCGGCGCTGAATCCCATCATTTACTCGTGGAAGAACTCCGGCTTCCGGCGAGCCTTCGCCCAGACTCTCTGCTGCCGGACGGCGAGGCAGTGCGAGGATCAGCTGCCGGCGGACAGCAAGCAGCGCATGGAGGCCACCTCCTCCTCCACGGGCTACCAGCAGCAGCAGCAGCCGGAGATCAAGCAGTAGTTTTTATAGGATAAAGATAGATCAATTCCGAAAACACCAAAGTTCGTTTCAATAAAAATATAGTTTAAAATTAATGGCATATTTTGTTTTTAATATTTGCATAAAATTCATATGCATAAAATATGCAAAATATAAAATAAACTCAACTATTCATGATTGACCATTTCATAGCTAACATAATTTCCCCGAAGAAAATTGTTTGTTACTTTTCATCATTTCTGAGATATCTAATTTTTTCCCAAATTTAAGGAAACCCTATTTATATTTCCAACGAGTAGGCGAGAAGGGCGCAAAAATAGTAAAATGGCTCGTGTTTACTGAAGGTTCCTTAGAATATTTGAGCCTCCAGTTGTTCGCACATATTTTGCAAATATTTTGCATATTTTATGCATATATTTTTTGCATATATTTTGCATATTTCCGATATGCATCCGAGTTTATTACTTTTGAAAAATAAAATACCTACCTAGAAATTTTGGTAAAAATCGGACAAAAAATGGACAAATATGCAAAATGCGAGGTCTACACATAACGTAAAATTGATCATCGTTTCATATCAATTTTTTTTTTTCATCATTCGAATGAGTTGCTACTACACAAAAAACAAAACACGTTACGGTCAAATCGATATGCGCATGGTAAAATTCTGGCATATCGTTCTCTCTCTCTTTCGGAGATTCTCTCACTTCGAAAGAGAGAGAAAAAAGCAATGTGATATTGATACCACATAACGTAAAATCGATGATCGTTTCATTGTTAATAAGTTAAGATGATTAAAAGGGGGCATTATCATTAAGAGATTTAAGATTTAATATTTAAGATTAGCTAGCCTATGGACTTACCTCGATTCCCGTGATTCCCAGCGCATGAATGAGGTTCTGGGTGAGGCGGAAGGGCACCTTCTCGGGGATGCGCAGCGTGCGTCCCTTTTCGAAGCAAACATTGTAGTCAATATGCACGATATCACCGCTGCCTAGGTTAATGAGCACATTGTCCAGATGGCGATCGCCCAGTCCGATCACATAGCCGATCATCGACATGACCGACATGCAGCGGGCATAGCGACGCACCGACAGCCGCCACTCGGCGGCATTTCCCGCCTGGCACCACAGCTCCCGGGCGAGCAGATCGCCGGGTGTCTCCTGGGTTAGCTCCGCCAGCACCTGACGCAAAGCGGAGATGGGCCACTGGCGACGGGGATCGCTCACAAGCAGATTGTGCTTGGCCAGCAGGGGCGAGAGTTTACTGTAGAATAAATCTGTAAAGCGTCGCGTGGTATTCACTGCTCCTCCTCCTGCTCCTCCTCCTGTTTTTTCTGGCTGTCTTTGCTGCCACTTCTTGTAGAGCGCAAAAAGCGGCGTGACTCCATCCACCCAGCTAATCAATCCCGATTGTGGACCCAAAGGAATCACCGAGTAGTGATGCGCACGATAGCAACCATTGCTCGAAGGGGCATCGCTGCGACAGGCCATAATCGCATTCGAAATGGACAGGAACTGCATGATGCGCTCGTCCAGATGCAGATCCTCCATGCCCTTGAACAGGAACGTGTAGCGCTGACCGTTGCTGCCGTAGAAGGCCACCTTCTTGGGCTTTGTCTTCGTGGGCAGCACGCAAACGGATCCCTCGATGCTTTCAATGGTCACGTGATCCTCATCTGGACCATGGGCATCCAAACCAGGCATTGATATCCTCATTTTCCCTATCCCACAGAGCACGGGACTTAAGCTCTGCATTTTGAGGGTGCTGCCGCTGCCGCGAATCATGTTGGACTGCAGGATGTGATAGAGCTGCTTCAGCTTGTCCCAGGCCTCCGGATAGCGACGCGTGCGAAGGGCTTCTAAGGTAGCTTTTATAGGTGCATCGAAACGCTTGCGGAAGCTCCTTTCGTAGCTGGTTTCCGCTGGACGAGCGGTGAGCGCGGCTAGAGCCTCCAAATCGGCCAGCAGTTGCGGTCGCCAAACATTAAACCGATTGTTTTTGCCCTCGTGATCGTCGGGTCGAAATTCCGTGGCCAGTGCACTCACCCTGCTCACGTAGGTATTGTAAATGTGGGCCAGCGAATGGATCCAGTACTCATCCCACAGCAGGCAAACCCTGCGCAGCTCCTTCACCATCAGCTGCACATGCTGCACTGCCTCGGGCGCTTGTTTCGATAGCTCTCCCAGCAAATAGCCATAGCAGCAGGCATCCTCCGAGGTGCTACTTGCATCCTGTTGCTCACGATTTGCACCCACAACCGCTGGAAAGATCACCAACTGCGGGCGACTCTCCGCGAGGCGACAGAGGAGATCACAAACGCTTTTCCTTACATAAGGTTCATGGTGATTGAGGCGGCTAAACAGCTGCGGTATGATCACCTTCCAGGGGGCAATGGGCGTGGTGCGGAGTCCTTGTTCTAGTACCTCTTGCAAGCCACTCGCATGCTTGACAATCAGGCGAAGGAGTCGTAGAGTTGTGGTTACTAAATTGCTGTCATCGATGGCCTCCTCCTTCTCGCTGCTCTTTCCTGACTTCAAACTGAGATACTGAAAGTACGAACGTGCCGCATCGCGGTAATAATCATAGGTGTTGGCTATGGCTCTTCGCCAAATCTGGAGGATGGAATCGAGAACCTCCGTTGGTTTATCCGCTAGCAAAGCCAGCCGGCGCAGGCAACTCTTGGCGGCCTCATCATCGCGTGCACGCGCCGCCTCGGGACAAACCTCCACGCAGCTCGCCGGCGGCTGTTCCATGCTGAGCGCCTGCAGCAGCTCATTCAGCTGCTCACTGTCCAGCGGATGGGCGAGATCCAGGGCCTCACTGAGAGCAGATGCATCCGCCTGGCTGAGCACACAGCCGCTGTCCACGATCTTCTTGCCCCAGCGATAGCACCAATTGCCGTAGGCAATCAAAGCCTCCTCGCAATTGGAACGCTGCTTTAAGCTGGCATGGACGAGGCGGGCCACCAAACGCTCCGCTTGGGGAATGGCCAAAGGTTGGGCGGCACAGATGAGCGGACATTCGGGCAGCTGATCGAGCAGTTGAAGGAGCGCCGGCGACTGCGCGGTGGCCAAACCATTGCAGCTCCTAGCGGCTATCCAATCGGAGAGATTGAGCAGCAGATCCGCTTGATGGCTGCTCCCTTGGATATTCAAGCACAGCGAGGCACAGACATCAATGGATGAGTTACCCAACGAATCGCTGAGATGCAGGCACTTGACCAGCTCACTGTAGCCACGCAGCAGCGAGGGATTCTCCGTGTGCAGGCCTCCTTCTTCCAGGCAAAACTGACTGGCAATCTCTTCCAGCGGCTGGCCAAAGAATTGCGTTAGCAAAGCCTCCGCCAGTTGAAGATTTCCTTCTTCTCGAGCGGCAGCAGCGGCATCTAAGCAGAGGGTTTCCCAGCTGCTATTAGCACAATGCTGACGGAGCAACTGAGTCCAGGCGAGGCAGCGCATTAGAATGCCGCTGGAGAGGCTCGATTGCGATTGCGGCAGCAGCGACAACTCCTGGCCACCGCCGACGTTCTGAACAATGTGACGGAGGAGCGTTAGTTCCCGGCAGGAACGCTGATCGCAGCTGGGATTCAGCAGGCTGTCGCGCCATTGATTGTCCAGCAGATTCCTCGCCTCCAAGGGAACACTGCGCTCCTCCATCAGCTTCTGCAGCACCAAATCCTCCGTGCGTTGACGCACATGAACGGATGAGAAGCTCGCACGTCCGCTTAACGACCTTGTGGATTCCTCTGCCCAATTCGTGGGCCACTGGCTCAGCTGCTGCATCGCCGATCCACCGGCAAACTCGTCAAACGCCTCCTCTCCTCGCGCCAACAGCCTTTCCAACGCATTCACCTCCACATTGCTGCGCTGCAGGAAGGGATTCAGTTCGCGGTCCTCGGGTCGCGTCAACTGCTGCTGCTTCAGCTCCACCAGCTGCGTCCATTGGCCCAGGTCCTGGAGGCACTGCATCATCTGGGCCAGCACGAATTGCCGTGTGTGCGGCTCCAGATCCTCGACATTCTCATCGGCCAGGAGGATTCGATAGCCGGCCAGCGCTGATTCCCGCCGCCCGGCCGCCTGATCCGCCGCACAGAGTAGCCACTGGTAGGATCTGCTGCTCCTGGCCCGAGCCCACAGGCATAAGCCGCGCAGGGAGTCCGCCTCCTGGCAACTGACCCACGCCCAGGCCATGTACACGATCGCCTGGCTGTACGTGGCATCCTGCGCCTTCTGCGTAAGCAGAATTTGCTGAGGGGGATTGGAAAAGGTATAGAGTAAATTATATTTATTTTTTTATTGATTTAAAACTAAGTAAAAATAATATATGGAAAAATATTAATACAAATATTACTACAAATATTACTAAAAATACATCTTTTTCTTTCCCTGTAATCTCTGCTTTTGTAGAAGATGTTTTTTGTTCAATGTTGCCACGGTTTAATTCCCAGATTAGTAAGTCTGAATAATTTTTTAAATATAATGTTCTATAAATAACTTCCATACAAATCTAACAAACTAAAATAAAAAAATAGAAAGTATAGAGTTATTTAAACTAAGTAAAGTCAAAATAATATATAGAAAAATATTAATACAAATATTACTATAACCTCTCGCGAGTTCGAATCCCGCTTCTGTAGCAGATATTTTTTTTGGTCAATGTTCTTAAGGTTTGATTCCCAGATTAGTAAGTCTAAGTAATTTTTTAAATGTAATGTTCTATAAATAACTTCCATGTAAATCTAACTAACTAAAATAAAGAATCTACTTATTAATTGAATTTTAATTTTAATTGTTGAAGTACAGTTATTTTTTGAAAGGTAAACTAGTATATTTTTGGCATAAACTACTATTATTTACGAAAAACTTATATTTTTTGGGCATTATTATCTATTTCAATGGGCTATGGTAGCTCTAACAATTAATAAATATAAATAAATAGTTTATATCCTCCCTATAAAGAGGCCCCCACTCACCTGGGCATAGCGAATCACCAGTTCCGGCTGCTGGACATGCATGGCAATGATGACGACGCCGATGCGGATGCGATTGAACCACGACTGGCAGGTGGGGTTGTTCAAACGGAAGAAGGCGGCCACTGGCTTCTCGGGCGGCCGCAGGGCAAAGGCGCTGCCCTCGGCGGCATTGTAGATGAGCTTCTCCAGCGAATCGAGGAAGCCCAGCAGGAGGCTTAGATTACCCTGCATGCTTAGCAGCTGCTCCAGCGACAGGCTGTCCAGCGCCGAGCGCTCCATCTCCTTGGCACAGCCGCTCAGCAGGCGGGCATGTCGCATGATGATAGCCTCGAAGCCGAGGAACGTTTCCTGCGGCTTCCCCAGCGTCGTGCGCAATCGCTGATCCACACAATACCTGGCCGCCTCGAACTGCAGCCAGGCGGTGGCCAAACGCTGACAGCGTCGCGTGCACTGCGACAGCTTCTCCTGCCTTTCATCCTGCGGCGCCACCTGGCAGCTGCGCACGAACAGCTCCCGCAGGCTGTGGACCAGCGTTTCCTGCTCCGGTTTCTGCAGACGCTCGAAGAAATCCCGAAAGACTGAGTCGCGCACTGCGCTGCATTGACTCATTCGCTGCTGCCAGACGCAAACGCGCCGACTGCTCATCCCGGGCAGCGATGATTCACCACTAGAGGTCAAAGTAAAATGCAGCGGCAATTGGGCGTAAATCTGTGCATAGGGTGCATGTCCCGTGGTGGACAGAATCTGCAATTGCTGCAGCGCCGTATCGCGGTAGAGAATCAGTAGCTCTGGCAAATGCTTCAGCCTCTCGTAGCCGTAATCCAATACAGTCTGTATACAGAGGGCACTTTCCAGGGGAGTCCACTTAGAAGCACTCGCTGCTATATTCCGGCAAATGCCCACAAAATTCGCCTGCTCCATCAGCAGTTCAGCCTTCTCGCGGCATTCACTCAACAGCATTTGCGTCCATTGCAGCAGTATCTTGAGATTCTGCTGCGCCAGCTGACCGGAATGTTGCAAAACAGAGTCCAGGAAGCGCAGAATGCTGGCGAAACTATTGGCCGTCGGTGAGGTATTCTCCGTGGTATTCTCCTGATCGCGCAGCAGGCTAGAATTCGAGCGAAAGTTGTGATTTGCTTGGCAGTGGACCACAAGGAGGCCCAGGATAGCTTGATGGGCAGCCGGAAAGCGACTCCACAAGCTCAATTCGTCGGCCCTACAATTAGTAAGCAGCAGCTCCAAAATCGAGGGCTTGCAGGCGTACATGCCGATGATCGAAGAGGTCTGCTTGGCCAGAGCAGCCAAAGCGGAAAGATGGAAAACGAGCAGGATGCCAGATTCGCTGGCTCTCCGACTCTCGTTCTCCTCCTGCATTTCCAGCAAACAGCCGTTGATATCCTCCACCAGATGCTTGTAGGCCTGCTGCAGCAGCGGAACATTCCGGATGAGCAGTGTCTCCTGGCAGGTGCGCAATAGCAGCCGGTAGGCAGCTCCTCCAGGCGATTGGCGTTTGAGTTCCGCTAGATACGGATTTGATTGGAAGATCAGCTGGACCAAACTGGGCGGCAAACGGGCGCGTAATCTTCGCACCGTGCAGAGCAGCAGGTAAAGGACGCTCTGTCGCTGAACTTCCCGCAGCGAGAGCATCTGATCGAGCTGTCCAAGCAGCAGTTGCTCCAAGGTCCCGGCATCCAGGCCCCCAAAGTTGTTCAGCAGGCAAATGCAGAGCAGCTCGTTAATGTTGATTAAAGCATCCGTATCGCAGTGATGATCCAAATGCGGCATAATCTTGACCAGATGATCCAAGGCCATTTGGACAATGCACTCGCAGGTGGGCATGCCCACGAAGATTTGCATGCGAGCGAGGCACTTGAGAAGGGTATTAAAGGCACCCGCAAAGGCGCCCACACGTTCGGCCATCGCCGCAGGGTCTTCTTCCTCCTCCAAAGTGGTTATATCCTCCACAAACTGGGCCAACAGGCCGTAGCTAAAGTCTATCTGCTTGCTGAAATAGGGGGTTAGCTGCTCGAGCACCTGGGCGCAGTGGGCTTTCAGTTGCCTCGGCTGACCGGCCTCCAGTTGCCAGCCGATTACGATGTCTACCACGTCGGTGAAGTGGCATTCAAAGGCCTCCGCGTAGCTGGCCGAGAATTGCACCAAAGTATTGCTGACGGCCGTGAAGCTCTCCGCGCTCTCCGCGTTCTCCAGAAAGTCCTTCAGAAGCAGCATTATCTTGTCGGCAAACAGATGCAGTTCGCATTTGGTGTCGCAGCTGCAAAAGATTGGAAGTTGGATTTATAGAAAATAAGAAGGGAAAAGCTTATATACCCTTGCAGATTATTCCGATTAACTTACAAATCGCAAAAATGTTGAGTTTCCTATTATTTTGACATTATTTATTCTGACCTTCCTATGGCTGCTATATAAATTTAATTCAAAATTCGGAAATATAAAACAAAAATCATATTCTTGAGCAGAAGAGAATACCATAAAACCAAAGAAGCTATAATTAATTTCCTATTACTTTCCCATTAATTTTCCGATCGCTCCTATGGCAGCTATATGATATAGTCGTCCGGTTTAATTCAAAAATATTTAAAAAAAAATCATATTCTTGAGTAGAAGAGAATACAATAAAAATCAACGAAGCTATAATTTTTTTCCAAATAATTTCCCATAAATTTTTCGAACGTTCCTATGGCAGCTATATGATATAATCGTCCGATTTTTTAAATATTTAATACGAAATTCTGAAATATGTAGAAAATAATATTCCCAAGAGTAGAAGGCAATACTTCAAAAAACAACGAAGCTAGAATTTTTTAACGCTTTTTTTGCGATCTTTCCTATGGGAGCTATAAGCTATAGTTGTCCGATCCGGTCGGTTCCGACTTATATACTACCTGCAATAGAAAGAAAACTTTTGGGAAAGTTTCAAGCCGATAGCTTCAAAACTGAGAGACTAGTTTGCGTAGAAACATACGGACAGGCGGACGGACAAACGGACATGGCTAAATCGACTTTTCTAGTGATGCTGATCAAGAATATATATACTACCCGCAATAGAAAGAAGACTTTTGGGAAAGTTTTAAGCCGATAGCTTCAAAACTGAGAGACTAGTTTGCGTAGAAACGGACGGACAGACGGACATGGACTGAAATCATAATGCCCTCTGCAAGGCTATAAACATGGAAAAGAAAGCAAGATTCACCTGAGCGTGGTGCTCAAAGCCAGGATGAGGTACTTCTGCATCCGCTTGCTGCTCCTGTAGTTCTTCACAATGAACTCCTCGTAAATGGGATACGACTTGCGGTTGATGTAGCCAATCAATCCCAGGGTCTTGCTGCATTCCTCGAGGACCGCCGGCGGGCACTGCTTGTACAGGGTGAGCATGCTCTCCAGTATCCAGACGAAGGAGCAGGACATGTAGCCCATGTTGATGGGCGTGCGCACCGCCTGATCCAGTTTGCCACATAGCTCGAGGGCCACCGTAGGATTGGATTCGTTGATCAGCCGCCGGATGATCTTGGACAGGCGCAGATCCTCGCCGTTGGCCGTCATATTCGAGGGATCAACTGGAGATTGGATTAGTTGGGGTTTTAAGTAGAGAAATCCAGCGATAACTCACCTTTGCTTGGGTACAACTTCCGGTGATTCTGGTTGATCTTGCCCTGCAGCAGCAGGTTGTTCCCGCTGCAGGTGGGCAGCCACATGGACTCGTTGCCTCCCGATCCTCCGGAGGCGCTGCCACTCCCGCTGCTTCCGTTGTTATTGTTGTTCGAGCGCAGAACGCGATCGATCTCCGCGTGGAAGGAGGACGCCTCCTCCTCGCTTCCAGTGGCAAGTGGCGCATTGTAGTTGTCCCCCGGCTGCAGGGCGTTCTTCATTGAGGCTCTTGGCGGCGCTAGCGCAGACATCAAATCGTCCCGAATCTCCGCATTAATAGCTGTGCCTTGGTTTTTGCGCTCTTCAGTGGGAAATACTACGTTTAGTTTATAACTAAACTAATTTTTTTGCTGCTTTTTGTTCCAGCGTGTTAGTGGTGGGGTGGTGGGGGTGCTATCGATAGGTCAGCTGTGTGGCGGGCCATCGATAGGTGTTTGATTACAGGGATTACCTACTGATATAGGATGATATTACCCAGCAAATTGTTTAACATGTTGATGGAATCTAGATTCTAGAAGGTTTTAAGCAGGATTGTCAAGGTCTCCTGTATGCGTGACACGCGGCCGATAGAAACTGTTGAATGCAGCGGTTATCGGTGAAAGTGCCATCTCTATTATCAGTTGGCCCCCGTTTGGCGGTAAATTTAAATTTCAAATATCTTGAAAAACCTTTTTAAACTTTATTTTAAAGAAAAAAATTAAGTAAATTTAATGTTTTTAAAGCGGCGTATTCCAAGGATATCGCTGAATATATCCCCGAAACGCCTTTACAAGTTTTTACATCTAATTATTCAGCTTCTCCATCATGTGCTGCGTGTAGACGGCCACAAAGCTGGCCATTTGGGCATAAACCTGGTAGGGATGCAGTCCATAGCCCGCTCCGGCGGGAGGAGAAGCCATGGAAACGGGCAGCTCAACTGGCGGCGGCGGAGGAGGAGGAGGACATGGCGGCGGCGGCGGAGGAGGACGTGGAGCCACTGGCTGCTGGCGCGGCACCAGCGACAAACAGATGTCGCCCACCTGCAGCTGCTGGCACTTGAGTTCGTACAACTGCTGGGAGAGCTGGGGATTGCAGGAGGCCCAACCCTGGCCGTAAACAAACATTGGATGACCCGGCAGCACCTCCAAATCCATCTAAAAATCAAGAAATTAGGATGATTAGTGGGTAATCAGCAGGGGTAGCGATTGACCCACCTTGGCGTGCCGGGTGTCGTAGCTAAAGGTGAGGATCACATGGCCGGGAGAGGCACTTCTATCCATCCTGACCACCGTGGCCTCGCGCAGCTCGAAGATCTGGCTGCGCAGCGACGACTGGATGAAGTCCTCGGTGCGAATGTCCTCCACACGGCGCATGGCTCCGCTGGCCAGCTCTATATAGGATCCCCTGCGGAAGCAGGGATCGTATTCCTCACTGGAGGTCACTGGAGGAGCAGGAGCAGCTGGAGGATACCTCCCGTATGACAACTCCATGTGCATCTGCATTTTGCAACGGCAATTCCTCAACTGATTTGGTTTCCCCGGCGGCAGGCAATTGATATATGTAGAAATTCATTCAGTTGGCGTGATTTTCCGCGGGTTTTCCAGGAATGCCAGGTAACAACCTGCTTTAAAATCTGCTCGTCTACCTGCAATTCCACTTAACAGGCATTGTTTACGGACGCCGAGAGAATCCCGGCCAGCGCCAGGCGCTAGAATGCTAGATTTCTGCTGAATTTTATTTGGTTTTTCGTTTTCTCTTAACGGAGGAGGAAGAGGAGGAAGTGGCCTTGCCCCAGGTGAAACCCAAGGCATACAGATAGTAGGCGCCAAAGAAGTAGAGCACTCCTAAAGCAGCATAAACGGAGGTCAGCAGGAGCGGCAGGAAGGGCAGACGCTTGTCCAGGTGGAGGAGGAACGCCAGCAGATGCTCGTACAGCGGAATGGTAAGAAAACCGAGCATGTATATCCATTCCAGCGCATGGAAGCCACGGAAGTTGGGAAAGATGCGATACAGCTGGCCATAAAGCATGGCCACGTAGGATAAGTACAGTGAGTAGCGTGGAATGTAGAGATCCGCATCGAAGAGCAGCGGAAAGAGCGAAAAGTAGCCGGCTATGCTGAGGATGTAGGCGTAGCGGGCATCCTCGCGGTTCACCAAAGTCAACAGGCTGCAAAGTACATTATTAATTAATTAATTAATAAATTCTCTTCAAAGGAAACACTCACCAGAGCGGAATGAGCACCATTAAGATGGCCTTTTCGTGGACATGCCAGCCGAAAACAAAGGAGGAGCAGCCGCACAGGACCACCGAGCGCAGGAAGACCAAAGGACTTTGACTACAAGAGATTCTAATTACTTATAAATCACTTTACTACCAGTAAACTTACCTTTTAGGACTCCTGAAGAGCTTCACCAGAATGGGCAGCATGAAGATTACAGTCAAAACGAAGGTTACAGGCGGTTGTATAGTGGGCAGCACCGAATGCCTGACCTCTTGAACTAAACCGGAAGACGTAGAGCTTCCCTCCACCTTGAGAACTCCAGCGGCCACCTTGTCGGCTGTGTTATAGATGGCCCAGAAGTTGGGCGCCCAGTAGGCGTGGGTTAAACCGCGCTTAAAAGGAAAAAGGCGGCCAAACACCTCCGGCAACTGCCTCCAAAAGGGTCCCAAAGAGAGTACAAAGGGCGAGAGACCCACGGCGAGGAGCTTCACAAAGGCCAGAGATGTAGAAACCACATTAACCTGCTCCAAACAGTAGAATCTCAGCAGGTAGACACCAAAAGCAGGAGCCAGATACAAAAAGATGTGCTTAAAGTTGAGTAAAACAGCGAAGATGAAGGCGCTCCAGAGGAAACGCTGCCGGATGAGCGAGCCAATGCTGAGGAGCAGCAGCCCAAACAGGAAGCCGTTGTACTGGAAGTGTATGTGGTCCACGAAGAGCAGTCCCACGTTCAGTAGGAGCAACATGGAGCCGGCAAAGTGCTGCTGGCTATTCCGGGCCAATCCCAGGGATCCCAGGCAGCTGCGCACGCCGAGCACATAGACCAGATCGGTGACAATCACCGAGAGACGCTGGAAGTAGACGGTGGCCTTGGATTCGTAGTTCAGGTTCTGCACTTCGAGCATTCGGGGATCCACGTATTTGGCCACCTGGGAGAGCAGCCACTCGAAGTGGGCGAAGAAGGGCGGGTAGTCCAGGGTCCATTCGCTGGTGGCCTCCACATACCAGCGATCCAGGGGCAAACTGTGCGTGATGGCCAGCCAATTGCGGTGCACCTCAAAGTCTGTGGAGTGGCTAGAAAATGCTGTTTATGTGGCTTTCCTTTATTAAAGTGCGCATGCCCACTTACTAGGCCGGAATCAGGAGGATCTTCAGGCCGGTGGCTATGCCCACCAGGTGCCAGAAGAGGTCCTTCATCGTCGTTTCTCTCGGGGATTGGGAATCGGTTCGGATTGGATTGAAGGTATTCCCTTCTTATCAGCAATCGATGTCCACCGTTGGTATTTAAATACTGAAATGTGCGGTATTTAAAGGCCTTTAGAGTTGACACTGTGCAACACTGGTTCAAAACCTATCGATATTTTAAGTAAGTTAATTTATAATTTAGAAATTAAAAAATTTATTAAAATAAGCGTTTAACGTTTTTACTTTATGCTCCTTAAAATGTATGATTTTATCAGAATAACTTGGGAGTACCGAAATACTCCAGCATTGGAGTGATCTCGTTTTCTTTTTATTATTTATAATACACTGCCAACAGAAATAGCACCAATCTGTTTCAGTATATAAAAATTAAATTAAACTAAGCCCAAATTAAGTTCAAAATCTAAATAAAAATTTAAAAAAATGTAACTAATTTTCAGGCCTCAGAAGAAATGAAGCCTTAGCTGCTAGAGCTCTTAATTTGGTTAGCTTATAAATAAATAAACAACATTTAAACTATATTAAATTAAATTTAACTAGAACTTCCGTTTGCCCGCCCCTTTCAAATGTTACCCCCAATCACACAAAAACAAATTCCAGCTATTAGAGCGCTTAATTAAGTTAGCTTATAGTTTTAACTTTAAATTTATATAAATAAATAAGAATTAAACAATATTAAATTCAATTGCCCGCCCTTTTCAAATGTCACCCCCAAATCACTCTAAAAAAACAATCCAGATCTGACTAGAAAATAGCTGAAACGCCACCACTACCCGCGATACATCGATACTATCGATGGGGCGACAATCGATAGAAGAACAAGACAAGGGTGTGCATTACGCATTTGCTTTGCGAATCAGAGCCGACTTTAAACAATTATTGTGGTCTCCAGCCGGTCGCCCCTGATCCGAGGTTGCCGCCAACGCCGAGCTTGGGTCACCAGCCAGCCGGACCATGTACGCCACCAACAATGGCGGCACGAACAAGGCGCCAAATAGGTGAGTTTCGTTGAGGGAGATGAGCAAAAATCGCCAGCGCCCCTCCCCCTTTAAAAAACGGAGGCAGTACAGCCGAGATTTTTCCGCTTTTCTAATTGAGCAACCCAATCTCCGCCAGCAATGCCACCGCCATGTTCGAGAACACCATCACAGTGACGCCAATTAAGATGGAGCTGAACCAGGGCTACGCCAAGAATCCCCAACAAAATCCCTCCATGCAGCGGAGGACGCCCAATGCAGTGGTGGTCACCAGCTCCTCCGCCGCCGTCGCTGCGCCACAGCAGCAGGGGGTTCCCCTGGGCAGCTGCACCCTGGTGAATCCCAGCATGAGCGTGACCATGGCCACCGCCGCCTCCGCCTCCGCTTCTCCAGGAGGAACTGGAGGAGCTAGTGGTGCCCCCGCCAAGGAGAAGCCCACCAAGGCCACGCGCAACCAGGTGGCCCGCAAACCGCCGCCCACCATCGACAATTTCTGGCCAAATATCGTCAGCGAAGTGCATGGCATTGGTCAGGTGGATGCCAAGCACCAGGTTCTTCCACTGGCGAGGATCAAAAAGATCATGAAGCTGGACGAGAACGCCAAAATGATTGCCGGCGAGGCGCCGCTGCTCTTCGCCAAGGCCTGCGAGTACTTCATCCAGGAGCTGACCATGCACGCCTGGGTTCACACCGAGGAGAGCCGGCGGCGGACGCTCCAGCGCTCGGATATTGCCCAGGCCATAGCCAACTACGATCAGTTCGATTTCCTCATCGACATTGTGCCGCGCGAGGAGATCAAGCCGTCGGCCTCCTCCTCCTCCGCCTCCTCCTCCTCGGCGGCGGCGGCGGCGGGGCAAAAAGGCAAGGATAGCAGCTCCGGTTCCATTTCCACCAGCGCAGCTGCAGCAGCCACTGCTTCCAGTAACGCCTCCAGTGCTTCAGTGGCTGCTGGCTCCTCTGTGGCCAGCGGATCCAACGTACCTGCCGCGGGAAAGCTGGATAATACGGGAGCAGCCAGTGCCGCCGAGGTTCTGGGATTCAGCACCGTCAATCCGGACATCTTCTCGGCGCAACTGCAGCAGCAACAGCAACAACAGCAGCAGCAGCAGCATCACCAGGCGCATCCGCAGCAGGTACAGATCATCCAGCAGGGCGCCGGTGGCCAGCAGCTGCAGTACTTCATTGCGCTGCCCGGCCAGCAGGCGGCACAATTGGTGCAACAGCAGCCGCAGCCCGCCCAGAACCATCTGTCCAATAGTCTGGGCATCAACATCGTCTCTGCCCAGCAACCCACGCAGCAGTTGATCCTCACCGCCGGTCCCAATGGCCAGTTGACGGCCACTCCAGCGCCCCAAACGGCGCAGCAGCAGCAGACCGCTCTGCTCCAGAATCTCGCCCAGCAGCAGCAGCAACATCAGCAGCAGCAGCAACAGCAGCAGATTCAGCTACTCCAGCAGGTGGTCACGCCCACGGGGGAGCTGACCAATGTGCCGGTAAGTAGGGATTTTATTTTGAATTTTCTGTTTTAAATGAATGAATTAATTCGAATTTTTGAGTTTAACAGAATTAAATTAATTTGAATTTTGAGTTTAATAGAATGAATTATGAATTATTTGGAATTTTTTGTTTTATATAAATGAATTAATTCGAATTTTGAGTTTAATAGAATTGAATGAATTTGAATTTTGAGTTTAATAGAATTGAATTAATTCAAACAACAACTTCAGGCAAGAAAGGGCCATCATTTTGTGATTAAATCTGCCTGAATTTTATTCACTATGCAGTTAACATTGAATTGTTAAAAATTGTCCACTTTTTGTTCTCAAAAGAAAGTACAAAAAATCTGGCAAATTAAAAAAATTTATCAAAATTATTCATTCATTCAATTCGAAATGAATTATCAATAAAAATTTATCAAAATTATTCATTCATTTAATTCGAAATGAATTAGAAAAACATTCAATTTATTTCACATAGAATTGAATTAAACAAATCAGAAATAAGGATAAGTTATATAGCTTCTATAATTATATCATACATTTTTTTGTAATCCCTTTTTTTTTACCCAAAACTATGGAAATAATTATAAAAATATGGACTATCATACCTCGTTAAACTCGTAATTAAATTCCCAATTGATTGGCATTCAAAACTAGAACTTATAATTTTTTGCCACTTTTCGCAATAAATTATCAAAAATGCGAAAATGGTTAAAAATTTTAATTTTCTCAATTTTTTCTTTGATTGGTTAAATTGTGATTGAAAATCCGGGAAAAAAATGTTTTTTTCTGTCAAAATTCTTAGTGCTTATTTTTTGCACTAAAAATTCAGTTTTTTGGTCAAAACCTCGTTACTGATTGGTTTGAATTCTTCTCCTCCAGATTGCCATCAATGCCAGCCATTTGCATCTGCTGCAGCGCCTGCAGATGCAACAGCAGCAGCAACAGCAACAGCAGCAGCAACAACAGCAGCAGCAACAGCAGGTGATTATACCCACCCAACTGCTGACGGCACAGCAGTTGCTCCAATTGGGAGCCTCGCCCACGGTGGCCCATCAGCAGCAGCAGGTGCAACAGCAACAGCAGCAGCAAGTCCAAGTGCAAGTCCAACAGCAACATGCCAATCTCAGCCAGAGCAATGCCAATGCAACGCCGATCTTCATCAATGCCCAGGCGGCGACGCAACAGCAGCAGCAGCAGGCGGCGCAACAGCAGCATCAGCAACAGCAGCAGCAGCAACAACAGCAACAGCAGGCGCAAACGATCTCCGGCGGATTTCGGTAAAAGCTCGAAGAATCCTGGTTAACCGGACAGTTGGCAATCATATCGAAGCATCGGGAGGCATTGGAATCGGACATTGATTGCGCCATCCAGCACAAACAAACACACACAATGTATAATATTATAGTTTACGTAGTTGTATACGGATTTTGTATATCGGGAGGAGATTATATATAGCTAGTGTCTAAGTCGTAGGCATCTCTCTCTGTGTAGAAACGATTTATCAATTGTAATTTATTGCTGACACCTGGCCGCAGGTTTCACCATCCTCCCAAAAAAAAACACCGCCACCTAAAACCTAAAACCTAAACCACTTTTAAACGTAGCACTTAGACAGAGAAGATTGGTTTATTATGTATTTGTACTTCTAACTAAGCTAAGCTCTGATAAACAATTATAAGCCACCAAGGACTATGTGCCAGAAACTCTGTATATCTTCATTTTCTGGCCAGGATCTTGTTGATGTCCTGCAGTTCGCGGGTGCTCCAAGGTTCCAGCGGATCGGGCGGCGATTGCTGCTGCGATTTCCTGCCGTAAGCCGATCTTCCCCGCTGGCTGCGCTCCTCCTGCTCATCACTTTGCTCCGGCGAAACTCTGTAGAGGTAAAGGAGGTATAAAGGATGCAGTGCGTCCCTACCTACTCACTTGTTCCTTCGACGAACGCGAGCACTTTTGGCCCGACGAGCGGCCTCATCCTGCGCCGGCTGGCACTTGCGCAGATGGAACTGCTTCATGGTGGCGTGCACCTCCTCCGCCGTCGGCAGCTCCTCGCTGTCCTGGCCCCCGTTGCCGTCCTCGGTCTCCACCTCGGCCTCCTGTTCGATGGTCAGCACCTCCTCCGCCACGGCCTCATCGAAGTGGAAGCCCTGGAATTGAAGGTAAATATAATCGCATTAATTAATACAATACAATTAAGACCCCAATCGATTGGCATTTAAATCTAAACATTTTAATTTTTTGCCATTTTTCGCAAAAAATTAAAAATGCAAAAATTGGTAATAATTTTAATTGGGGATCGTTAGTTTAGGTTATTGGCTGCTCAAAGCACTCGGACTTTTGACTGTGCTACTTGTGATTGGTTAAATTATGATCGAAAAACCACAGAAAAAATATATTTTTTTGTCAAAATTCTAAGTGCTCATTTTTTGCCCTAAAACTTCAGTTTTTTGGTCAAAACTATGGAAAAAATTGTCGAAATATGGAATGTCATACCTCGTTGAGCTCGTAATTAAATTGCCAATCGATTTGCACTTAAATCTGAAAACTTTATTTTTTGCGAATTTTTTGTAAAAAAATTATGATCAAAAATGCGAAAATTGGTCGAAATTAAAAAATGTTTGTAAAACAGCCGAAAAGCGATAGGAATAGATAAAATGGGTTATAAATTTAACAAAACAGTGCGACTCAAAGGTTTGGATCATTATTAAAAATGCGAAAATTGGTCGAAATTAAAATTTTTTTTTTAATTAACCAAAAAATCGATAAAATGGGTTATAAGTTGAGCAAAACAGTGCGATCATTTTGTGTATACTACTCATTGACCCACCGTTTCCACATCCAAGCCAGGTGGCGCCCAGACGTGGCTGTGGCCCTCGAATCCCTGCTGCTCCCGCCGGATGTCCGCCTTGGACAACGCATTGTGCGTCCGCTTGGCCAGCGAGAGCTTTCCCAGAATGGGCCCTCCGCTGTCGCTCTCCTCGGTCTCCACCTCGGCCAGCATGGCCATGAACTCCTCCAGCTTCTTGGGATCCACAATCTCCTTGGGGTCCTGGAACAGATTGCTCAGATTCGAGATGGGCAGGGGCATGGCCATGAGATCAGGGGGCGGAGGAGCAGCAGGAGTAGCAGATCCTGTACCCGGAGTAACCGGCTGTGCATCCAATGGACTCTTAACCACCGGTGGTGGTGGCGCTGCCTGCTGCGGTTGCGTCTTCATCGTTTGCTCCACCAAATCGAAGGCCTTGTTGGCCAGCTGCTGCAGGCCGGCAAAGTAGTGGGGATCATGGGTCTCCGGCCGCTGATCGGACATCATGATGAGCTCCCTGAAGGGATCCGGAGCAGGTGGCGCCGGCGGAGGAGCAGCTGTGCTCGCCGAACTACGCAGTACAACGCCATTCGAGGAGGCCGGATTGTTGGCAAAGGTCAGCATGTCCATGGCATTGGTGAAATCGGAGTCGGCGTGCAAATTGTAGGGATCCTTGAGCTTCTGCTTGGCCACCTTCACGGGACTGGAAATGGAGGCACGCCCCCACATGAGGCGACGCATCTCCTCGCCGGTCATTCCACGTTTTTTGAGAGCTGTCAGCGTTACACGACCCACTCGCTGTAAGGAATTAGTTAGTACACAGATCAAGATCAAGTTATTCATATCATTTTGATATGAATAAAGATTATGTTAAATTTTTTTTATACTATTTGCTCAAAAAATACTAAATTTGGTATTTTTAATGATATGATATAATATCATTTTGATATGTTTGAATCTCAAAGTTGACATAAATCATATCGGCTTTTTATTGATATGAAATAAGGTAGAAATAACCCTATTTCATATCGGTTTTTTTTCTGTGTAGGGAGTGTAAAGATTACGTTAATTTTTTTTGTATATTATTTGCTCAAAAAATACTAAATTTGTTATTTTTTATGATATGATAAACTATCACGTTGATATGTTTGAATCATAAATTTGACATGATTCGGCTTTTTATTGATATGAAATAAGGTAGAAATAACCCTATTTCATATCGGTTTTTTTTTCTGCATCATCTCACCTTCCAATTAGACACCGCTCCCTTGCGCTGCTTGGCCCTCGTTTTGCTCTTGCTCTTGATCACCATCACGCCGCGCACCTCGAATCCCGAGTCGTCCGAGGGACCAAGCGGTATGGAGTAGGCCTCCAGATAGCCCTTGGCATCCGCCTGGGGAACGGCCCGCTCCAAAGTGACCACGATCTTGGCCCACTGCTTCATCCACTCCTTCTCCGACTGCTCGATCACGGTAACATAGGTGTTGCCCATCATGGCGATCAGCATGTTGAGCAGCAGGATGGGCACAAAGATCATGAAGATGATGAAAACGGTCTTGGAGAGATTCGGGTATGTGGTCTGGTTGAGATCGGGATACTGCAAGTGGATGAAAGGGACATAAAAAAGGGAACACATCACATGGCATTCCTCACATTATAATCCCCCAAGGTCGTTTGGAACAGGGCCATCCAGGTGCTCGTGTAGGTGTTGAACATGGTGGACTGCACCTGGGGATGCCCCTTGTACAGGAAGTAGAAGGCCTGCGAGAAGCCGCACAGCACAATGCAGTAGATGATGCCGAAGGTGAACATGTCGCCGGTGATCATGGAGTAGATCATGGTCACAAAGGGACCCGTCAGCCGAATGGCCCTAAAATGGAATAGCAGGGATTGGGTTTAGAATACCTTCCTCCAGTGGAAACTCACTCACCCCGCAAAGAACATGAGGAGGAACCAGGAGCCCGGAACAGCAAAGATCAGGATGGCCTCCTCGGTATCGGTGTCGCCGATCAGACGAAACGGAATGCAGGCCAGGATCAGCAGGTTGGAGAACAGGAAAATCGCCTTGGCCGGAGCATGGGACTATAAAAATTGTAATAAATTGTATGATACATCTTTTAAATATATTATTAATATAAAAAGTTTCTTATAGTTTAAAACTTTACGTTAGTTTTATAAAAATATATGAATTTAAAATGTTTCCGAATCGAAATAGTTTCAATCCTGACAAAATCCACTTAAAACATCTTTTAAAATATATTTAATATTTAATTTTTAATTTATATTAATAATCTTAATATTTACTTTATTTATTTAGTACTTCAAATTATGAGAAAAAACCGCAATGAATAAAAAACATGGCTAAAAATATTGAAATTGATTATGAAATCTTTGCAGTCACTGCTCTTTCGTTTGTCACTGATTACCAAATACTTGTAAGCTCCTTACCAGCTGCTTGAGAAAGGCGGATAGCCCCTGATTCTTGATCTCGTCGCCTTGCTGAAAGATCACGTAGCTTAGAACTCCAGCCAAAGTGGCAAATTCGGCGCAGTAGCGGGCCACCGTCTGGGCATTGTTCCCCTCGCCACCGTTTCCATTCCCATTCCCATCGTCCGCCTCCACATCCTGGAGAGCGGCTGCCGATCCATCAGATCCCTCGGAGTCCTCGGCCTCGCCCTCTCCATTGTGGGCGGGTCGCAGATATACCGAGACGGAGAGGCACAGCAGATGGGTGGACAGGATGAGCAGGCGCTTCAGGAACTGGTTCTGCGCAAACGTCTTCCACTTCTCCTCCAAGAGGCGCTGGATGATGCCACCGTCCAACATGTCCAGATGCTCCGGCTTGGTTCCGTTCAGGATGATGAACAAAGCGGAGTTCCAGTCTGATTTGGGAGGAAATAACTCAGGTTAAAAATTTAAAAATTTTTAAAAACAATCGAGATCCTGATTTTTCCTCCAAAAAAAATCAGTTTTTTGACCAAAACTTTGGAAGTAATGATCCAAATGTGGAGTGTAATAGCTCGTTGAGCTCGTAATTAAGTCCCCAGTCGATTGGCATTTAAATCTGAGAATTTTTAATTTTTGTCATTTTTTGCACAAAATTGTGATGTAACCCCTTATCAAAAATTTGAAAATTGGTGAAAAATTTAGTTTTTCCAAAATTGATGGGGATCGTTAGTTTAGGTTATTAGCTGCTCAAAACAGTCGATTTTTTGACTGTGCGCCTTTAATTGACCAAGTAATGATCAAAAAACCACAAAAAAATGTATTTTTGTAAAAATTCCTAGAGCTCATTTTCGGCCCCCAAAAATTCAGTTTTTTTGTCAAAACAATGCAAAAAATGGTCAAAATATGAAGTGTCATACCTCGTTGAGCTCGAAATTAAATTTCCAATCGATTGGCATTTACACCTAGAAATTTTTGAAATTTGTAATTTTTCGCAAAAAATTGTGATGTTACCCCTTATAAAAAATGTGAAAATTTATCAAAAAAAAAATTTCCCTGAAAGTGATGGGATTCGTTAGTATAGGTCGTAAGCTGTTCAAAACAGTCGGTCTTTTGGCTGTAGGACTTGAATTGTCCAAGCTACGACTAAAAAACCATATAAAAAAGGTTGATTTCGTCAAAAATTCGAATCCATAATTTCAACCCTAAAATATCAGTGTTTTAGCCATAATAATGGAAATAATGATCCAAATATGGAATGTCGTACCTTGTTGAACTCGTTATTTAATTCCCAGTCGATTGGCATTCAAATCTAAACATTTTCAAAATTTGTCATTTTTCGCTAAAAATTGTGATGTTACCCCTTATCAAAAATGCGAAAATTGAACAAAAAATAAATTTCCCCAAAACTGATGGGGATCGTTAGTATAGGTCGTTAGCTGCTCAAAACAGTCGGTCTTTTGACTGTGGGCCTTAAATTGTCCAAGCTACGACTAAAAAACCATAAAAAAAAGATTATTTTCGTCGAAAATTCGAATCCATATTTTCCACCCTAAAATATCCGTTTTTTGGTCGTAACAAGAGAAATAGTGATCGAAATATGGAGTGTCATACCTTGTTGAACTCGTATTGAAATTCCCAATCGATTGGCATTTAAATCTAAAAATTTTAATTTTTTTAAATTTTTTGCAAAAAATTATGATGTAACCAAAAGTGAAAAACGTGAAAATTGTTCCAAATGTAAATATTTTTAAATCAACCAAAAAGTGACAGCGATCGATTGATTGGGTTATTAGTTGAACAAAACAGTGCGTCTTTTAGGTTTGGGATCATTTTTGACCAAGTTACAGCAAGAAAACACTAAAGAAAACGAATATTTTTTCCAAAAACCCAGATGCTGAATTTCTATACTTACTTTAACTTTTACTTTTTACTATACTTTTTATAAAATTATACTTAAACCAATATGGGATATATAAATCTTATAAAAATGGTTATAGTCTTTCCGTCTAACAGTACTCACTGGTCCTTCCGTCCGGCAGTAGAGTGTCCAGTGCGTTGAGCGGGTAGCCGGAGCAGGTGATGTTGCTGTACCGCCAGAACTCCCTGGCGGAGAGCTCCAGCATCTCGCGGAACAGCTCCTCGCGTCCCAGCTTGCAGGCCAAAGTGAGCGGCGTCAGTCCCGTCTGGTTGACAATCCCGTTCTTCGCCGGCGTCTTGGGATGCCTCAGGGCATAGCCAAACATGTCCAGCTTGTCGCAGACCACCACCATGTGCAGGATCATGTTGCCGAAGGAGTCCTGGGCATCCGGATCGGAACCGCAGTCCACCAGCAAATTGTAGACACTCTCGTTCGCACAGCAGGCGGCCCAGGCCAGCGGATACTCGCCCATGTAGGCCAGTCCCTCGTAGTCGGTGCTCTTGGCCGGATTAGCCCGCTGTTGGTCGCGGGGCAGGAAGAAGCTACCGATGGCCCGCTGATTGATATTCGCCCCGGCCTCGATGAGATCCGCCACCAGCTCGTTGTTGCTGTAGGCAATGGCCAAGTGCAGGGCACTCGCCCCCAGATACTCCTCGCCCTCCATCACGTCCAGCGCCAGATTGGGAAACACACGGAGCAGCACCCTCGCCAGCTTGGTGTGCACCTTGGAGTCACAGATGATCAGCACATGGAGCAGACTCTCGCCCAGGGCGCCGCGATACTGCATCTGCCAGCAGGCCTTGTGATCCTCCCACTTGCCCAGCGGATCGTGGATGGACAGCGATGCCTCGATGGGTATGGTCACCTCGGTGTGGTCGCGGTACTTCCAGCGCAGGAACTCCGCCCGGTTGATCACCTGACCCTTGCCGTCGTTGTACATGAACACGCCGAACTGCTCGCGGATCAGCTGCTCCACGGCAATCAGGCCGCCCGTGTTGATGGCGTCGATGAGGTCACCACCTGGTTTGGGTTATTGGTTATTAGTATTGGGTTTTGTACATCTGCATTTATAGATCTCATGTGATTTATACATAGGTATTTAAAACTAAGAAATACCACTATTCCCACCAACAACAATTGGTTTTAAAAATATTTCGGGGTCACCAAATACTAAAACCAGCGCAATCATGGCAGTTATATTATTTATATTCATAGATCCTATGTGTGGCTCATCTAAGTCCAACAAATACCTATTTTTGCACTTATATTAGTTAGTTTTAAATTGCATCGGGGTCACCAAATTAATAAATCCTGTTCTTAAAGCCTTTTCATATATAGGACCATTGTTTAAATTATAATGCAGGTTATACAAAATAAAATACATGCTTTTAAAGGTAAATTAAAGACAGAAAAAACCTGTAAATCGGGGTCACCAACTCCCTTACTAAACATTAAACCGCAAATATTTAGAGGTATTGTCACTTTAATATCGGGTTTTCCATAGGTAAAGTTAGAAAGCTGGAAGTGAAGTTATAGAACAACCTTCTCCTACGCCTTATAACAGCGGATCGGGGTCACCACTCACCTCTTTTGTAATCCGCCAGCTTGTAGAGCAGGCACTTGCAGGCGGTGGCCGAGGATTGCGAGATGACGGCATCCAAGATGGCCCCTGGCTTCATCTCCGGCGCCTTCTTGCGAAGGCATTTCTTCAGCAGGAACTTCATATCCGCCACCTGGTCACCAATCCGTGCTCCGACTTCAACTGGCCCTCTGGGGAAAATTCGCACAACCTTCCCAGCTTGTTTGTTCGATGACCCATGGTGTCAAGAACCAAAAAGACAACTCGTTGTCCTGGCAACCACCCACCAAACCAAACCGACAAAACAGTTCGATTCCAGCTTTAAAGATAAACAATAATATGGTTTAAATAAAAAAATATATGTAATACAGTTAAAGTAAAGAAAAACATTTTGAATTTATATTTTTCGCTTGTTTTTTTTATTGAATTATGTATATAAATATATTTTTGCCTTCATTATTATTATTGTAATTATAACTTAGTGCTAGAGTATCGGATGGGGGTTATCGGATATACTCGTACTGTAAAATAAATTGTATAAATAATGTGTATGCTTCTGATTCCGATTCTGCTCCTTCTGCCGATGCTTCTGCATCCTACTTCTTCTCTACTTCACTCTCTGCCTACACACTCGTCAATCGTGAATCGTCAATCAATCAATCGTCGTCCTTCACTCGTTTATCATCGTATTATATATCGCTTGAAGTTGTATTTTCGTATATTGGTATTGTTATAGATATATATAAATATAAATATAAATAAGAGAGACGTTCGAAAATCGTAATCGAATATGGCTAATAAATACAGAATGACATAATATCTGCGGGCGGTCGGTTCGGGGAATTTGGAATGGGATTTTGTTTGGGGGGGGAGGACATTATAGAACTGCGATCCCTTTGTTTCCCCGATCTAAATCGATTCCATATCCACAGACCTCTGGAAATTCGTCTTCTTTTTGGGATAATCTCTGACATATAAGTACTAGTCGAGGATCAGATCAGATCAGAATGTTAAGCGAATACTTTTGTCAGTCGTTCCATGGCGTTTGGATTTAAATGCAGCTTGGAGTTTGATTTTGAATTGGAATATGGAATATAGAATTGGCTTTGCGACGTTTATATGCCTATAACTATGCGTATGGTATGTGTGTGTATATATAATCTGTATAATAGAACCTTGTCTAGCACAATATTGCCCGTTACCCGAGAATTGGTCTGGTCTGTTATGTTGTTCTTGTTTTGTTTTCGAAAGATTTTTATAGATTTGCCACTCTATTCGCTATTATGCTGTTGGATCAGTTCAGTCGTTTCAGCCGGAAGTTGGCCTTGGTTTTCAGTTACGATTGGTATACAAAATATATACTATATATATATCGTGTATATATATGTGTAAATGTGTATATTCTATTGCAAGTACAAAACGTTATTGCCTATGGGTATGCTACTCGAGTTACGTTCTATTGCCTTTTTTCATTTTTCACTTTTTTATAAACGCATTTCAATGGCAACTTATTACTTTCCTTTTTCGGGTTAGTAGGGGATTTTTTCGGGGGTGCAGGATATTCAGAGGATGGAGATCCATTCAGATCTGTTCAAGTCTTTTCGTTATACATTTTGGAATTGTTGTTTGCATGTCTTTTCGGTTTGATTCGGCTGTTGCAGTATGTTTGATTTACGCATTATACAGTACAAAAATTGTCTTGTCTCGCTTGATTGTAATTCTCAGCAAATATTTTTTGGCTACAGTCTATATGTTTTAGTTTCTTGTCTTGGATGGGGGAATGAAAAGGTGTCTGGGATTACAGGATTACAGGGGGTGAAATAATGCGAAAGAGGGGGACAGACACACACTCTCTCGCTCTCTCACTCACTCACTCGCATGCATGCAGACATGAAACAAACTGAGAGGGAAATACATATGCGTATATGTAAAAGTAGTATCATCTAAGTCCTTCCATATATCCTATACATATATGGCCACACAAACTGAAGGACTCGGGGAGAACCCAGGAAATTAATCGTAAGTGTAAACACCTAAGTAGGCTAAACTAATTTTGGACTAACTACTTAAATAGCACACATAAAAAACACAAAATATATGTATGGGTAAATTATAAAAAAAATTAATACACACAAAATATATAGATTTAAAAAAAAAACAACACAAACAAAACGAACAAAACTGGCTTATGATTTGTAATTTGGCAATTATTGAGCAACTGCAGTAAATTGGCGGAGGAGCGAGGAACTAAATGCTGGGATTCTGACGAGGATCGAGGAATGAGGATCGAGGGATGAGGATGTCGTGTGTTGTGTTAGTTTTACTTTCGGCTTAACTACGAGTTCTCTATATACGCTCGCCCACAAGTATATATATGTTGTTTATGTTTATGTCGAGCACTTTTGCTGTTGCTTCTGCTGCTGTCATGTCTAGATTGGTAAAAAAAAGAGTTACGCCCATTGGTTAAACGCTAAATTGTGAACTGATTCATGTCCGCCGCAGACGCTGGCTGCACTGCTACTCCTGCCACTCGTTCTCGTCCACGCCCTCCATGTCGTCCTGCTCCAGCTTGGTGGTGAACTCCATGCGCGCGCTAACCGATTTCTGGATCTGTAATGTAGATACGTAGAGATATTTAGTAAGATATATATAATTTTTAAATTTTTAAAATAAAAAGAATTATAATATAACATCTAGAAACATCTCTTAAATTAAATATACAACCCTATAAGTAAATAAAAAGAAACCCTTATAGATATTTCATAAGGTATTCTAGTACGTATACATAAGTATATTAATTCTATAAACATAACTTAAATTCTTCCTAACAATCCTTAAATTAAGTATAAAAGAAACAAAAACCCCCTTAGATCTTTAATAAGGTATTCCACTTATACTACTCATAAGTATATCTTATATCTTCTATAAACACAAATTTAATTCTTCCTAACAATCCTAAAATGAAGTATAAAAGAAATAAAAAAAACCCTTAGATCTTCAATAAGAATACCTTACTTATAAGTATAAGTCTATAAACACAAATTAAATTCTACCTAACAATCCGAAATTTAACTATAAAAACACCATTTAAAAAGGTATTTTACTTTATACACCTAATTTTAGGCCCTCGCATTGCAAGTTATAGTTTTGTAAACATCAAAAACATCTTATAAATAAATAAATTATATATAATAGATGATAAGATTGACTAGAGCCCACCTCCTGCTGTTTGTTGATCTCGAATTCCGACTTCTGACCGCCGAACTGGGGATGATCCGGTTTCTTCACAGGCTGCGCTGGCACTTGCTGTATGGAAGATACTGCAAAACAGAGATGACATATTAGTACATATAATAAACCCACAGCATCCTTCCTATTTCACTCACATGTCTCCATGCCCTCCGGCTTCAAGCTGACCTTGGGTGCCGCCTTATCGTTGCTGGCAAACCAGTCCTCGGCGCTTAGCGTGGCGCTCCAGGTGATGCGTGTGGGTGGGAACAGATCGTCTTGGAACAGCTCGCTCTAAAAAAGAAGAACCATTTAGTATACAAAATTCAAATAATAACAAAGAAAACCCACCTTAATGCGGGGCATGGTTTAAATAAAAAAATATATGTAATACAGTTAAAGTAAAGAAAAACATTTTGAATTTATATTTTTCGCTTGTTTTTTTTATTGAATTATGTATATAAATATATTTTTGCCTTCATTATTATTATTGTAATTATAACTTAGTGCTAGAGTATCGGATGGGGGTTATCGGATATACTCGTACTGTAAAATAAATTGTATAAATAATGTGTATGCTTCTGATTCCGATTCTGCTCCTTCTGCCGATGCTTCTGCATCCTACTTCTTCTCTACTTCACTCTCTGCCTACACACTCGTCAATCGTGAATCGTCAATCAATCAATCGTCGTCCTTCACTCGTTTATCATCGTATTATATATCGCTTGAAGTTGTATTTTCGTATATTGGTATTGTTATAGATATATATAAATATAAATATAAATAAGAGAGACGTTCGAAAATCGTAATCGAATATGGCTAATAAATACAGAATGACATAATATCTGCGGGCGGTCGGTTCGGGGAATTTGGAATGGGATTTTGTTTGGGGGGGGAGGACATTATAGAACTGCGATCCCTTTGTTTCCCCGATCTAAATCGATTCCATATCCACAGACCTCTGGAAATTCGTCTTCTTTTTGGGATAATCTCTGACATATAAGTACTAGTCGAGGATCAGATCAGATCAGAATGTTAAGCGAATACTTTTGTCAGTCGTTCCATGGCGTTTGGATTTAAATGCAGCTTGGAGTTTGATTTTGAATTGGAATATGGAATATAGAATTGGCTTTGCGACGTTTATATGCCTATAACTATGCGTATGGTATGTGTGTGTATATATAATCTGTATAATAGAACCTTGTCTAGCACAATATTGCCCGTTACCCGAGAATTGGTCTGGTCTGTTATGTTGTTCTTGTTTTGTTTTCGAAAGATTTTTATAGATTTGCCACTCTATTCGCTATTATGCTGTTGGATCAGTTCAGTCGTTTCAGCCGGAAGTTGGCCTTGGTTTTCAGTTACGATTGGTATACAAAATATATACTATATATATATCGTGTATATATATGTGTAAATGTGTATATTCTATTGCAAGTACAAAACGTTATTGCCTATGGGTATGCTACTCGAGTTACGTTCTATTGCCTTTTTTCATTTTTCACTTTTTTATAAACGCATTTCAATGGCAACTTATTACTTTCCTTTTTCGGGTTAGTAGGGGATTTTTTCGGGGGTGCAGGATATTCAGAGGATGGAGATCCATTCAGATCTGTTCAAGTCTTTTCGTTATACATTTTGGAATTGTTGTTTGCATGTCTTTTCGGTTTGATTCGGCTGTTGCAGTATGTTTGATTTACGCATTATACAGTACAAAAATTGTCTTGTCTCGCTTGATTGTAATTCTCAGCAAATATTTTTTGGCTACAGTCTATATGTTTTAGTTTCTTGTCTTGGATGGGGGAATGAAAAGGTGTCTGGGATTACAGGATTACAGGGGGTGAAATAATGCGAAAGAGGGGGACAGACACACACTCTCTCGCTCTCTCACTCACTCACTCGCATGCATGCAGACATGAAACAAACTGAGAGGGAAATACATATGCGTATATGTAAAAGTAGTATCATCTAAGTCCTTCCATATATCCTATACATATATGGCCACACAAACTGAAGGACTCGGGGAGAACCCAGGAAATTAATCGTAAGTGTAAACACCTAAGTAGGCTAAACTAATTTTGGACTAACTACTTAAATAGCACACATAAAAAACACAAAATATATGTATGGGTAAATTATAAAAAAAATTAATACACACAAAATATATAGATTTAAAAAAAAAACAACACAAACAAAACGAACAAAACTGGCTTATGATTTGTAATTTGGCAATTATTGAGCAACTGCAGTAAATTGGCGGAGGAGCGAGGAACTAAATGCTGGGATTCTGACGAGGATCGAGGAATGAGGATCGAGGGATGAGGATGTCGTGTGTTGTGTTAGTTTTACTTTCGGCTTAACTACGAGTTCTCTATATACGCTCGCCCACAAGTATATATATGTTGTTTATGTTTATGTCGAGCACTTTTGCTGTTGCTTCTGCTGCTGTCATGTCTAGATTGGTAAAAAAAAGAGTTACGCCCATTGGTTAAACGCTAAATTGTGAACTGATTCATGTCCGCCGCAGACGCTGGCTGCACTGCTACTCCTGCCACTCGTTCTCGTCCACGCCCTCCATGTCGTCCTGCTCCAGCTTGGTGGTGAACTCCATGCGCGCGCTAACCGATTTCTGGATCTGTAATGTAGATACGTAGAGATATTTAGTAAGATATATATAATTTTTAAATTTTTAAAATAAAAAGAATTATAATATAACATCTAGAAACATCTCTTAAATTAAATATACAACCCTATAAGTAAATAAAAAGAAACCCTTATAGATATTTCATAAGGTATTCTAGTACGTATACATAAGTATATTAATTCTATAAACATAACTTAAATTCTTCCTAACAATCCTTAAATTAAGTATAAAAGAAACAAAAACCCCCTTAGATCTTTAATAAGGTATTCCACTTATACTACTCATAAGTATATCTTATATCTTCTATAAACACAAATTTAATTCTTCCTAACAATCCTAAAATGAAGTATAAAAGAAATAAAAAAAACCCTTAGATCTTCAATAAGAATACCTTACTTATAAGTATAAGTCTATAAACACAAATTAAATTCTACCTAACAATCCGAAATTTAACTATAAAAACACCATTTAAAAAGGTATTTTACTTTATACACCTAATTTTAGGCCCTCGCATTGCAAGTTATAGTTTTGTAAACATCAAAAACATCTTATAAATAAATAAATTATATATAATAGATGATAAGATTGACTAGAGCCCACCTCCTGCTGTTTGTTGATCTCGAATTCCGACTTCTGACCGCCGAACTGGGGATGATCCGGTTTCTTCACAGGCTGCGCTGGCACTTGCTGTATGGAAGATACTGCAAAACAGAGATGACATATTAGTACATATAATAAACCCACAGCATCCTTCCTATTTCACTCACATGTCTCCATGCCCTCCGGCTTCAAGCTGACCTTGGGTGCCGCCTTATCGTTGCTGGCAAACCAGTCCTCGGCGCTTAGCGTGGCGCTCCAGGTGATGCGTGTGGGTGGGAACAGATCGTCTTGGAACAGCTCGCTCTAAAAAAGAAGAACCATTTAGTATACAAAATTCAAATAATAACAAAGAAAACCCACCTTAATGCGGGGCACTGTGAAGCTTAGCGGCTCGATGGTGGTATTGGTCAGCCGATAGGCCTTCGAGAACTCCACGCTGGCCACATCGCAGTGGTTCTTGGTGAGGAAGCTGAGGCCCTGGTGCAGCGAGGTGCAGCGATGGTGCGACAGCGGGCAGATGTACGGCTCCTCGTCGGTGATCTCGTAGCAGTAGATGGTCGAGTCGCCCTTGCCGGTGACGAACAGCGTGGAGCTGTCCTCGTCGTAGTAGGGTATCAATATCGAGGGCGACACATCCAAACTGGCCGTGTTCAATGGCGTCGACAGCTTTTGGGCATTGTACACGCTAATCTGTCGCTCGGAAACCCTGTTAAAATGGTAAATATAAGTTTGGAATTAATGGAAATTCATTTGTGCATTTCTAATATAGCGTGAATCATTCAATTTTTGTTTTCTGATTTGTTTAATTCAATTCTATGTGAAATAAATTGAATGTTTTTCTAATTCATTTCGAATTGAATGAATGAATGAATAATTTTTAAGAATAGATTTTTTTTTGTGCTTTCTTTTGAGAACAAAAAGTGGAACATTTTTAACTAATCAATGTTAACTGCTTAGTAAATAAAATTCAGGCAGATTTAATCACAAAATGATGGCTCTTTCTTCAAAAGAAATTGTCGTTGAAATTATTTCGTAATTCATGGCAATTCTATTCTATTAAACTCAAAATTCTAATTAATTCATTTAGATAAAACAAAAAAAATTTAAAATAATTCATTGGATCCATTCTAACAACCTAAACTTACTTATCAAATCCAGTGCAGACTATGTAGTGCCCCTCCAGCGCCCAGGTGATGCGAGCTCCTCGAGTTCCCACCGGTCCATTGCCCTCCCTGATGGGCGTCTCCGATTTCCTCGGATTGTAGACCCTAATCTTGCCATCCTTGCACACGCTGGCGCCCAAACGGCCGCAGGGACTCCAGGCGAAGTCAAAGATCTGATCCGTGTGCCCCGACAGCGAGCACTTCTCGCTCATGGTGCGCAAATCCCACAGCTTGATGGTCATATCGTAGCTGGCGGTCAGCAGAACGTCGGCGGCCAGCGGATGGAAACGGATAAAGTAGATCTTGTCCAGGTGAGCGGTCAGCTCGCCGGCTGGCGAATTTGTCGGCTCACTCAGTCCGCCGGCTTCGATGTGCCAGAGCTTCACGATGCCATCGTCGCAGGCGACGGCCAAACGCTGGGCATCGAAGGGATCCCACTGGAAGTCCATGATGTTGCTGCCGTTCACAAGCGATGGAATCACGCCATCCGGCAGTCGTCCCGGTCGGCTCAACTCGAAGATGGCTATCTTGCCGCCGGGTCCGGAGAGGGGAACCGCCACGCGCTCCTGGTTGGCATGGAAGCCATTGCATTCGCCCGGTATCTGGCGGCTCAGATTGCGCAAATTCTCGATGTGCGTCGACTTGTGGCCGGGAGTGCCCTTCAAATGCCTGAACTTGGACACCTTGCCGAAGACGGTGGAGGTGCGCTTGGTGCTGGCCGCACTGAAGGCCGCCTCCGTGGCGGATTTCTTCAAACCGGCGGCGCCATTCCCGCGGCGATGCTCCTCCATTAGTTTGCCCTCCGGCACCGAAATGCGCTTGGTGTCGATCTGCTGCTGCTGCTGCTGTTGACTGGGCTTCAGTGGCTCCACTTTGGAGTGCTCGCGACGCCTGTGATTAAAGGAAAGAGAGAAATTAGTTAGTGGGAATATTAGGATTAAAGATATAGAACCTACAATGGCACTGGCGACTGGGGCTTTTCGTCCACCTGACTCTTGGAGCGATTCTCGTAGATGCGCCGCCTCTCGGCAAAGCTGCTCCTCGAGGAGCAGCTGCGTCGCAGATCCGCATCCGTGCGATCTTCGCCCTCCGCCGAATTCTCCGACGACTCGGAGCTCTGCTCGAATATCTAGGTGATAGAAAGCCAAGTAAAAAAGGAATTAGTTTGTGATGGAATAGTAGGGTTATCCCTTTTTTGCAGACCTTATCGGATGATTCATCATCGTCAGCCGAGGACTACTCAGTTGTTGTGGTAGTTCCCATTGCAGAGTTGGAGAATTAGGTTGTTAGGTTGGTTAGTAGTTGGATTTAGAGAACGGGAATCGGGAAAGTTTTTAGGCAGAAGAAGGCGAATTTTGTTGTTGGCAGAGAGGCATGTAAAATCAGAACGTTATAGTATAGGATTGATTATAGGATAAACGCACATAAAGAGGAGATCTTAGTAGTTAATCTGACTTACCTTGCGACGCTCCGAGGTGGTTAGCGATTTCTGGACTCCATTTCCGCCCACCACAGGCTCCCTTTCGTGTTTCTCTGTGTGGGAAACGGGAATTGGGATTAATATAAAGTAATGATAGTAATAATAATAATATATCCTCACTTTTGATTTCGATTTCCACAATGAGATCTGGCTTTGGCCCCTGGGCGGGCGGGATCAGCTCCGCCACTCCGCTTTCCTGGCCCACGTTCGAGATGTTCTCATGGGATCCCGGCGCCAGGGGAACGGCGAACACCTTGTCGAACGACACGTCACCCGTGGTGCTGGAGAAGGGCTTCGGGCCCAAACGTGGCTGTGGAACCATAAAAATCCATTGGTGTTTACTAAATATCCAGCATAATAATCTTATAAATAATAATAAAGTCTGGGCTTATAAACCAACTGACAATGTAGCAATAGGTAAACAAAATGAATAAAAATCCATTGGTGTTTACTAAAAATCAAGCATAAACTGTACAAATAAAGTCTGGGTTTATTAACCAACTGAAAATGTAGCAATAGGTAAACAAAATGATATCGCAATCAACTGAAAACAGAATCCATACTAGTTTCGCAAGAAACGCAAACATCAAACCAACTGTAATTGAAGAAAAACAAACGTAAAACGCTGAAATATGAATCAGTGGATAAATGTGCATCAGTGCAAGAAAACTGAGAAACTAAAGACTAGCGACTGGTACACAAAAGTAAAATAAACAAATAAAAATTTGAAACCAATTCATATACAAATAATAAATAAAACAAGAGTACTTTGATTATCAAATACTCGGTACTCAGCTAAAGGGAGTGCGAGGGAGATGGAGATATGCAGTCGTCAAGGCTACTGGCGCCACCTATCGGCTGTTTTACAACTTTTAAATGGATTATCCGATTTGAAAATTTTCTTCTACATTTCGATGGGTATTAAAAAATATAACAAAGTGACATTTACACTTTTACAAAATCTGTTAAGATGTGGACGCCAGGGTATTTTTTAAATCCTCTACGAGTAACGGGTATAATTACGATTGGGAAACAACAATTTCAACAATAAAAACTCCTAACGAAATCAAAATGAACTCAAAAATAATAGCAATACGACCTTAAAAAAAAATCTAAAAAACAAACAATAAGGAGTGGCAGCCAAGTGGATTGTGATATGACGGATGACGGCACCTTGTAGGCAGACGCAGCCGTGGTGCGCGGCCTCGGGCGTGGCGTGGTGGTGCTGCTCGATTCCCCAGCGGAATCGCTGGCCTCCGGCAGGGAATTGTTGCGCGAGGTGCGCGGCATGGGCTTCGGCGGCGAGTGGCTGCCGCTGGCCGAGTGATTGTCCATTCCACCGCCGGATGAGTGCGAGGAGTGCTCCTCGCTGCTGCCCGTCGAGTGTTCCTGCTCGGTGGGCGACTCCTTGTCATCCTCCTGGGACTGGGCGTAGGCATTCGCCGCCTTCTCCTTCTCCGAGTCCACCTTGTATTTGGCCTCGAACTTCCGGATGAGCTCACTGCACTCCCCATCCGGCTGCGACTGTTGGGATTGCGAGGCAGTGCTCTTCTTTCCGTTGCTCTCGCTGCTGTTGTCATTGCCGTTCTTCTCCTCGAAATTGTTGCCCTTGTTCAGCATGACAAAGTGCTCGTTATCGTTGCGCTTGGCGGCGGTGGTTTGGCTCTTGGCCCGCTGATTCTCCAGGTTCTTAACGAAATCGCTTAGGTTGCCGCGATGAATCTGCATTGATGGCCAAAGGGGTGATTAAACCAAGGAACCCTAACAATCTGAAACCCTTTCCCTGTCCATCTTATATTCTACAAGTCGGAACCTAAGAAATACCCTTTCAAAACTTACAATAATTGGCTCATCGCCATGCTCGCGCTTGGCGGGATCGAGGCTCATCTTGGGCACCGCCTGGTTGCTGCCATTCAGCCATTCGCCGGCCACCAGTTCCGTCTTGTAGCCCGTGGTCTCCGGATAGAGATCGGCATGGAAATCGCGATATGTCTGGTTGATCATACAATTAATTAGTTAATTTTTCAATTAAAATTCCAAGGGTTTACTTTACCTTCCTGGGCACCTGGTACATAATGGGTATGACCATGTTAGAGGTCAGCTGCAGCACTCGGTTGACCTCCGCCTCCATGACCTTGAGCGCCCGCTTGGGCACCAGACAGGCGCCCTTCGTCTGCTCGCCGGTGTGACGCAGTCCCTCAATCAAATACGGATCCTTGTCCGTAATCTCCAGATAGTTAATCGTCGTATCGCCCTTGCCGGCCAGGAAGAGCATATTCGTGTCGGGATCGAAGAGCGGCATTAGAATGCCCGTGGAGCAGTCCAGTTCGAGGGTCTTTTCGGGCGTGCTGAAGTTGCGCACATCGCGGATGATCACCTGACGCAGGCGGGCGGCATCGAAACCGGTGGTCAGGATGCGCTGCTGATTGCCCAGCCAGACGACGCGCGAATCCTTGATGCTCTGGTGCGATTCGGCGGTCAACTGGATGGGCGAACCGGCGGCTCGGGGATCGAAGATACGCACGCACTTGTCCTTGCAGCTGGTGGCCAAAACGGAGCCATCCTCGCGCCAACTGGCCGACTGTATCACCTCCGGGTGCTCATTGTTCGCTGAGGAGAAGAAAGGCATATTTATTACAGATTCTCTTGCAAAAGTGGAGGCAGTGACTCACAGAAGATCTCCTTTTGGGTGCTGAGATCGAAGAGGGCCACACAGCCGGCGGCTGTGGAGTACATCAGGCCATCGGCCGTCGGATGGAAGCCCACTGTCTCCACGCGACGCTGCTTGTGTGAGAAGATGGCCTCCGGATCGGAGAGCGACTGCTCCAGACCCTTTTCCGGTATGTGCCAGATCTTAACCTGTGGATAGGCGGGAATTGTTTGATTAGCAGGGGAGTTTTCTTATAAAGTTCGTCATAATAATTTTTTTACTATCAAGTATGTGACTAATTTTTGGTTTGTGACTGAGATATTGCTATTAATAAAGCATTATTGATGGCTACTTGATATAACTAATAGTTCCTTAGTATTTTTATTGAGATTACAATAAAAAAGTAACGAATATGTGAGCCATTTTCTGAGTAATTTGGGATTTTTTGGGTTACTTACAAATAAATAAATAAAATCTTAAAATTCCACACAAGCGGATGTCCATATTCCAAGTATATATCATTGGAATAATGATGACTATTTACATTTTATATGTATGTTTTTTCGCAGTTGAAGGCATTTATTTAGATTAATATTTATATTATTTAATATATTATAAAAGTTGAGTCAAAAGTTTTGACGGAGAGTTATGTATAATAAACACATAGTATATAGAAAGTAGGTAATCAAAATACAGATTTCAATAAATAAACCTTTAAAAAAAAGATCCAAATATTTGATAGTTTTATAGAAATATAAAGACTAAGTGGAGACTAACTATTTCTGAATTATATTTATAAAGAGGGTTGTATAAAGAAAACAGCTAATCAAAATAAAGATTTAAATAAATAAACTTTTAAAATAAAGATCCAAATATTTGAGAGTTTTATAGAAACAAAGGCTAAGTCGAGACTAATTAAATATATCTGAATTGTATTAATAAAGAGGGTTAGATATAGAAAGTAGGTAATCAAAATAAAGATTTAAATAAATAAACCTTTAAAATAGCGATCCAAATATTTGAGTTTTATAAAAATATAAACCCTCAGTGGAGACTAACGATTTCTGAATTATACTTATAAAGAGGAGATAAATAGTTTTCAGATTCCCTGGCCTACATCCCAAATCCCAATGATCCCTTACCAGGCAATCCTGCGAGGCGGTGGCCAGCAGTCCGTCGTGGAACGGCGAGAACTTGAGGTCCGTCACTGTGTCCGTGTGCCCGTGGAGCAGCGGCATGGTCTTGCTCTTCCGCCCGCAATCGTCCAGCGGGAGGACGGCCACACTGGAACCGGTGTGCTCCCAGTTGAAGGCCATGAAGGCGCCGGAGGCGGCGATATTATTCCCGTAGGTCTGGTAGCTGCCCACGCAGATCTCGCGGACGCAGGCCTCCGCCTTGGGCACAATGGGTGCGGCATTTTTGTACTTGGAAGCCTTGAATCGCCAGGCCATAATTACTGGTTGCTGCTCCGCGATGTGATGGCGATGGTGAAGGCGATCCGATGCGGATGTGGACACTGGATGTTCGCTGCTCGAGTGCGGAGTATAGAATGTGGATTGTATATGCTATATGGTATAGGCCAGTCGCTCTCTTTCGCTCGGCTATCCTCTCCCTCTTCCTCTCCAGTTGCGTTTCTGGAAAATGGCAAACATAGCCGTATAAGTATGATATCACTTGGTGGGTGCGGATGCGCGGATGTGCGGATGTGCGGGGGACATTCCACAGTTTGTTATCGGTTTGTTGCCGCTCCCCTGACTCATCGGAGAATCCGATAAGGCAAACAATAGGCGATAAAAAAAAGAATAACATTTAATAATAATACAAAAAATAACAAAAAAGAGAGATGAGATGCACTTGCTATTGCGACTAGGCGGCTATTGAAAAGAGAAAGCTGGACAAGAATGGTGTCCACTAAAGCCGGATGAGCCAGACCCACCAACACACTCGCACTGTGTTTGTGTGTGTGTATGCGAATGTTTGTTTGTACACCAGGAAAGGCGAGGAAAAACACTGGGCAAAATTACTGGTGATCCTAACTATTGTGGCTTGGAAAATATATATTTTTCTGCTTTTACGCGAACTTTACAAGTGCACAAACCATGCGATCCAGTCGGCGGTAAGGGTTAATATGCCACACCTAAGGGTTAACGATCCTTTTGATAAATTTCACGGAGAGTTTCACACAAACACACGCACACCCGGCAGTATATGGCTACAGTAAGCACTCTAAGGATAAGACAACAAATAGGGAGTTTATAAAATTAGAATCTAAGCTTGGTAATACAATAAATACTTTATTTCTCATAGTTTAATGATTTTTATTTTTTTCACTACTATTATTATTTATTTATTTACTATTTAGAGAGGACACACTGTAATTTCCCAAGTGCAGTTAGCAGTTAGCGGTGAGAGAGAGAGATGGAGAGAGAGAGCATGCGCCAATTCAACTGTTAGAAAGCGGCAAAACAAATGACCACTGGGGGGAAAAGGAGGCGGGGCGGGGCAGGGGGCGGGTGGCCAAGCAGGTATTGGCCAGCCACCAGGTAATGGGGTCAAGTGATTTAGAAAAAAAACAAACACACAGCGAAAAATCAAAGGCAATTTACAACAGGCGATGTTGCAAAGTGAGAGCGAGACGGGAACAGGTGCAACCTGCAGGAGAGCTGAGCTAACGGTTAACGGGCGGCGTGGGAGAGCACAGAGCGCATCTCATCTGCATCTGCATCCCTCTCCCTCTCTCTCTCTTTCGCTTGGTTGGGGGTGGCTGAAAACAAGCCGGTTGTTTTCACCCACTGCCCACTAAACACACACAAACACACATGTACATATATATATATGTGCACTCCTGGTGGTTGGTTTTTGGTCACGTTGTTGTTGTTGTTGCCGTCCACTGCTTATATGCATTTATTGACATTTTCCCGACTTTTCCTCTATTCCTGTTTTTTTTTTCTGCATATTTTGCAACCGATTATTGGGTGTTACTTTCTAGTTGCGTGCAATTAATTGGGCAGCGACGGGGGTGGTGGGGTGATTTTCTTTTTCTGGTTCCTGTTTTCTCGCTTTTCTCTCCTTTTTCTTTTTTTTTTTTTGCAGCACACCCTGGCGCCGGCAGAAGAAGAAGAGGAAGAAGAAGCTCAGGCGGCGGCAATGACAATGACAACTACAAATGCAACAACAAGGGGCGAAGGAGAGGAGGGGAGGGGGTGGTGCAACTACAACAACAACAACTGCGCAAAGGCGACGCCGCTTTTTTTATGGGCAAACAAAGGAGCACTTTTGCACACACACACACACACACGCACGCACGTACGCCAAACTTGCAGCGCTGCAACTGCACACGCACACACACACGCAGAGGCGGAAAATGTACATAGACGCGCGCCGGCAATTTAATTTATAACTTTAGTTGCTATTAATTACCAACTCGGGACCACAATTAATCCGAGCACAATTTAAATTTCAAGTCGGCTGTGGTATTTTTGGCAGTATATAAATACCGGAAAATCCCTGAGAAAAATCGGGCAAAAGATACTAATTTTTGCCTATTTTTCGATTTTTGAAAATAAAAATATCAGTATATCGATATATCGATAGTGTGTTGGGCTCCAGGGGATCGATAGTTTTGTCATCTCTATTTCAGCTATTTTCCCACCAGATCTAGCGTTTTTTGTGTTCAAAACGGGAAATCCCAAATACCTGCAGTTTCTGCGCAGCTTATTTTATTTATTTATTATATTTTAAATTACCTTTTTTTAGCTAACTAATGGGTTTCAGCATTAGCCTTACTAAGCATTACTATAAGACAGTTTTTCCACTTATTCAGAAGCAACGCCAGTAATCGGTATAACCTATAACTTTCAAACTCTTGGGAATATAATTCGTTTATTTGTGAGTTTTAATCAACATTTTTTTTTGTTCTTTTCAGCTGATGAATTGATGATGATTGATGGAATGTCAAATAAAGGGTTTCCTTATCTCCTCGAAGGTTCTGCCAGTCAACTCTATTTGCTGTTGCAGGCTATTTTTTTTCAGGCTTTTTGGAACTGGAAGTTCCTGCACCGGACGCCTTAGCCCCACGCGAGGTTGAGGCGCCTGGGGACGCTTCTTGGCCAACATCTGGGCGCTTACTGTAACGAGCAATCGCAGCGTCTATATCGGCAATAAGAGCTGCAGTTTCGGGATCCATTTGCTCCTTATTGCGGATTGCCTGAGCCTCTAAGTCTGCTTCCTCCTCGGGATCCATTGGTCCATCAAAAGCGCTCAGATCCAACGAATCCAAGCCCATGAGCGTTTGAAGTCCTATATTCTGCAAAAAGGCAAACTCCAGGTGGGGAAACGAAATGGGCTGCTCAGTGTACTCCAGAATATCCTTGCCGCAGGGCATAAATTTGCAATCTATCGCAGGTCCGGGCATCTCATTTTTGTACTCAATGGGGCAGATTAACTCATTGCTGGGGGGTTTTCTGGTTTTAGATTGGGTTTTTGCTTATACGGAGAATTACTCACCGCTTTTCATCCCGCTTCTTCGGTTTGTCCAATTTCTTTGCCGCCATTTTGGAAGAGCTGCTTTCCCCTTGCAATTTGCAATTTACCGAAGGTCCGGGCTTCTCATTTTTGTAGTCAATGGGGCAGATGCTGGGGGTTTTTCTGGTTTTAGATTGGGTTCCATAGGGGGTTTTTGCTTATACGGAAGAATTGCCTTTACTCACTTTTTTTCATCCTGCTTCTTCGGTTTAACCAATTTTTTTGACGCCATTATGGGAGAGCTGCTTTCGTCTTGATTTTCGCCTCGTTTCTGGTCTCTCGTCCGAATTGCTCGACAAGTTTTCTGATTCGTGCTTAGTCAGTCGCTTTGACAGGCGATGCAGTTCATCCTGATAGCTGTCAGATATTGGCAGCTCAGTGTTGGAAAAACTAGGATTGCCACCTGCGGCTGGAAACTGGGAAAACGTTTTAAATTAAATTTAAATTAAGTTGTGCTACGAAAGAGCTAAAAATATACTTACTTGCTGGAACGCCGTATAGTTTAATAATACGAATAAATAAATATATTAAAGATATTATAATAAATATATTTTATTTATCTCAAAAATTAAAAACCGTTTATTAAATTATTAGTATCAAAAAGCCAAGGCAAAAAGCCGGTTCTTTCAGTTCGTGAACAAAACACCATTAATTAAATGCCTAACTATCGATAGCTATAGTGTTGAAAAAAGAAACGAAACGCTATAAAGTGTTGATAAGCTGAACTTTTTTTTAATATAGCTTGACAAAAGAATTCCCACGGCTGCCATTTTAAAGGATAAAAACGAAATAAAAATCGCTTAAAATTATATAAGAACAATGTAATCAACATGCCAAGTTACGAAATTCCAGCGCAATTCCTAATTGGTTAAAAAAAATCACGAAAAACTTAATTCAATCCGTTCGAATTTTGCGCCTAAAAACTCAAACACACGGGGTGATTCATCATATATTTAAAACGAAAAATATGCAAAAATATAATATAATAATATATAATAAATAAATTAATAAATTAAACACGATTGACGCAAACCGATATCGATATCAGAAGATCGCAGTATGACCGTACTCTACCTAACGTTCTCTTACGTCGCCACTCTTACGTTTGGCCTAAAATCGCGCATTCCGAACGGTCACACTGTTGGGTTATTAAAATTTGTTGCCTTTTTTATTTTATTCCCGCATTTCTCAGCTGTCCAGCGATCGCTCTTCCTCTTCGAGACGAGGTCACAGCTCAAGCCTGCAGACGCCGGAAGCCGGAACGCCCCCCGCCCCGCCCCCTTTGGCCGAGGAGACCGCCGCTCGTTGTTGTTTTTGGTCGCCCTTAAAAACCAGCTGCTGCAACTGTGTGTGTGAGTATTGCGTGGGTGTGCGTGCCTGTGTGTGTGTGTGTGTGTGTGTGTACAAGTGCTCAAACAACAACAAAAGCGTAAAACGCATTTTCATTTGATTGCGATTTTGATTTTGATTTGATATTGTTAATTGCAGAAAGAAGGAAAGGGAGAGAAAGCAAACAAAGGAGACGGACAGAGAGAGCGAGCGAGATGGACGTGGAGGAGAATTACGAAAACGAGATGCAGAACATAAATATGAATTTGAGTCTGAATTCGAATCCGAATGCGATTCCGAATTCGGATGGCCAGCAGGAGCAGCAGCAACAACAACAACAACAGCAGCAGCAAATGCAGTGCGAACCGTTATTCGGACTCACAACCAATACAACAACAACCACAAATCCCATGATGGCCATACCCCTGCCCCCGCCCCCCGGAATGCTGCCCACTCCGAATTTGAATTCAAATTCGAACCTCAATTCGAATTCGAATGTAAATCCCAGTCCATCCGCAAACGCATCCAACGCATCCGCCATCAAGGGTCTGCCCACGAATGACTTCGATATCGACTCCCTGCTGCTGCAACAATTCAGCTGCATGGGCACCACGGATCACGAGGACCTCATCAGCCAGTTCCAGAGCTTAATGAACAATCAGATGAACCGGGAATCGGCCAGGTTCTACCTGGAGATGAGCAACTGGTAAGGATCACACAGTTAGGATCTATCTTATAAGAAGAGAATGTCTCTGGAATCGCACATTTCGGAGTAAAATATAATTCTAGAGTTTGGGATCTATTATGATGATATTGAGGTGCTTTAGAAAGGTCGATTTTAGAAGATTACAAATATTACATAAAACTAAATTCTTCAGTTTTGAATTATTTTATTAAAAAACCCTTAAAAGGAGATGAGCAACTGGTGAGGACCACAGAGTTAGGATCACAAAGTTAGGGTCAATCTTATTATATGGGAATGTCTCTGAATGTCTCACATATTCTCAATATCACATTTCGGAGTAAAATATAATTCTAAAGTTTAGGATCTCTTAAAAAGATTATCATGATAGTGAGGTTCCTTAGAAAGATAGATTTTAGAAACTTACTTATATTACATAAAACTAAATTCTTGAGTTTAGGATTATTTTATTAAAGAGCCCTTAAAAAGATGAGCAACTGGTAAGGAATGCCTAAGAGAATGCCTTTGAAATCCCATATTTCGGAGTAAAATTTCATTCTTAAAGGTTAAAAAAAAACTATTATGATAGTGAGGTTCTTTAAAGAGGTAGTTTTTAGAAAATTACATATATTACATAAAACTATATTCTTCAGTTTAGGATTATTTTATTAAAAAGCCCTTAAAAATCTTTCAACACCCATTTAAGGTTACAGCTCATTAAATTTCCAATATCTTTATTTATTTTCAGTTTTTTAAATATATTATTTTAATAAATACCCAATCTTAAGTTTTCCATGTAGTCATGCTGATGTAACTGCATTTCCCAGAGTTTGTATTTCCTAGAAATTAAAGCGGCGTCATAATCTTTAAGTTTTCTTATCTATTTTCAACCCGAAAGCCCCAAAGAAATCAATGTTACGTATTATTTGCATAAGATATAACTCATTTATTTAACTGCACATTACTAATGCCAATTTTTCGTACCAATTTAGGAGCCTGCAGACGGCGGTGGGCTGCTATCTGGACTTTTGTAGCCTGCAGTCACTGCCCTCGATGAAGATCGTCCAGGGAAAGCACCTGAATGCCCAGCAGCAGGCCTTCCAGCTGCAGAACGACGGCACCGAGCGCTGGCCGAACAACTGCTATCTGACCTCGCCCATCCAGACGCAGCGCATCAATGTGCCCGCTTTGCGGCCGGGCGAAACTTGTGATATCCTGGCCGATCTGATGCCCACGCAGCCGCCGATTATGTGGCGGCTGTGCACTCCAAATGGCTGGTACTTTGGCGGTGAGCAAGAGACAGCCCTCGATCTTAGATCTAGATTCGCCCAATGAGCTAAAATAATCAAAAGTTCAAAGTAAAGAAGTGCTAAAATCAGAGAAACTTAAGCGATTGCATGGAATGTAACTATACAAAGAAATTAATCACATATCTCTTTGTTTGCCTTTTGAAAAGTCACCTTGTTAGGACTTTGTTTTCCTTAAAAGCACGCTAAACTTAATCGACTGTTTATTTAAATATTAAATTAAATGTAAATTAACTGATTGATATTTGGAACTTGTTGTTGGGGCGATAAACACTATACGTTTTATACAATATTTCAAGTATCCCAATTTTTGTATATTTTTTTAACCCCCATTCAATTGATTTAATCATGTTATTGTTTGAAATTAATTGATATTATCAATAGGAATCCTATTTTTAGATTTAGTTTAAAAGAATCAAACAACTAATGCCTAATTTTCACCTTTCTCCCCAAAACAGATGCAATCTGGATGATTCCGCCGGGCACGCAGGCCAGCCAGGACGAACTGCAGCAGCGGATGGTGCAGCTGATCACGTCGGAGGCCAAACCGGATGTCTATCCGCAGATTAACATCGTGATAACCGCGCACACCCAATGAACGCGGCGTCCAGCAGCCAGCATCCAGCATTCGGCATCCTCTCCGTTTTCCAGCGGGGTCGTCGGTCCCAAAACTCATCGATAGCATTTCATGAACCTGCGCGAATGTAACATTTACGATATGACTAGACTTTCCCCCTTTTCCTCTTATTTTTCAATAGGCTTAAAGTTGTTCTCAGTAGTGGATTTGTATACAGGACAGGATCAAAAAGAAAACATAAGGAAATCTTTTATACACTTGACGCCGTGCATATTCCGGATGATATGTAGTAGCCAACGCCATTCACGTGTACAATACAATATATAATTGATATATATTATATATACCTATACTTATACACAGTCCCATGTTTAACTAGAGTTTGAGTTCGAGTTCGATTGCGATTGCCCCCTTCGTTGCTCCTTCCATTCTTCCACCCTCCTTAGTTTTGGTGTCAGACGGATCAGCTTTATATATATCGGATATATCGGGAAGGGGGCGAAAGGGTGCGCGCGCGTTAGGAAGATAAATTGAAATTTAAAGTGAGAAAGGAAGGGAATTAGAATCAGAATCGATCGTGTGGCCACATTATGTTCTTCTGTTAGTTTTTAGGCGGTAAAATTGTGTGTGCGTGCGATTGTTTAATGCGTAATTATACATTTTTTTCTATAATTTAAATTCCTATTTTCTGAGTAACCGAGAAGCATGATTAAGCAGAAAAAAATTGTAACAAAATTAGACATAAGTGTTTTATTGAGGAAAACAAGAAAGAAGCGGAACGAATAAGAAGCTGTTTGTGTTTTACTTTGCGGGCTGGTGAAGAGTGCTAAAAACTTGGAAGTAATAAAAGGGATAAGTTACAAAAATGTGCCCTATTAAATTTGAATTTCTTTTAAAATTTCTTAAAATTTTGTAATTATATACTGGGACTTTTGTTTAAGAAGAAATTTTAAAATTTACTTTTTACAAAAGTATTTAAATTCATAGAAATTTAATGTTTTATATTAAAGATTCCTATTTAAAAAATTAACGGAACCATATTTTCATGAATGGGTACGAAATTTTACTTGTAACCCGTCTCATTGGCAGCATTGCTTCATATATTTCTATCGATCTGGCAGCACTCCTATTTAGCCATTCTCGCAAAAGTGTTTTATTCAAAAATTCCCGCCATTCATGTTAAGATTGTTCAATCCCCGGAAAACTCGGAAAATCGGAAAAAACCCAAGCAGCAGAACTGAAAATGGTGAGTTTATAAAAAACCTAAAGGAAAATTCGCGTTTTCCGTATTCGTCGTGGACTTAAACAATGATTTGCTGCAAATTTTACCCTTAAAAACTGTCAAAAAATGTTAGCAAATAAGACAAATTAGAATGCAAATCAGAAAATTGGCGAAATTTCAAAAGAAAATACAAATTACTTTACGCTGTCGTTGATTTGATTTTGTATTTTGATCACATTATGTAATCCGATTACCAGGAATATTACTTATGCCTGCGACTATTTCAGCGCCCTTTCATTTTTCTCCTTCTGGCTGCTGATTTTGCATGAAAATTGTAATTGAGTCAAAAATGCAAAAATCCAAAGTACACAATTACACACACACACATTGGCATACAGATGGGATCAAGGGTCGTTCGTTCGTTGGCACGGAAATGAAATGCATTGAAACGGAAAAGAAAATTATAATCCGTCGAGGAATAACAGCAGCAACAACAGCAAGGACCCGTCTGGGCAGCGCCCTTCATTCAGTCCGATTTTTAAGTACCCTCAAAAAGAGGACTTTTTAACTAATATTTTTCAAACGATTTTTTTTATAATAAACGTATGTTTATTTATTAAAGTAATTAAGATTAAATAGACTATATAATTTCGAACTTACTATAGTATAGTGTGTATACTATGGATCGTGTTGTTATGGCTTTTGGGAAAATTAAATTTTTCACTAATTTTAGCATTTTTAATGTACCCCATTATGACTTCTTTTCAAAAAATGGCCAAAAAATTAAGATTTTAGATTTGAACGCAAATCGATTCAACAAGGTACGTCATTCAAAGTTAAAAAAACTAATAAGTAGGGTGGAAATTATGGATTCGAATTTTGGACGAAAATTACCTTTTTTTGATGTTTTTCAGGCGTCATTTGGACAAATCAAGGCCCACAGCTAAAAGAACGACTGTTTTGAACTGCTAACGACCTAAACTAACGATCCCTATCACTTTCAGGGAAATTTATTTTTTGATCAATTTTCGCATTTTTGATAAGGGGTTACATCATAATTTTTTGCGAAAAATTACAAAAATTAAAAATTTTTATGTTTGAATGCCAATCGATTGGGAATTAAATAACGAGTTCAACAAGGTTTGACATTCCATATTTGGACGATTATTTCTATTATTATGGCAAAAATACTGATATTTTAGGGTGGAAAATATGGATTTGAAATCGACAAAAAATAAACTTTTTTCTCAGTTTTTCAGTCGTAATACTTCAAAATAAATGGTTAAATCATTAGAATCTGATTAGTGAATTTATGGACACTTTTTTGAGCTACGTTTTTCTAATAGAGGAAAACCCGTTAGAAGATCCCGAATACCCTTTCTCAAAGGGCATGACAACGATGACAACAACATCGACTGCCTTTTGACTTGAATTACAAATGGCGCACATGCAACGAGAAGTGATGTGGAGGGGGACTTAGGAATATGGGGATTTATGGGATGTGATGGGGCGGGGGATTTTTGGGGTGAGCGGTACGAGAGGGAGGATGAGCGGATTGGGACCCCGTCATGTCATGGACAATCAAATCAAAAAGGCGTCAAAGCACAAGTCCTCTGCAGTCGTCTCGCTCTCTCTTTAATCCTCACACCCACCTCACCCCATTCGATTTGCCATCCTGCTCTGGCACAAATTGCGCGTTTTCTCGTTTCATGTAACATTGTAAAATTGCATTTGCTCCTGATGTCCCTATCTACTCGTCGCATCCTCATGTCCCTATCTACCTTGTTGTTGTTCGCAAATTCAGATTATGATTTGATTGGCAAACAAGGGTTGGGGACTTTGGGTCCTGGACGCGAGACCCCGGCCTATTTGTTATTCATAGATTGGGAATTACAAGCAGCCATTGGCAATTGTCAACAATCTTTTACACACTCAGCCAGAGGCGTAGGGAAATAAAAGTTCGGAAGGGGTTTCGGGATAGTTTACCCCTTTTAAATGTGAATAAAAATAAACATTGTTTTTTTAACCTAATAAAACAATCTTTAAATCGTGTGAAAATTTTCTAAGCTCAAAGGCTTTTACAAATTCAAAAAGTAGATCCTGTAGCCCATAGACTGTATAAAAAAACCATTACATTTCTATAGAATTATTTGAAATCTTTTGTAAACTCATTTTTTTGACCTAATAAAAAAAATTTTAAATTGTGTAAAAATTTTCTAAACTCATAGGACTTAAAAAATTCGAAAAGTTGGTCCTTCAACCCATAAACTATATAGAAAAACCATTAAATTACTATAAAATTATCTGAAACCTATTGTAATCTCATTATTAATATTATTTAAACTGTACTATTTTCCCAAATCCCCTTTCCTCCCCCCCTCGTACGCCACTGCCCTGGCCCATTGGCACTCACACAGGGGCACGTGCTGATGTCAAGTTGTTACAACGCCGGCAATTTGTTTGTTCATTTCGTTTCGTTTCATTTGTTTTTGCCCTCGCCGGATTTTCATCGCAGGAAAAGTGCGACCGACCGACAGGGGGGCGTGTCAATTGGAAAAGCAAATAAAGATGAAAAACAGCCAGGCATTTCCCGCTGGGGTTTGAGGCGAAGTGGGCCAACTAGTTGTGGGCCTGTTTTTCATATGCGAAAATTCGGTGTGAAATATCCGAAATATCCACAAAACTAATAATGCAATGTGTGAAATTTAAGGGAAAATTCAAACTAAATATTCAAGATGATTTAATTCCTTTTTTTTTTTCCGTATTTTTCTTAATATTGTTTAGTAAAAGTTGTCCAATCTGTGTAAGGCCTTTTTCTTTATTTTCTTAAGTCGCATTCCAATCAAGTTAAGCCCCACCGATTTCCCCGCCTCCCACAAGATGGAGCCCATTAAATGCATAAAACAATTGCCAGACAGTTTGACGCTGTTGGGCAACCTCGAAATGCAATTTCGAACCCAGCTCACTGCTTCAAAATGCACCGAAAAAAAAGGAGTTTTTTAGAAAATTTTTAAAATTTTAAATGGAACTTAAATTTAGGTTAAAACATAAACGAATCTATATTGTTAATTAGTCATATATTTAAATAAAATTCAAGTACAGAAGATCATACTTGTTATAAAGATCATCATCTCATTTTCTTTTATACCATCTAAAAGCTAAAATAAAAAATTCTTAAAAAAATAACTTTAGACCGCGAATTCTTCAGAACCAAGAAATTGTTTTCCATTTAGAGCCTATTTTTTTCTGTGTCGATTTAGGCCCAGTTTTGATTCGATTCAAGTCGGCTCGATTCGTTACGATTCGATTCGATTCGATTCCGTCCGTTCTGTCCCGCTCGGTGGTCGATTTTTATGATCGCCGCGCGTTGACAGCTTAAAAGTCTCTTAGCATGAAAAATATTGTCAACGCCAAATGGCAAATGATATTCTCGACCGTTGTTTTGGATTGTGGATAGTGGGTTGTTGTGCCAGTGGAAGTGGAAAGGAAAACTTTCTGACCGCTGATGTGTGGCGGCGATAAGATTTTGATAGGGGCCCCGATTTATGCGAGGCAGCCAGCCAGGACTTTTAACTTATCGCCAGAAACTGACAATCAAAACGGGCTACGGTATCGCCTGCCACGGCATTAGGGGCACTCATAATTACCTCACTCAAATCACTAAAGTCCGAGTCAAAAAAAAAAAGAAACAGAAAAAATAAATAAATAAATAAAGAGTGAGGAACTCAGCATCGTCGTCGTTGGGGCCGAGTAAATTAATTTCACAAATTGTGCGGCGATAAATTCGATTTGAGATACTAACTCTAATCCGTTGGCGTTGCTTTGCCCGCTGGCCGTTGGCCTTTTAAACAAACATGATTTTGTACTTTTATTTTATGCCATATTTAAACTGATTTAATTTGATGCTCGGTCTCGCCTTTCGATTGGGTTTTTTATGCATATCGTTCATGGTCTCTGGTCTATGGGAATTAACATAAAACTTAAAATTACCCCGCCCGGGGAAAACTCTTTCTTTTCGCCTCGCCTCGGTCCAATCTCATTTCTCGCCTTTATTTGTGGCTCTTTTTGTACGATTTTGTCTGTGGGCCTTTGTTTCGGACTCGGTCATCATGATATATAACAGGCGATAACGCCTAATCGCCCCAATGCGAGCATATATCATTTATCTGGGGAGGGGCTTTTTTTTGTATTGTAAAAGAGTCTTGGGAGGTTCCATCTTCCAAAATCAAGTAAATGAATATTTTTGTAGATAACTTAGATAGGTGGCATTTTTTCTATTGTTATATTAAATTTTAAATATAGAAAATATAGAAAACTAAATAGACTTAATAGACATTTCTCGGTTCTCTCAGGTCGCAACGCAACTTCCTTTCGAGAACTGTACAATCTTAACCAATTAGTCTGGCCGAGAGATATCAACTCCTCAATCCGACCAATTGAGGGCCTCGAAATATTTCCCTAATTTATCTTCCGAACGAATTCCCGAAAAATGCTTATAAATTTCATCGAGGGGGCAACTAACGAGGGTCGATATGATGGTCAAACGTCAATATTATTAAATATAAATGCAACGAGGAATAACAACACAGTTCCCGAGGATGACTGATGAAAAGAGCCGCGGTGGCTGTTTTTGTATATTTATAATTTTTTTTTTTTTTAATGCGGACGCGACATTGCGTGATGAACAAACGTCGAGCATTTCTCAATGGGATCAACGAAATTGTTTTATAGGGAAAGGGGGATGGTCGAGAACCAAAAACTCGAAAGCCGAAATGAAATGACATGACGTGTTGTTATTAAGCCGCATAATCAAAACAAAAGCCCGAATTTTTATGAATGGGCCAAGAGTTTTGGCCTACTAGAATCGATCCCGGAATTTCAGGCCCAAAAAGGCCACTCCCCGAACGCAAAGGACAGTGGTAAGTATCTAAACAATAAGATTACAAATTTAAACAATAAGAAAGCTACTTAAATTAGTTTTTAAATGTATTATAAATGTAACTATAATTTTGGGTAATAATATATTGTTATTAAAATTAACTAATTTAATTGTAGAATATTTTAGTAAATTTTATATAATTTTCAGGAACTTTATTTTTGTTTTTATTAAGAGGTTTATTTTTTAAAAATATGTAAAACAAATCTTAGGATTATAATCGAAATAGCTTTCTAACCACTGTGCAACTTCTACAGGCCCCTTGAATCGACGTCGGCAGCTTCAAGGCGATTAGCGAAAAGCGGTAAATGTTGTGTTAAACCTCAATTAAGAGCCAGAGGAGGGATCTGTGGATCTGGGGATCTCAACCAGGTCTCAGGTAGACTGGCCCCGCCAACAGGATGTTAAACTCTTTTGGGCAATTTGAATTCGCTTTGACTGACGCCACACGCCAGGGTCACTCCGAGGATTTACGATCCCCCGGATCCCGAAATCCAAACTGCTAAATGATCTCACACAGGCCAGCGACGACGATGGTGAATGGCGCCTAGAAGGAGTCGGTATATGTTATACCTTTCCGTATTTAAACCCCCTCCCATTCTGTGGACCCCTCTGTTAAGTGCTTTTTAATTTGTTTGCATTCGAAATCCGAATTCCCTGTGTTCCGCTTTTATCGGGAATCAAGTGAGCTGAGTGCAATTACGACACCTTCAAAAAGCCAAACAACCCGGGATACAAAAAGGGAGACGGAGGATGCTCATCCTCAAGGCACTTAAGCGCATCCCCAGGGGGTTGTTCCGCCCGTCCACCCACTTTTCAGCCACTTTCCACCCGCTTTTCACCCGCTTTCCACCCACTTCCCATCGCAATCTGAGTGGGCGGTGAGTGGCAATGGCTAATTAAAATTACTTTCCAGGGCGACACTCGGAAATTTACCGGAGGACTGAAGGAGGAGGAGGGGAGCTTTTTGGGTAGTTAATGGTCAGCTGGTCAGTTTGCAGCCACTCTTAATGAGCGTCCCCAGTCATTTGCTTGGGAACGAGACCTTCTCGCACCGCCAACTGCGTATTTGTCATTTTTAATGTCTTTTTAAACCATGCGAAAGGTGAACCGCACTTGCACCACCACACACCGGGCTTAATGGCTGTCTTGTGGGCCCTGACCATCCCATTCGAACTGGGCTTTTACCGATGATAGCGTTCTGAAAGTTGGTACTCGGCGTTAATTACTCTAACGGGTGGTTATTTTAAGCGTTTTGGTAAGGTATCTTGTGATATAAGGATTGTAAACTAGATTTACCTATAGGAACTTAGAATTGACCATCAATATTGTTCTGAAAATTGGTACTAGTGGTTTTTTTATTTGTTTATTGATTGTCATAATGTTTCTGGACATCTCTATTAAGATTTTCAGTAAGTAAGACCATATTGTCCTATGTAAACTACGGTTTCACTGGTAGTTCTATTGGTAAACTTAGTACTTGGTTTTAAAACCATAAAATTAGAGTATTTCTGTGTCGTTCTTGCTGTTCGAAAATTTCCACCGCGCTCATCTTTAATTAACTTATTTCGCTGCTGTGTATTATATTTCGCTTTGTACTCGCTGAACGAGCGGCAAGTGCCGTTAGTTAGACCCCGACAAAATGGCGGACCCAGGTGGAAAATGAAAATACGCTGAATATCCGTGTGATTTTGGGCGATTGTGTGTGCGAGAGAGTGGCGAAAGTCAAGTTGCCTCATTAGCAGGCAAAGGGAATGCCGAAAGATAAATTATTGTCACATTTTTACGGGAATCTCATTAATGTGGGTGGTGGTTAGTATATGCTGACATAAAGAGAGCTGTGACAGATGGGGAAATTACTTGAAGATGGATAGGCTTAGGGGAGTTCCAATTAAAATTGGTACACGTGCAGTAAATGCCTAATTATATTAAAATTATGTAAATTTTAAGGGTACAAGTATAAATTATATAAATAAAATAATATTAGAAATGCGTTTATATAAAAATAATATTTACATAATAATATTAAAATTTTTAAGTTCTAAGAAAATATTTTTACATATATTTTAGAATTTTTATTCATAAAGAATTTGAATTTTGTTGCACTTTGGAATCGCTTGTTGTTTTAATTCAAAGAAAGCATGCCTCTCCGAATTATTTTAGATTTTTATCCCTTTTTTTTGGGGTTCTCTTTTATTAGTCTAGATTATGGATGATATTGTTAATATTTCATGGCCAAAGGATTTTGTTCTAACATCTTAAAAATATTGAAGAACTGTTCTATTTTATTCAATTATATTTTTAATTACAGGCCAATCTTGGTTTGACGTTTGTGAGGAGGAAAATCAAATTGCATATTTGCGCACAGATTGATCCCGGTCACGTCCTCATTTTCCTGCCTCACCACGATCGTTTGTCAGGTCGTAAATGCTCGGGATATAGCTATGATTAGTTGCGTCCATTCCTGGAAGCGTTTGGCGACAGGAACTGGGGGACATACCATATACACCACATACCACATACCGATGGCAAATAATTCCGTGAAGCCATTTTGAAAAGCTAACCATACATAAAGCCAAGTGGCAGTTGAAGCATCCGCCTCCAGGCGTTAAAGACGGCCTCCTCGCGAAGATCCTGCCCCTAACATATATAGATCCAGATCCCCAATTCTCCCCTCTCCCGATGCCCCATTCACTTGCACATTAGGCAGCAAATTGACATCGATACACGAGTCCAAGAAGTAAACTAAAGTGGCTGGCTAGAAAGAGAGCGCACTAGCTCGGTGCGAAAGAGAGGGGAGGAGCGTGCAGCATTTAACTGCTGCCAATTTACTGTTTAAATGCCAAACAAAAAGTGTTAACAAGCGCAAAAATAACAAAAGACACCAGCAACAAAAACAACAGTTGAGCGAGAGGCCCAAGGCGATCCAAATGAATGGAGAGGCCTTAGGCCAAAGCGAGACAGATAGATGCCTGCGGAAGCCGGGTCTCTCTCGCTCATGGAACCAGTTTAAGGGGGCGTGGCCAGGGCCACAAAACAGGGTTGACAGCATCCCATCCATCCATCTTGCCATCCGGCTATCTGTCCATCAGATAGAAACAGCCCTGCTGCCATAATCGTGTTGAGTAGCCGCGTTGCCATAACAAGTTTATGGCAAGTCTTTTCCGGAAACTAGCCTCAACGAACTCGACTTCCACTGGGTATTCTTCTGTGAAAATTGGTACTCTGGGTTTAATATTCAAATGATTGGTTATACTTATGGTTTTGGGGTGATCTGTTTATGATATTTAAAAAAGATTAAATGTTTTAGATCTTAAACATGAATAACAACTTAAAGCATGATAGGTTATCATTAAAAAATAACTAAAAATATTTTAAAACAATTATTACTACCTTAAATTTTCAAATAGTCCTTAATACTATTTAAAATATTTCATGACCCTTAACTAACTAACTTGTTTTAACTGATAGACTTATAAAATTTGTAATAAATAATATAATATTTAACTTTAAGGCTAAGGCCGAATTTGTTAAGATTACTTTAAACACTCAATTTCACCACTTGCCATAAAAGAAACCGTTAGACGTGCGGCCATTGCCGGCCCGAAACTCACCACACTCGCACACTTGAGGCCCGTTGATTGAAGCCTAATGAATGTCAATTGCTGGCAATTACGACCAAAAAATGCGGGCAATAAACGTGGAAGTGCAGTGAGTGCGAGCGAGAGGTGTTTGTCCAGGGGGCGAAAGAGAGAGAGGTGAGCTCAAAACTCACCACACCTTGACTGGCCCCAGTCAGTGGGTGAGAAAGAGACGACGACAGGTGGCAGCTGATGAAAAGAGGTGGCTCAACTGGTTTGTCGGCTGTCTGAGTGTTGTTGCTGCTGTTGCTGTTGCTGCTGGCGGTTGCTGTTGCTGCCAGCAAGTTTCAGTTTCAGTTTCGGTCGAAAGCCAAAGGCGAGCGGTTGTTGCTACGCTTTCAAAAAACACGAGAAAAGTGCGCGCACAGCAGCAACATTTGCGTTTAGAATCCAGTTAGGCAGTTGGCCAGCTGGAAAAGTCAAAGAAAATTTATAGAAAATCAAATAGAGAGAATAATACATCAGAAAAAAAAAAACAGGAAAAAACCCCAGTGACAGCAGTGCTAAAACCTCGCGATACATAGTATATTTTTTTCGGGTGCTCGAAGTGCAACAGCAGAGTCGTCGGCTTAACCACACATGACCACAATGCCACCGGAAATGTCCGCAACAACGGCAGCTCCCGTTGGCAGTGCACCCAGTGCCACCGCTCCCCATCATCATCATCATTCGGCGGTCTCGGCCGTCGGCGGCGGCCTGCCGCGTCCCGCTTCCCCAGCCGTCGGCAGCAACAGCAACAATAGCAGCAACACGACGCAGACGGCAACGGCGACGGCGGCAACAACAGCGACGCGATCCCGCTTCATGATCACCGATATTCTGGCCGGTGCAGCGGCAGCTTCGGCGGCGGCAGCTGCAGCAGCGGCGGCTCTGGCGGCCGCCTCCTCGGCCAGCAGTCCGTCGGACTCGGAGCACCATCATCTCCATCACCAGCAGCAGCAGCAGCAACACCAGCAGCAGCAGCAACACCAGCAGCAACAGCAACACCAGCAGCAGCAGCAACATCAGCAGGCCGCCCTGCAGCAATACATCGTGCAACAGCAGCAATTGCTGCGCTTCGAGAGGGAGAGAGAGAGGGAAAGGGAGAGGGAAAGGGAGCGGGAACATTACAGGGAAAGGCATTCGCCACCTGGTGGTGGCAATCCCTATGCCCATCATCCCATGCCACCCCACCTGCTCGCCCACTTTCCGCCCGCCCACTATGCCGTGTTGCAGCAGCAGCAGCAACAACAGCAGCAGCAACACCCGCACCATTTGCAACTGGAGAGGGAGCGATTGGAGGCACTGCATCGACATGGTCACGGGGTCTTGCCAGCCGGCGATCCTGGCCAGCATTTGAGCCACCTGAGCCACCTCAGCCATCAGCATCCGCATCTGCATCATCCCGGGCACGATGAGCGATCCCGATCGCCGCTAATGTTGCAACAACTGGGCGGCAGTGCCGGCAGCAACAACAACAATAGCAGCAGTGCTAACAACAACAACAACAACAGTGGTAGTGCCAACAGCAACATCAACAGCGGCAACAGCAGCAGCAACAACAACAACAATGGCAGTGGCAACGGCAACATGTTGCTCGGAGGCGCCGGCAGCAGCATCAGCGGCGATCAGGCCAGCACAATCGACGACAGCGACAGCGATGATTGCGGTAAGTGGGAAATATTATTATATAGATAGGATATAAATTAGTCATAGGTAATTTAAATATAAAATATTTTAGCTCAAAATAAGAGGAAATGCAAATATTTCATATTCAATTTAAATATTATTCAGTACGACTTTCAATCATTTTAAATATACTTCGAAATATTCTGTTCTTCAATAATAGCTTGATTAAGGTGCTAAACTTAAATTTTACTAGAAAATTTTTTTATTTACTGACAAAATTTAAAAATGATACAAAATTGTTATATTTAATATTAATATATTTCATTTATATGGTATATATATTATATTTATATGGTATATATTATGTATGGTATATGATATGTATATTTACTATTATATTTTTGTTATCAGAAAGATTTGTTAACAAAAGAACCAGTTGAGAAATGTGGATTTTCGGTTTGAGAATTAATCCAAAAATAATGTCTGTGAAATAAGTTGGAATTTTAAACTTTCTTTCAAGCTAAAATGTATAATAATGGTAATGAATATATAATGTATAAAACATTTTAAGATTTTTATACAATTCTTGTATATTTAAATATATTACATTTTTTTTTCCTCCCGAAAACTTGTATTGTTTATTTTTCAATACGATTCGATTGCAATTAATTTGGTAACCAGAGTGAAGACTGGTGTAAATAGATTTAAAACCAATTTACACCTTCTTACCCTTTTACCTTTCCGCTTTTCCACCTGACCCCTGACTTCGCACCACTTTAAATTTACGATTTTCCCCGCGCGACCGAGATATATCATATATTGAGTGCTAAGCGTGGTTGTTTTTGTTGTTCTGGCTGTTGTGTCCGCTGGTTGTTGGTTGTTGGCTAATAGATAACGGCCAACAACAACCGCAACAACAACCACCACCATAAATTGTGAGGCTCGAACGGGGAAAATGCTGGGTTGATAGGCGAAGACTCGAAAGAAATATAAAAAAAAAAACACAGGTGAGCCTGAGTCTCCGAGGCAGGTGTCTTTGGGTCTCTCTCTCTCTTTTTCTCTCTGTTTCTGTGTTTTTTTTCTTGGCCATATAGATTAGCCAAGTGCTCAGCTTATTTCCCAGTCGAAAACTGTCAACGGAATACCCTTGACAGCCACGCCCCCCGCGCCTCCTCCCTCGTTTTGCATGCAACAATTTAATTGATTTCGTTGCCAGCTTTAATTTAACTATTTTTTTTTCCTCTCGCTAAGTGCTTTTAAACGTTATGCAAATTATGACAAATTACTATTAAATAGCCGTAATCGTGCGTTTGCAATTGATTGGCTGCAATATAATTTAGAAAGGCCTAGAACAAACCTATATATTTATTTTGAAGAGCATGGAAATGGGCACAAAAGGTTGCTAAAATGCTGATTTTTTGACCAGAGCTGAAAAACTCTAAAGCTAATTCAAGTGATTTTAATCATTTTTATACCCGTTACTCGTAGAGTAAAAGGGTATACTAGATTCGTGCAAAAGTATGTAACAGGCAGAAGGAAGCGTTTCCGACCCTATAAACTATATATATTCTTGATCAGGATCACTAGCCGAGTCGATCTAGCCATGTCCGTCTGTCCGTCTGTCCGTCTGTCTGTCTGTCCGTCTGTCCGTATGAACGCTGAGATCTCGGAAACTATAAAAGCTAGAAGATTGACACTTTGCATGCAGATTCTAGGAGTTCCTACGCAGCGCAAGTTTGTTTCAAAAGAGTGCCACGCCCCCTCTAACGCCCACAATCCCTTATATACGATTTTAAAAATTTCAATATTTCGGAAAAGTAAAAATGCAGTTTTATGGTGTTTATCAATACCTATCGAAATGTAGAAGAAATTTTTCAAATCGGTCCATTCGTTAAAAAGTTATGCGTGATCAACGTTTTCTATCTCTATCTCCATCTCCCTCGCACTCCCTTTACCTGAGTAACGGGTATCTGATAGTCGGGGCACCCGACTATAACGTTCTCTCTTGTTTGTTCTCTACACAAACCTTTTTTTCAAATAATTATATTTATAAGCCCCTGACCAATTTGGTTTCAATCAAAGCTTCCCCAATTTCATGGACAATTTTCACATTTATTATTTTTTTTTTCTGTTGACTTGTGCCAAAATCAATTAACAAATTAAACTATAACCGAAATTCTCCCTCCAATTTTTCGTTGACCCCCTTCTGTTTTGACATCCCGCTGTCAATTTTTCCAAACGAAATTGCCTTGATTTGAGCCACAAGCCAAGAGCTGTGTGCCACACACACACAAATAAATAAAAATAAAACTAAAGAAATCGAAATCGAAATCAAAATTAAATTTAATCTGCTGGCTGGGCAGTCGAGTAAGCAACCCACACACAGTCTCGACAAAAAATAAACACCCATTGACATATTCTGGCTTTCTCCGTCCCTCTCCTTTGGAGAACCCACGCTGAGTGAAACAACAACAGCAAGAAATGGGAAATACTTCAAGAAGTGGAAGGGTAATCTTAAAGACCGAAGGGTCCGATACCCTTAATTCCAAATCTCACAAATTTCTAATAAAATTTAGCTTAAAATGTAAAAAAATGCTAATTAAACTAGATAAATTAAATATTATTTATTTATCCTTATAAAATCACAACAAACCAAAATATTAATCCTTATCCATGTTTATAAAGCTGTTTTCTTTGTCCTACTTGCTATAAATACTTAAAAAAATTAAAAAATATATTTTTTGATTTATTTAAAATATTTACTCATAAATATTAAAAGGAAAGAGAAGGATATATGAATAAATTCTACACTCGCGTGTCACTTGAGACGCGTGCGAGCGACAGTTGTTGCTCTTTCGTACTCCTCCTTCTCCCCTTCTCCTCCACCCTTTTCTTTATCTTCCCATTCCCTTTTTTCTTACCCATCTTGGCGTTTTTTACGATCCTCAAACGGCGATCCTGACTGGCACCGCGTTTGAAATTGACCCAAAAGCTTGTCCGCTGCCCATCGAACCGTACACTGATCGAAAAGTAGAGGGGGTTCGTTAAAATAATCAGTGGAACAGGATCAAAGGGAGGGGGGGAATGGAATCGCCTGCCACTTCAATGCCTCCATCGAGTGCTACAAAAAAGGGAAAAAAAACAAGAGCTTCAATATTGAAATTGATATTTTCGGGCATCATCTTTCACATATTTCGGTATTTGAGGAATGCCAGACTTTTGCTTTGGCTTCCAAGATCGCATACATATCATATATATATCCAAACCAGGGCAGACAAAGCTCATCCACCTAGTCCACATAATGTTTAATGGATATCCACGCCAAAAAAACGCCAAAGCAAAACCAAGTTCGTTGCCCAAGTCTTTTGTTTCTATTTTGCGGTCTACTTCTGCTTTTGGCTACGCTTCTTATTTTTTATTATTTAACTTTTGATTGATATGGCAAATTCCCTAACCGCGGTGTTTTACTGCTAAATAATGGGTATTATAACGCATGGGAATTTATTGCATATTTATTTGTGGGTTTATAACCAGTTATTTCTTTCTATTATACATATTTTTAAAAGTTCTCCTTTTATTTAAAGGAGGAGAAAGTACACAGAAAGTCCCCAAAAAATCCCCAGTAGAGCATTTAATGCTTCGTCGTTTATTTCCCCTACATATTTTATTTTTCCAACCATTTTCCGTGAAGGAAATGTTAAATCGCAGACCCAAGAGCCACAATAATAATTACAAATTATAATGCTGGCAACACGAAAAGCCAACAACCGTTATGTAAGCGCACTCGCTTCTCATGTTGCTGCTGCACTTGCAATGTTTGCTGCTGATGTTGCTGTTGCTACTCGGCTGCACTAAACGCCAACATTATCAAAATGTTGATAAACGTTTAGCAAAGAAAAAAATACAACAAAAAAAAGGGGGAAAGGGGAGGTTAAGGGGGCTCAAAGAAGAACGTTGCTTTTATTCTTTAATTAAAATGCAAAAAGGCCAATTGCAAATGTGTTGCGGTTGCTGCTGCTTCTTCCCATGGTTACTGCCGTTGCGCAATTAAAATGCAAACACAAAAAATACCAAGAGAAGAAAGAGACAGCAGCATGGGGGAGCAAGAGAGAGGGGCATAGGCGCTGCACACTTAGGCATGTTTAATACAGTTTAGCCACAAGCACTTAATTACAAATGCGAATGTAAAAACTGCAAACGGGGGGTGATACTATCTATCTACTATCCAAAAGCCAAGGGGAAAAACTACAGTGGGTAAGAAACAGAGAGAAAGAGAGGGGGCGACTGGCGGCAGAAAGAGAGGGGGCGACACTACAAGCTCGGCAAGTGTGGAACAGAAATTGCGGAAATGCTTCGAAAGTCAAACTTCTTCGGGGAACGGTTGTTAATGCATTTAAAAAGGAAAAAAAAATAAAAAGGGGGCTGAGGAGTGGGAGTTGCCCAGGAGAAAGAGGAAGCCAGAAGGCGGAAGATGGGGGCGTGGCCGGCTCCAGAAAGTGCCTCAGTTATTAGTGAAGCATTCAACAAAGTAAAACAGATTTCTGAAAGATTTTCAAGCTCAAGTGAGTTCAAAATGCACGCAGAGAATTTTTAGGCAATTTTATATTTAGATATTTATATATGCTTTTGTAATTTAATATTTTTGACTTTTAAGAGTGCAAGGAAAATTAAATTAAATACTTCTATAATTGAATGAGTTGGTTTTAAAATTGGTTGTATATATTTCAAATTAAATTAAATTCTTCAATTTTAATAAACACAATTTTAGGCTCGTTAAGCAACTTATAAGCCAACAAAGTCCTTTAGCGGCAATCTTCACTGTGCACATCCATCAAAGTAATGCTGATAATTGTTTGCCGTTGTTGTTGTAATTTGTGCTCATAAACTGTTTAATTGCAAATTAGCAGAAGCAGAAGCAACAACAATGTTGCCACATGCACATGTTGCTGCTGCTCCTGCAAAGTTGCAACAGTTGCTGTTGCTGCAGTTGATCTTGTTGCATGTTGGCCGGTCATAAAAGAGCAAAAAAAGCGCGTAAATGTTGCAGAAAATTGCAAATATAAGAGAGCTGATGTCAGGGGGATATTTCAACAAGAGGGGGGTCTCAGAACAATAGACATCAAGTCGTATGTAGAGAACTAAGTACACAGGGCAAAATAATTCATAAATAGTTTTTAAGGCAAAGCCTTAGATATTTTATGAAATTATGGTTATTGATATTATAAAGAGTATTTGTAATATATTCCAGGAAAGAAACAGCTATTTTTCTAAATATTTTAAGTAACTTTTTAAGCGGATGAGGAGACTAGGCTTTAGTTAAAAATAATTTATAAAAGAATTACAGCAGGCAGACTATACTTGACTGTTGATAAAAACAGCGGTCACACTGTCATCAGATGTGCATCAATCAAAGCGTTGGTCACACTATTTTAACGGCTACCAGTGAAAAATTATTAAAAATTAATTTAAACTGTAAATTCACGAATTAGATTAAGATAAATATACATATTTTTTTTCATAAATTTTTTTTAAAATCCTTTTTTTTATTAAATTTTTTTCAGGCGGCAAGGACGACGACGGCGACGACAGCTTGAAGAACGGCAGCTCGGCGAACGGCGACTCCTCGTCGCACTTGAGCCTGAGCCTGAGCAAGAAGCAACGGAAGGCGCGCACCGCCTTCACCGACCACCAACTGCAGACGCTGGAGAAGTCCTTCGAGCGGCAGAAGTACCTCAGCGTCCAGGATCGCATGGAGCTGGCCAACAAGCTGGAGCTGAGCGACTGCCAGGTGAAGACCTGGTACCAGAATCGCAGGTGAGCGGCTCGCTTTGTGCTTTAATGGGCATTCCAAGGGGGGGAGGATTTTTCAAGGGGGGTTCGAGGGGCTTGAGTGGCCCGTAATCAGCGCCTTTAATGCGTTGCGCCCATTTCTTCGCGCAGTTTCCCAATAAAAATCCTCTTAATGGCTGCTTTTCCTCTTTTTTATTTGTTGTTGTTGTCTTTTCTCCTGCATTCATCACCTTATCGGTGCTGTTTGTGTTTCTTTTATGCTGATTGCTTAATTTGCTGCATTTTGCGCTGCGAGTCGTTAAAATTCGAAAAAATTCTCTTCAATAAATGAGCCGTCTTCGTTTTTTGCGCGTGTTTTTTTTTTTTGTCAGTGCAAGTTTGTTGCCTAAGTCTTTCGTTTCGATTGCCGCCTTATTACGTTCGATCGCGTTTTATTTTCGTTTTTAATTATTGCCCAATGACTTGTCACAATTTCGAGCACAGAATGCTTACCGCAACAATTGGGAATTGTGAGTTGTGAATTGGGAGATGAGGAGCAGCAGGCCAAACATCTTGCGTAGCTGACGGCGCAAAACGCAACCGGATATGACAGACGGCTGTGTGAATTCTCCAAGGGGGTAGCGGGCTTCATTTATTTTTTATACATTTTTTTCATGTATTTTTGTGTATTTTTAGACGTGAAATATATGTAGCAGGGCGTCTGAACACACTTATTTTTGTAATCAGCTTTTGCGGAAGTTGCGAATTTAATTTGGATAAATATTAATTGAGTAGTAGGGTAATGCGTGTTTTATATTTTATTTAGCATGCTGTTTTCATGTATAAGATACTTTACTTCTTTATATCAACACCCAAAAACTACTTGATATGAAACGATGATAGATTTGATGTTATGTGGTATCGATTTTGACTTGATATGCGGGCACCTCAATTCGATATGCTCGAAGTTCAGTTCGAATAGCGAGTAACCATTTTTTATATAACCCTGCAGAAATATTGCAGTTAAGAATTTTCTATTTTCAATTCCTAATCCAATTTCCCCTCCGAAGGGCAGGCAGAAATTCAATGAACATTTGGAAAAACAAACAAAAACCTTTGGGCTGTCATAACCTCGCCCAAAGTCAACTCATGATATCTCCCATTAGGCCAAAACACTTCACAGCTGCTGCTGCTGCTCGGTCCTTACGATGAATGGGCAAAAACTGTGGAAAATATACGACCCCGACCTGGTTCTAGTTCTAGTTTCGGTCGAGGTCCTGGCGCCTCGAACAATTAAAGGATTTGCCAAAAAAAAAAAGAAGGGCGGGTCGCTGCCAATTAGGCCTGAGTTTTCGGTTTTCAGTTTTCGGCTAAGAGAATTTCTAATTTCTTTTTTTCATTTGTTTTTTTTTCTTCGGTGGGCTGGCACAAGATTAATGACAAAACAATTAAGTGCGAAATATAAACAGTCGGGGCGGAACTCTCGAGGCCGCACGGCGGGATATATGGGATATTATGGAATGAGGGGCTTCGAGTGACTCGGCACTACTAAGCCATGATTAATCGAGAGGACGAGAGGACTCTTCCGTTAAAACACTCGTGGAAAAAAGATAAAAAATATTTGGAAGAAAGCCTTACAAAAAAATAAATATTTTCTTTGAGAAGCCGTGTCCTTATAAACGATAATAAGTTCCTAATGGTCCTCCCGTTTTTCGAATTATATTTTTGATATAATATTAATATACATTATTTTATTTCATTATTTCTACTTAAAAATCTAAACAACTATATAAAAGTGTGCTAAAAAAACGGGAAGTAGCAAAAATCACTCAGAACGGCTTGACATAAAAATCTAAAAAAATAAACATAAATTCGAAAATGAGTCGCACTATTAATTGGAACAATAAGCGACCCAAAACTGAAGCAAAATTTTTTTCAATGTATTATATTTCCTTGCAAATTTTTAATTTATTTTTTTATTTTCATTTCAATTGCAGAACCAAATGGAAACGACAAACGGCTGTGGGACTGGAACTGCTCGCCGAGGCCGGCAACTATGCGGCCTTCCAGCGGCTGTACGGCGGTGCCACGCCCTATTTGAGCGCCTGGCCGTATGCGGCCGCCGCTGCCGCCCAATCGCCCCACGGCGCTCCGCCCTCGGCGATCGACATCTACTATCGCCAGGCGGCCGCCGCCGCCGCCCTGCAGAAGCCCGCCCTGCCCGCCTCGTACCGCATGTACCCCACTAGCATGCCGCCGGGCATGGCGCTGCCCGGAATGCCCGCCCCCCCGCCACCCGGCTCCTCGCCCATGCTGAGCGGTTATTATGCCGCTGCGGCGGCAGCAGCCGCTTCCGCTGGCGCTCAACAGCAGCAGCAGCAACCTCCGGTGGCTTCCCGCTCGCCGGCGACCAGCCAGAGCGCCAATAGCGAGGCGGACTGCGAGCGGACCAGCAGCAGCAGTCGCCAGCGCCTGATCACGCCCAGTCCGCCCCTAAATCCGGGCAGTCCGCCGCACCGCGAGCGGATCAACGAGGAGGAGGGGGAGCGGGACGAGGAGAGGGAGCGCGAAAGGGAGCGAGATGAGGAGGACGACGAGGAACTGGCCCTGGAGGTCTGAGAAATCCCCGAGAGAAATCCCTACCCTTTAGCTGGATCTCACAAAATTTGTCTAGAGCAGCGGTCGGCGGTCAGCGGTCTGCCGCCACACGCACAGTATACAATTAATAATCAACAAGTGGGTGGTGTGTATTCGAGAACTATGAAATATGGTGGACTAAAATCATAGAATTTGTATAAATATTAAACAATAAAATTAAATCAAATACAGCTGGATTTAAAATGATAGATAGCGATGTTTTTATGCAGAACAATTCACACATTCAAAATGAGTGAATATCTTTTTAAATTTTATTTTGAAATAGCTTTCATTAGAAAATTAAAAACTAATATTATTTTAAACACAGCTGTTAGTTAAAAATCCTAACTGCCACTGAAAATGTATTTAGTTTGTGGTTAGCTAAATTCAACTTAAAATGAATTTCAAAATTGTATAAAGAAAAGTACCCAAGAAGTAACAGTATTAGACACTCCCCATGTTCATCTGTCTCCAGGAATAGCCCCCAGTAATTGTGAAGAAAATATATATAAATATCTATACATAAATCTTTTTTTTTCTATATTTAATTAAAACTAGCTTAGAGGAAATTTTGTAAATTTTTGTAAATGATTTTTGTACATACGCAGCAGACCAACAACAACAACAACATCACATAAGCAACACAACATTTTTTTTTTCCAAACAATATTTTTTTTTACAACTTTTTTTTGTGCCTAGTCTTAAGACGTCTATTGTGTGTAGTAATAATAAAGCGATGAAACAAAAAAAGAGCAATCCAGAACTGGCCTTTGTCTTGGGCAGCTGAAAAGGACTCGCCGAGGGCTGAAGGACCTCTTTCTTCTTTCTGCGATCCTGAGCCTAATGCGAGCTGACACACGAGCCGAAAAGTCGCAGAGTCAAAATCTCAAGGGGTCGAACGCAACTCGATAGGGGCACTCGAGGAACTGTTGCATTTTGGCATTTTGGCCTGGGAAGCGGCCACTAAACTGCTCACTTAGAAATTGTTAACATTTGCCAAGGGGTTTGCTCCTGCTTCACGGCTCTCCTGCTCTTTTTCCTGCCAAGAAGTGAGCCCCACACCATCGACAATCGCAGTTCCGCTTCCGATTCCGCAAAGACGCCGCTCGTCACTCGCCGCTCGCCGCTCGAGTGTCGAAACGTTTCTAATTGACTTGCCGGCAACGGGAACGGAACCACCCTGCTTGGAATTTAGCTTTCTAGAGATGACAGCGTGAAGCAATCATGGGTAGCGGTTAAGTTGGGGTTAAGGTTTAAAAGGGATTTTTGCTACATGGAAAAAAATATATTATCGTTACAGAAACTTATCTATATTATTTATAAAGCAACTCACAAATTGGGTAAAACTGTTAAGTATTTAATATATATTTTTATGGCTAACAGTTAAGTAAGGGTTAAGGTTTAAAAGGGATAATTGGATAACATTATTAAGTATTTAAAATATTTTTTATAGCTGAATAAATAAATCTATTTTTTATAGAATACATATGAAAAATGTTCTCACAAAATTATATTTTTAAAAAATGCTGGGACAACATAAAACTGGATCCTAAAACCATAAAGTTAAGATCATATCATATTAAATATTACAATCTAAAATCCCATCCCTAGCTGGTGAAAAGGACCTACCCCGTCGCTGTTTGTTTTGCCTGTTTACATGCCGCTTGCCATTTTCGCTACTTTTATGACAATTTCAATTTCTGCACAGCGCCGCCTTGGTTAATGTTAATGTTTTAATTTATGGGGTTGCGGCTAAGCGAATTCAATTTGCGCTGCCTTCGAGTGGCGCACACACAACCCCTTGCGAAAAGTCCCAACTCCTTCCTCTTTTCGAATTTGATTTTGATTTTGATTCCGGATCCGTGTTCGCATCCTGATCCCGATTCTCAACCTTATCGACTTTGGGACTCTGCGTGAAGTGGCTGCGTCGTCATCCAAGTCAAGTGCCGATGGGTTCTTTTCCTTCTGTGTGTTTTATATATTTTTTTTGTAAGGGATTTGTGCGTAGAGACGGCGTATCGACGGCCATCCCATCGAAACGTCTGCATAACGCCTCTGTAACAAATTGATTATTCGCTGCTGCTGCGGTTTGAATACAATTCTTCTCCTTTTTTCGCATCGATTTGAAATGTATTTTATGAGTGGTGCCCCCGGGAGCGACGAGTACGAGTACGAGTACTTATAAATTTATGAGTGGCTCGTCAAATCCTCAGACCGTGCGAAAGTTTTCACTGAGAATGCGGCCAGGACTTTTGGGCCTTTGGCCAGTGGGAGGCTTTATATGGTGGTGGGAATTTGCATATTTTTGTTGTCATCTCACAGTTCATTGGGCAAACAAAGTGACTCCATTGCTCCCCCAAGAAATGGAGTTGGGGTCCAAAAAAAATATCGCGTTTGGGGAGTTTTTATTATGTGGAAGTTTTCATAATTATTTAAAAATAAAATTTATTTGTAAGAAAAATAGTTTTTATACAAAACATTTGTTTTAGAAACATTGAATTTTATAGTTCCTCAATAAGTTCCGCTTAAAATAAATATTTATATTTATTATATTTCCTTGGCATGAAAATAATTGCCAAAAAGGGCTTCAAATTTTCGCCCCATCTACTCAGTTCAATATTTATTTGCAGAAATGCAAATAACATAAATTTAAATGGTTATGCAATTCGTTGGGAGTTTTTTGTATCGATAAAAAAAATTACAATATCATGAATTTAAATAGCACACTTTGATTTTATCACTCGTTTCCATGATTGCGTCCATTGTGCGACATTTGGCGAGTTTGTGTCTTTTGTGCATCCGAGCTGACAAAGTGCTTTCACACCGGAAGCAATTGCAATGCGTTTGCCGTCGTTCTTCCCACCCAACCACCGAACCACCCAACTACTCAACCACCCACTCCACCCACCGACAATCTTTCCCCAGTTAATTGACAACTTTTTCGGCCAGGGTGCGCCTTTTTTATCCATCCCATCCTCCAGCGACTTCTTTGTGAGGCTAATTTGTCACAGGATGCCAGGATGATGTCAGGATGTGAGGATGCCAGGACCTCAGGATGCTGGGATGCCGGGAAGCTGGGTTTAAGGATGGAGCAGGCGATGCTGCTTCATTACACAGGCGATTTGTTGCGCACAAAGCGAGCACAGAATCGATGGGAATATATAGAATGTATTAGCTACACTTAGCTAAAAAATAAAACGAAAGTGGATAATAAAATCTAGTGTCCACATATACTAACTTAATTACGAAAAGTCATTACGAAAATAAATGTAAGGATAATTACTAAATAGAATCTATTTTTACTTTGTTTTTAAATTTAAAAAAATCACATAAAATAATGAAGAAAATAAATAAAAATAAGAAAATGCCTAAAATTTACCTTCTTTAATAATATCGTATATTAAAATGTTTTAAAATGTTAAATGTGCTAAGCCTCTAATTAAGAAACAATTTACATTTAATCGTTAAATACATTCTGATTAATTCTAGACTTTTAAATTAATTACTTAGAGTTACAACATAAATATATTTTTTCACAAGCAACTTCTTAGTTTTTCTCCCTGTACCCCACATAGAAATCGCCAAGGGTTAGGGAGTATGAGATTTTGGGAGCTTCCGTTATCAATAAATTTGTGCGCTTAAATGCGTGTGTTTATCGAATTAGATGCCGGAGGTCAGGAAGTCAATGGAGATTTATGGCAGCAAGGTTGTGTCAATGCCAAGATGTATGCACATATATATTTCCATCCATTGGATGCCCCGATGTGCCTTTAAATTACTGTAAATGGGCACCGTGGCGCCAGGGATCAGAAAAATCGATTTGTCGGTCGTCGCCGCCAGTTAAACGCTGCCAATTTGCCGCTCTGCCCTCTGGAGCTCCAAAGATCTGGAATCTGGACCTCAAAACCGAGCTCGGACCCACTGGCGGCTACTGGTTTTGAACCTGAACCTGCCACTGAAAAATACCGAAACCAACTGAAGCCGCCGGCCCAATTTGCATGCGTTCGATTTGCAATTCGCTCTGCAATTGCATTTGCGGTTTTCGGTTTTCGGTTTTTCAATCAATTCTAACTGTGCAAACTGCAAAAGGCAATCATCAGTCTGCCCATGAAATTTATGGCGGCTAGATCCACTAAGCCAGGAAAATATCCTGGATAAAAATTATGAAAATATTTTTTTAATATTTAACCATTAGATAAACTATCCTTTAGATTTAAAAAATCATTGATATTAGTGTAGAACAAATATTTTTGTATTTTACTAAAACATTCCCGTTTACCACATTTATTTAAATATTGTATTGTATTGCATTTAAGAAATTTGGAAAAATAATGTATAATAAATAATATTACATTTGTATTCCCAAAATAAATATGTATAACTATAATACTTCGCTTTTTATGGTATTTTCTAATCCCCGACAGACCAAGTTCGGTATACCCTTCCCTAGGGTATCCAAAACTTCATTCCTTCGTGGGGCACACGCCAATGTCAAAAGGTTCTCACAGCCGAGCGACGGCAGCGACGATGATGATGATGATTAAGGCGATGATGAGAAGGCGATCCCATACGTGGTGATGTGATATGCCAGTAAGCCGATACTTTCCCGTGGCTTGGATATTATAATATTTGCTGTAAGTATTCCTTATTTTTTCTCCTTTTTTTGGGGCCAAGTGCCGTTAGCCGAGCGTGTGTGTGGTCCCAGGATATATATACCCAAAAGATATACCCACTCAAAAGGCGCCAAAAGTCAAGCTTTTGTTTGGCCAGGTCGAGAGTGCGGCACGTGGCCAAAAAAAATGCAAGTAGGTAGGTAGGTTGTTGTACCTTCTGTATTTTTGGGGGCCAACTGAAGTGTGACTAAACTGCGCCCGCGGTCATGTAAATCGTAAATGGTGCACAAATACTAAAAGCAAGTCCTGCCAGCCGCCTGTCATTCAGTCATTCAGTCACTCAGTCGGTCAAAAAAATAAAATAAAACGAGGTCCTGAATGGACCTCAAGCTGTGCGGAAAACAAAGGCCGCGGAAAGCAAACAGTTGCCACATCGGTATCCAATTACGGCATCGACTTCGAGTTGAGCCAATTTACGGGCACAATTGTGCCAAGTCAAGGCCCATGGAAAAAAAAACATACAGAGCCCAAGAACAAAAAAAAGGCAACAGCAGGCCCAATAAGTCGGCACGCAAAAGGGCCAAAGGCAAAAAGGACCTTCGGAGGGTTGGTCGATCGGCGGGGTGGGGTGGGGAAAAGGGAAAACGGAATAGAGCCTTTAATGTAATTTTAATTCCCAATATCGTTTGTACAAATGCACAGCATCGGAAATAATGTTTTTTAATTTTATTTAATATATGAAATATATATAAAAATTTAGAAAAATACTAACATACTAAAAATATTGCCTCTAAATTATATTAGTTTTTAATATTATTAAATAATAAATTATTAAAAAATAAATTAATTAAATTAAATTGTTCATAATGTTACATAATCTTAAATATATATATTTTTATGTTAGACTTAGGAAATATTTTAAATTTAAATACAAATTATAAATACTTTCACCGCTTTACTTTGTCTTTACTAATAATCCAGTTGTCAACTTGAATTAAATATATTTCGAGCCTAAATCGAACAAAAGTTGGGATAAAAGAGGTCCCTAAGTCCCGGGAATTATTATTGTGACACTCCAAAACTCCTCCAGAAGCCATCGATCAACCCCCGCGTTCGTCCTTTGTTCGCAATCGTCCTTGGCTT